TGAAATTGCGTATGAAGTAGATGTATGACGTGACAATGTCTGTTTGTTGTGCGAATGAGAACTCAAGTGGTTATTTGATGATAAACACAGTTTTTTGCAGCTCGCGTGCAGCATCTAAAATTTTGCTCCATTGCTTCTGGTATATGGGTCCTTTGGTTCCTTATGGACGACGTGCCGAATCTTTACGAGATCCCCGAGCTAAGTCATTTGTGGATGACTATGCCCATTTTGGCGACCATAATTATCCTTAGAATTTTTTCATCATTGTCGGCTGATTAGAATATATTAGCTGAAAAAGAAAGCTGAGAGTTAGTCTTGTGGGATGAATTGTATTTTATGCGTCAAGGATTATGCCGAAATAAGTCTTTTGATATATATGTTGGGTTTAGTCGTCATCTTATATTGCTTGGTTGGTTATTTGGCTACAAGTTAGTATCATAACCCGAAGTTCTTTGTCCCTTTCTGTTGATTTGGTAGTTCAAAGTGGTTATTGTATCCTGCAGTTGCATGCAAGAAGTTATGTATTTTAGGGTCTTCACTCCTCGTTAATCAAAATCTTAAAAGATTGTAGATTTTTTTTTTACCCCTTATTCTCTTCTTTTTATGCACATAGCCATCCATCTTCGTTTTGCTGGATAAAGGTTACAGTTTCTTATCCTATGTTTTAATTGATAATCAAATTACCTTAATTGGACGCTAAGTTTACATTTTCTCTGAATTTGGGCATTGTAATAATGTGATAGCCTGTGAGAATTCTTATTTCGGGAGAATCAGTTCAAGCCTATAATTAGTTATTAGAGCAATTATTGTGCTGTATACCAAATCATCTATTCAGTAATTATTGAGAGAATTATTCTCATCAATTGTGTTTTCTTGCTATAAATCTTGATTTTAAATGTAGAACACTATGGAATCGTTCTTTTGGTATCTCTGTGCTCAGGTGATACATAAGCTATAAATAAAATCATGAGGACTTTAAAACTGAAGATCATGTGTATGTTTTGGATGGTTTCTTTTGTGTTTGACAAGAATGTTTTTTCCCCTCATTATGTGACTTAGATTCTGTTATCAACGATGTGAGGGACAATATTATTTTTTCATTTCCTTCAGTGCTGCTGTGAATGCGGAGACGCGTGAGGAAGTTGCCATTAAGAAGGTTGGCAATGCATTTGACAACAGAATAGATGCCAAAAGGACCTTGCGAGAAATTAAACTTCTTCGACACATGGATCATGAAAATGTAATTTTGGTTAAATTGTTTCATGCATTCTCACAAATGACACGATTTTCCTCATTGACATTCTTTTGTTTGTTTTGATTATGGCTGTTAAGGGGAAGCTGAATTTCCATTTCTGGCACTTTGAATTCTATTCAATTTATAACTGCTTCATTTCTTTATTTACTTCTAAGTATATGCAATCATAAGAAAATTGTTCAAATGTAACTAATGACGGAGGACCTTTTAAGTATATCGATAAAATATTATCCAAACTTAATATGCTTTATTGATAACAACTTGCTTTTCTTCAATACGAGCTATGCTTTGTAGTATTCATAAGCATTTTGTGGGGCATGTCATTAAAATCAATTTCACACCTTCTAATAAATTAAGCATTTTAGATTGAAGCTATCCTTGACACAAAAGGGTTGCTTGGTTGAGTATTCATCTTTGTACTTTGATACTGCAATCTTGTCTGAATTCAATCGGCAAATTATGCTTATTGCTCAATTATTTCTCAAGTGCAGGTGATGGCCCTAAAAGACATTATACGACCTCCACAGAGGGAGAACTTCAATGATGTATACATGGTTATGAATTAATGGATACTGATCTGCATCAAATAATACGTTCCAATCAACCATTGACTGATGATCATTGTCGGGTCAGCCCTTTGACATTTTTTTTCCCCAAAAATTGGAAAATGATATTTGATGTCCCCTTTGCATCATCTTAGCTACTTTATTTTGTCTTTCAATCGCTTGATTAACGTTTTCTCCTTTTGCTGTGTTGCCAAGGCTGTTCACATATAAAACGCAAAAGGAAAATTATTTAGTAATGATGCAGGACTTTGCTAACTTTATAAAATAGTGCTTACACATATATGGTAAATGTTAAGCACTGCGAACAAATGACCACTGCTCCATCTGAGTTTAACTTCGCTTATTTAGAACTTTTGTCTGCTAAGAAAGTTATGTAAGTGTTATATTCCTTTAGAGAGTAATTCATCTTTTTGTTGCACAAATTCTTGTCACTACAAAATTTTTTGGGACATTTGCTCCTGATATATCACTTATTCGGTTCTTTATTTGGAATATCATTTCATCTTGCACAACGTCTCTTCCTGATTATTTGTTTTATATTTTGCATATTAGATTCCATATTCCTGGGACAACAAGAGTTGTGGTTCTATAATGGAGGGTCGATAATATATTTGTACAGTCAAAGCCTATTACTGAGTTTTGCATGGTAAAGATAAAGGGATGGGTCATAAAACTTGAGCATCTCTCAACGAAAGTGAGAGTAATCTTACTTGAAAGGAACTGTATACCTTGCTATTTTGTATGTAATTCTATATACTGAGTTTTCTTGGAATTTGATTTCAAAAATATCCTATTTATTTTTGTAGTAAATAACGCCAAATATGCATGGATTGTGTAATGTAGATACCAAATGTATTTATGCTTTCTGTCTTACAGCCATTGATAATATCTATATCTATATTTCCAGTATTTCCTGTATCAGCTGTTGCGGGGTCTAAAATATGTACATTCAGCAAATGTTTTGCACCGTGATCTAAAGCCTAGCAATTTGCTCTTGAATGCCAATTGTGACCTTAAGATTGGAGACTTTGGTCTTGCTAGAACTACATCCGAAACTGATTTTATGACTGAGTACGTGGTTACTAGATGGTACCGAGCTCCAGAATTGCTTCTTAATTGTTCAGAATACACTGCAGCCATTGACATATGGTCTGTGGGTTGCATCCTTGGTGAAATCATGACAAGACAACCTCTCTTCCCTGGCAAAGATTATGTTCATCAGCTGAGACTGATCACAGAGGTATTTGCAAGAGATATCACACGAAATTTCTTGTTTGTCACTTTTGAATTGCATGGACATCCTAATTGGTTTTATTTGATTAAAGATTCTGATTTTAATCTACCAAAAAGAAAAAAGATTCTGATATTGGATAAGCCATTTGTCAAAAGCATTATTTGACTGAATTCTGAAGTTCACGTGTCAAAGCTTGATATATGGTACTTGTCATTGGTTCCTTAATCGTTTTTACAACCGTTAGGGTCAATTCCTTCAATTGACCACAATTTTCTTGAGCATTTATTGGCAAGAGTTTGGGAGATCCACGTGAGAATAAGGTTTATTTCCTAAAGGTAGATGTTGAATGCAGATTCTGAATTTTTGGTTATTTAAAAGAGGAATAGATGTAAAGCAGAAGGAGAGATTCTTGTGTGGAGCTGGTCCTCGTGCACCATGTCAGGAATTAGAAAAATGAACACAAAAGTTCAAGTTTTGAACTTCAATAGAATTTAAGCGCTTTATTTTCTATATTGGCACTTGGCATATAAGAACCATGTCCATACAAGAATTTCTCTAGCTGAAGCAGACCATGCCATAACTTTGTTGAAAAAACAATGAATATTTTGTTTTATACCTCTTTTCCTTTTCTCATGTTCTTTAGATTATAAGGACACTACCATTTACCGGCGTCGGCAATGAATATGGAGTAGGTTAAGAGAACTGTACAGATGAGGTGATAGTTTCCAGCTTCCTCCCATAAAAACTTGCAAGAGTAGATCCGGCTCTTGCATAATGCTTTTGTAGGCACTAATGCGTTTCATTCTTTAGCATGCTTTGGATCCTTGACTCAACAAATTATTAGTCAGGCATGTCTCTAGGTTTAAAGTCGAAAAAAGGATGACAAATTTCCTTGCTTTTTAAAGCTCATAGGGTCACCTGATGATGCCAGCCTGGGATTTCTAAGAAGTGATAATGCCCGTAGATATGTAAGACAGCTTCCACAATATCCGAAGCAACAATTTTCTTCTAGATTTACAAACGTAGCTCCTGGTGCTGTTGATTTGCTGGAGAAGATGCTTGTCTTTGATCCAAACAGGCGTATTACAGGTAAAATCACTCTTGTTGATTCAGTTACTTTTCTTGACAATATATCTTGCAATTATCTTTGATAAATTATGGCTTTCTGTTTCAATAATTTATCGATGCAGTTGACGAGGCTCTATGTCATCCGTACTTGGCACCTCTCCACAATATCAATGAGGAGCCTGTTTGCCCTAGACCTTTCAGTTTTGATTTTGAGCAACCAACATTCACTGAAGAAGATATCAAGGAACTTATCTGGAGAGAGTCTGTGAAGTTCAATCCTGATCCCCCCATTCACTGACAGTTTACATTCTCTGCTCTTGTGTATGTTAGTGAAATTCTGGATGGTTAGTTGGAAGGTCGTTAATTTTCCAATAGTACAGATTGTTGGGAGTTGTATGCGATTCCTTCGACTCTCATCTCACATTCTTGTATGCTTGTATTATTGGGATCTTGCTGGAGAGATTCAGAAGCTAAGCAGCGTTCTACTCAAAAGTTTTCGCAGAATATTCAAGACGGACTGCTTCTTGTTTTACTGCCGAACTCGTATCCTTGAGCATCGACTTAATACCATACATGATTGCAGTGAACTAATGCTGAACGTATTAGCTAGTCTGTTTGTTTGAAACGTTTCTGGAAATTTTCTTCCCCTTTCTATTATCAGTTCGTTTAGTCATCTTCATGCTGAACTTAGCACTAGAAGAATCTTTATTGAAGTTCTTAAACGACACCCAGCTGAAATAATCGTAATTTTATTTAGCATTGAAATATCAGCATGCGACCAGGTACAATGAAAGATCTCTACTCTTTCAACTTGAACAATGCCTTCTAGTCCTGGATAACAATGGAAACAAGCCAATAGTGCCATGCATAGATGGCATACATATACTAATTAACGTTTGTGCAACTTATGCATGTTTGATGCTGTTAAAGCATTTCTTAAGCTCCAAGTTATCAATGGGTAGACTCTCTTCTGGAAAATTGCAAGCTAAAAAGTTCTCCGACTGCTGAGCAGGTAACAAGTGACACGGTGGAGGCGTGACGCCACTTGTCATTCCTTCAACATTCTTGCATGACCATGAAGGTTTCTTTGCCCCAGCGGCCATCCCTATTGTCACATTGGTGACGCAGATTCCGGTGAAGGGGTCACCAGAAATCCCCTGCAACAGAGCTGCAGTGGTCACATCCTCAGCCACTATATCTCTGTAATGAATGCCTCTGATCTGAGGTAAGGCCTTAGGATCAAAGTTGTTATCAGCATTGGAACCATAATTGCCAGTCATAAAGAACGCCCATTTCATAGTGTGCATGGTCATTCTCTTGAGGTATATGTCCTTGACATACCCTCCTCTTCCTATAGCTGTTTTAATTTTGATCCCAGATTCTGTTTTGATGGCTGTGATATCCTCCATTCTGACATCTTGGATGCCTCCTGACATCTCGCTTCCCAAGGCAATGGCTGCGGAATAAGGAGAAGTGCACGTAAGTCGTCTCACTATCAGTTGTTTTGTAGGCCATCCGAACTTTATGCCGTACTCGTCCCATCCGCTCTTAACAGCCACACAGTCATCTCCAGAAATTATGTAGCAATCTTCTATCCTCGTGTTTGTGCAAGAATCTGGAGATTAAACCAAGAGGAACATGTTAATTCAAATTGGGCAATCTTTTCAAAGTTCTTTTCTTTTGATCGGCATGCAAACTGACCTGGATCGATGCCATCGGTATTTGGAGAATTGACAGGCGCTATGATGGTGAGGCCTTGAATGATGATATTGCTGTGCAATGTTGAAAATTTTGTCGTCAGATTGAGATTTTATTCAGCATAAACTATTATTTTTGCTATTTGATTTAGGGAAGGGAAATGGAGAAGCAGGGAGGCACTGGGATTACCTGCTATAAACAGGATGAAGATTCCAAAATGGGGAGTTAAGGAGAGTTAGATTAGAGATCTGGACGTGCTGAGAGTACATGATCTCAATTAAGTGAGGCCGAGTGTAATCTAACTGTTTTCCACGAAACTGTGTCCACCAATATGCCCCTTGTCCGTCTATGGTCCCATTGTCCCCTGTCTCATTCGTTGTATTACCATTAAATCATACTATGTTATGACCATAAGACAAATAAATCAAACTCACTTGAGTGATGTTTGAAACCAGAGTAAAAGTAAGTCAAAATTTAAGAAAAATGAATATGATAATTTATGTTTTTGACCTGATTCTTAATGAATTTCGTTGGTTATCCATAATTTTCGGTTGCAGCAAAAGCTAGTTGAAGGTACTCCTCCGGTCCTAATTATAAGACCCAATTGACTTATTTGAGGAGATTAAGGAAGTAAGTTGAGTTGGTTATTTATAATAAATAAGTGTTGTCATTCCTAAAATATCCTTGCTAATTAAGTATATTGGCTAAAACTATCATTATTAGAAGGATTATCTTGGAAAAAAATGCATAAATATAAGTAACAAAATGGATTGGGGTCTTATAATTAGGACCAAATAAAAAGTCAAATGGAGTCTTATAATAAAGACCGGAGGAGTACAATGCATTAAATGATGGACAAGAATCAAAGATTGGTTAACGAAACATGCGCCAAGGTTTGAAATGTAGCTATTACAAACATAATAATAGTGCCACATCATCATATAATAGAATCATCGAAAACTGGAAATGCGGACGCATGTTAGTGTGATTCAATGATTCACCAACCTTTGAACTGTGCTTTGAATATGTGTGTGTGTGTGTGTTTGTTGGGAAGGAGGAGGACTTAAAAGGCGTACCAGTGATAATGACATCTGTGAGATTTGTTCCAAAGATGAGGCTTCTGTACCTTCCCGCCGCTGCATCTCTTCCTCTGCCGTATGACGGCAATGCTTCCATCACCGGCCACTCTTTTATATCCTAACCCAGTCATTAGATTAAAGTCTAATTATGCTCATACCTCTCTTCTTGACCATCAAGTGTACATTTTTTAGGATTAAATTGTATTTAACACCATGAAATATTTTTTTCAGTGTTACCCAAGATCCTCAAGTAATTTTTCGTGCAAGTTTATCATTAATTAATGTAATTTCTTAGTCACAACGAGCATCCTAAACTTATGATACTGAATGCTACTGAAAAAGTACTAATATGATGGATACACAAAAAACTATTTTAAGATATTAATTGTTACTGAAAATTTTTTTAGGAATCCAGTTTAATACATTGAATGCTATTTAGGCAGGATATTATTTAACCCTATTTTTTATGAGTGATGCAGTTCAATGAACATTCAAAAATTAGTTAGGATATTGAGTGTTATTGAAAAAATAATTTAGGATCCTGAATACAGCTTAATCCTATGAGTGACGCAATTCAAGGAACATTCAAGTATATGGGAGGAAGGAGACCTGAGAAGCAAGAAGAAAAGCATCTCTGTGGAGAAAGAGAGTGAAGTGACTGATGAGGCTGAAACTGCCGGTGAGCCATTTTCCGGCGGGAACATACAGTTGAGCTCCTCCTCCTTCTTCAGATGCATAGCGTCTCAGTTCGCTTATTGCTCTCTCAAAAGCCTTCGTATTCAGAGTCTTGCCATCCCCAACTCCTCCAAAATCCACCAGTGATGCACTGTGACTTCTGCAACTTATAGCTGAATACACCAACCCACTTGTCTCGCTCCTCTCTCTTCTGCTCTCACCTCTCTCTGAACTCAGAAACGCCACCATCATCATAGCACAAAACACTACCTTCACTGCCTGAAAAATGCAAGTTTAATTAGCTAAGTGGGATGTGAATTAATCTTGCAGAAGCTGAAGGTGTGTGTGTATATATATGTGCATTAATATGCGGACAAGAGATTTAGAAATACATATGCGAAGAAAGAAATGGACAGTTCTGAGACAAAAGATGACAAGGCTCTTGCCTGTGCCATTGTGCGCGTCTCCTAACTTAGCTAGATTTTGAAGATACAGAGAGTGGAGTTGTAAACGCATGGTATTTATAGAGGACGGGCATGTCTAAGATTCATGGAAAGTGAAGAAAGTTTAGATGCTTAAGAGAGAGCTACGTATAGGGGCATGTGTACATAGTTCAGACGGCGCTTAGAAGCAATATATACTGAGCAGAACCTCTGTAATTTTTATATCAGTGTCGATTATTACCTGCACAAAAAGATTGCGTGGTTGAAAAATAATAATACCTGAAACACAACCATGCATAAAGGAAAAATGAGATATGAGTAGTAATCAAAAGTTCAAATCCTCCAAATACGTATCTAAAATGAAAAAATAATCGCAATTATCTTTTTTATAATTTATGTAAGTTATTTTTATTTCATATCATATTTCATAAAATAAATCATTATTAGTTTTAAAATAAAGAAAGTTGTGTCCGGATCAAAATTTAACGATTCAAGGTTATTATACTGTTAATTGTTTTTTTAATCAATACATTTGCGCTAAGAAATTGTCGTCAAGCAGCTAAGATCCTATATAAGTCTGAATGAACCTACAATAAAGCATATAACAAAATTAAATGTAATAAGAATCATGGAAAAATCGTATGATATCTGCTTGATATATTTGTGGAAATGGAATTCCATTGCACAGAATAATAGCCTTTTTGAGACAGAGATTTTCATGAATAGAAAAACTACTTTGTTCGGCCAAAAAAACATAATGATAACCATGCAAGAGCCGGTTTTTCTTCTCTTGTCAACATCTGAAAGCTTCAACGACATATATTGTGATGGAATTATTTTTACTTTAAAATGTATGATGATTTGAACGTATTTCTACGAGACGAATTAAATAAATCGTAATACTTTTATTTTATATTTTTTAATTCAAGCGATTAAAATGAAAAAAATATAGACTTGATAATTTGTTAACTATTCTTTCTTTTCCTTTCATGCAACGTAACGTATATTTTGCCGTTAACTGATGGCCAAGAATCCTCCGAATGATTTCGCGAACATTTTAGAGCGTACGGGGTTTTAAGCAAAGAAGCCCCGAAGTCCAAGTTATTCCGGTTGACTTGTTAAGTATGTCAAAATAATAATGGAGCAGCTGGAGTACTTTCCTGCAGAATGAATCAATGAAAGTGTTGTTTGAACGTGGAGTTAATTAATTCAACCACATCACTATATTATGAACCTCGCAAGAACTGTTGATTGCATTCATGCAATAATTCCGGGTAATCCATCCAGTCAAGCCTATTCCAAAGGAGAGTTACAGTTGCCTGAAATTTTTTCCAAGAACCAGGGTAGAACTTTGGCTTCTGAAAACATCACCCTCTTCAATACCAAACCCAATGCCTCTCTTTCCCCTAAATTTCCCTGTTTCATTTGTTTCCATCATTCGTATTCACCATCTTTGAGGGACAAAAGAGGTAGGGATGGGAACACTAATTTTCCATTTGATAAAATCAAAGATGTTTGGAAGAATGCGGTAGAGAAAGTGACTCATTGTGCAGAAAAGGTTGAAGAAGCCTCCGATGAGTTTAGTCTATATGTTCAACAGTTTCTCGACTCACATCCATATCTTTATAACATGGTTATTCCAGTAGGTGGTACACTGGCAGCCGCTATAATAGCATGGATTGTGATGCCTCGGATTTTAAGGAAACTCCACAGATATTCAAAGCGAAGTCCTGCTGCAATACTTCTGGAGGGAAGCATATCTGGGGAACGAGTTCCTTATGAGAAAAGCTTTTGGGGTGCTTTGGAGGATCCAGTGCGATATTTGGTTACCTTCATGGCATTCTGGCAGATGTTAGTTACTTACTTCCATTTTAAGGGTCTTGTTTTCATTTCTGTGGTTGTAGTATGCATATAGATGTCCAAGTGTATGACAGATACTTTGATTTCAGTTGTGTAATGGTAGCTCCAACAACTTTAGCCTCGCACCTTGGACAGGCTTGGAGGGGTGCGGTGATCCTTTCATTTGTGTGGTTTTTGCATCAATGGAAAACAAATACGTTAGGACACATTGCGTCTGGTCAAAGTTTTCTTGGGCTTGGTCAAGATAAATTGCTTGCCCTAGACAAAGTCTCATCTGTTGGTCTATTTGTGATTGGCATAATGGCTTTGGCTGAGGCTTGCGGTGTTGCTGTACAATCTATTGTAACTGTTGGTGGTATTGGAGGTATGTTTAAATATTAATATTCAATCAAATCTGCAGGATTAAACTTTTCAATATGCGTGTTACGCGACAAGTTTGGGATCTTTATGCAGGAGTTGCCACCGCTTTTGCTACCAGGGACATCCTTGGCAATGTATTTAGTGGGCTGTCTATGCAGTTTTCAGAGCCCTTTACAGTTGGAGATAAAATAAAAGTACGTCATTATTTGGCTTGGTTCAACTTACTGTTTTTCTTTTTCCCCCCTTGCTATGGGAACAAGTTATTTGCTTAAGCATGTCACCACCGTGAGTTCTGTGCACTCTTGCAATTATTTATGGCAAATTGCAAGATTCTCACGTCCAACATGGCCCCTGTGAATCATTCAGTGTATAGTCAAATATAAATATGCTGAACGTACAGATGGAGGTAGAACTAAGGTTAAAATATCCAAGGGGCCATCATAACAAAAGTTGAGGAGTTTGAGAAAATTAAAGATAAAACTGAACTACCCAGACATGTGATATTGTAAGGAAGCTGTCTAGTTTGATCCATTGTATAGTTTATTTTACCTGATAATTTTTCTGAGGAGTTGAAGTAATTGTAGGCTGGCACGGTAGAGGGTGAAGTGGTGGAAATGGGACTTACAACTACATCATTGCTGAATGCTGACAAGTTCCCCGTTGTAGTGCCAAACTCACTTTTTTCCAGCCAGGTATGCTCTCATGGTTGAATGTGTAGTTCCCCTGTTCTCATTGGATCCATCTTGCTATAATTCTGCGGTTTTCTCAGTTAAAAAAGATTGATTTTGAGATTACTGTCTACTTATTGATCGTAGTATTGATATCTTTCTGTGATAATAGCTTTTCCGCGCAAAATTTGCAGGTGATAGTGAATATGTCCCGTGCTGAATATTGCGCCATCACATCTAAAATTCCTCTGGGGATTGGTGATTTCAGTATAATTCCCAGGATATCAGATGATATAAAGAGCATGCTAAAAACAAAGGAAGTGGTTTTCTTAGGAAAAGAGGCCCCTTACTGTTATCTGTCACGCATTGAATGTTCATTTGCACAATTGACTATTGGATACAACATCAAGTACATGGTACGTAACTCTACAACAATCTCATGCCATTTCTTATCTTTCATGTAAGGTGTTTGTTCAACCCATTTTTAATATATTCCAAGTATCACCATGTTCGGATATATCATCAAATGTTTGTTTTGGTACAGAGATGATGAGATGTATAGTGCAGAACAAGATATACTGATGGAAGTTGTAGAGATTATTAGGAAGCATGGTGGTCAACTTGGCCGCCCTCGGCGTCAGATGTCTTATGATTACGAGTAACCTTTCAAGAAATTTGTAAATGCAGACCAGTCTTTACTCGCTTTCTTCCTGCTTGACTTTGATGATGGAAGGTAGAAGCCAAGATTTCAAGACTTGGTGCCTCTGATACTTGGGATATGTAATAAAGACAATAACTTGGTAAAATTTTCAGATAAAAATATTTCTGTAGGTTTATTAAATTAAAGGGGTAGGATAAAAGATTACATGTTTGTGCAAATTTAATAATAATATCAGAAATTTTGAAGTACCCTTCTTGTAATTTTGTTTGCCTAGTTCTTTATTGTAATATTCATACCTAGTATTGGAGTTCAGATGAAGCTATGTCAATGGTCATACTTTGATATAAAAAGACAAAAACTCTAACTAGCTCAGATATTAGGAAATGAGGAGAGTATCACTTTTCATCCTTTCACTATCAGGGCCAATGTACTTTAGCACCAGCTTCCTGAGAATACTTAATGCTTCCCTTCCAAAAAGAATCAAAATAATCGCCTCGTTACAGCTAGGCCTTTCATTTTCTTGTCCTGAGAAACAAAACACAACTTGCAAATTTCATCACAAAAAACCGATTCAACTATTACTATCATACTCGAATTCTCACCCCCTCACTTACAATTGATTATGTATGACACAAGGGTCGAAAATAATAATCAATAAGTAGGTAAAAAATGTCAGATATATTTACTGGTCCAACGGTCCCAAACCTTCCTTTTCAGGCCATTTTCTCTAACTATGTTGTTGCTACATAGAGTACAAGAAAGAAAGAGAAGAATAAAATAGAGAAAAATGAGTGAGCTTTGATTTAAAGACAACAACTATGATATGCTCGTCCTTCCTCGAATCTTTAAATTTTCCTCGAGAGGTTTTATCAAGGCTAAAGTGGGCAACAGAAGCAGATTCTCTCAAGCACGCAATATCCCTGTTTATGTTGGACAGAGGCATGACTTTTTTCATAATATCTTCTTTTTAGGAATCTTAACCCTCTACTTTGCCTACAATTTTACAATCTACAATATCTACAAACTCTATGAGAGTTGTAAGATTATACTACAGAAATTAAAAATACAAAACGGTTAAAAGAATAAAGAAAGTAACACAGGACCCGGGCGTGTTTCACGACATGCACAACAGAGATGCTTCCCTTCACTCAGAGACCTGAATTTTGAGGCTTCTCTCATAAAACCATAAACCTGGCATAAATCCGTTGGGTTGAGACTTGGGACTCACTCGTCCCTTTCTACACTGAATTTATGTTGCCTATATCCACAAGTCTCCTCCAAACGATTTTGCCTACCTATCTGTTTCTGTAATCCGTTTTTTCTTGGTTCTTGTGTAACTACTCAATCAAAGAAGCTCCCCGTAGCCTAAGGTATATTTGTTTTCAATTTCTTGCCGATCTAGTTTCTCTTTCCTTCCTTATGAAATGCAGGAAATGTGCAAGGACGTGGTATCTGGACAACCGCATAGATAATTTCAGACCTTGTCATATCATCTATTTGTACACACACAGCTACAGTATCCTAAAAGAAGAATACAAAATCAAGGGCAATGCAGAGACATAGAAATATGAGATATTAGATATGAAGTTGAGGGAATTTACATAAATGAGACGTATTTTATTCAAAGAATCATTACCATAACTGCGCTGTACAGGACCTCTCCCTTACAAAATGTGATTGTAAGAGGGGAAAAAATGGAAAAAGCATTATTTATTTCATCATATTGTTATGTGTCTCAACTCTGTTTACAAACAATACTACATATAAATGCATCGTGTGTTTTAGCTGCATTGTTCTATCCAATTACTGGAACTAGGTTCAATGCAATGATGGCTTAATATATAAAGCATGACATTTTCTCATTTTTTGGGTTACAAAATGAGGCTTCGGTTTTATGTCTGAAGTATTTTTAACCATGGTTGCTCTGATTGGATTCTTTCATTGGATCGGGATACTCATTCACCGAAAATAATTGATTGAATGATCCTGAACTTTTGTACTTGCCTTGTTGGATTACTGAAAGCTGAGTGCTCTAACTGAATCATATACTCGGGAATTTGCAGACGGGAAATTAAGATAATGGCCGGAGTGAGGTTTTCCTGTCTGAAACGTCTCCAGAAATTTTCAGCCAAGTGTTCTCTGAACTTGGAGTCAGTTCAACCAAATCACCATATTATGAACCTTGCAAGATGTGAAGATTGCGTTCATGTAAACTTTCCCACTAATTCAGTGAATCAAGCTTATTTCAAAGGAGAGTTACGGTTACCTGTAAATTTTGCTAAGAACCAGTTTAGAATTATGACTTCAGAAAACAGCAACCTCTTGAATACCAAACCCAGTGCTCCACTTTCTCCTAACTTCTCCAGTTTTAGCCTCCAAAACTCTCTTCCTTTTGCTTCAGTGAATCTCCTGTTGAATCATCGATCATATTCGTCATCTCTGAGTGGCGAAGGAAGTAGAGATGGAAGAACTGATTCTCCATATGATTATGGAGCAAGTGATTCTACAGATATCAGTCACTGGGCTCATGATCTGACTCCATGTGTTCAACAGTTGTTTGACTCACACCCATTCCTTAACGATGTGGTTATTCCAGTTGGTGTCACATTGACTGCCACTCTAATAGCGTGGACTTTGATGCCTCTGATTCTGAGGAAGTTTCACGAAAAAGCAATGCAAAGTTCTGCAACAATACTTCTGTCCGAGGAGCGACTTCCTTATGAGAAAAGCATCTGGGGTGCTTTGGAGGATCCATTGCGATATATGATTACCTTCGTGGCATTCTCACAGATGTTAGTGGCTTACTTTCCATTTTAAAGATGTTACTTTCATATCTGTGATTGTATTATACGTCCAAGTAGTATATGATAGATGAAGTTGATTTCCAGTTCTTTAATTGTGGCTCCAACAAGTGAAGCCTCACACCACCTTGCAGAGGCTTGGAAGGAGGCAGTGATCTTTTTATTTACGTGGTTTCTGCATAGATGGAAAACAAGTATCTTGGGACACATTTCGTCCCGTCAAAGTTTAGTTGGCCATGGTCAACATAAATTGCTTACTCTGCACAGAGTCTCATCCGCTGGTATATTTGGGATTGGTACAATGGCTTTGGCCGAGGCTTGCGGGATCTCTGTTCAATCTATTGTAATTGTTGGCGGTATAGGAGGTATACAAGTATTGATAGTCCATTGAATCTTTCAGTTTCAGTTTTATACCTTTTTCACGTCTTTTAATTTCTGCGGTTTTTTTTTATAGGATGAAAAACACATATAATATGGTAGGTTTTGGGACATATCAGGTTCCTTGTTGGTAGATGAGGTTAAGGTGGTTTGATGGATTGGGTGTTATAATTTATTAAGATATTTGCTATATATAGGCATATACAAAAATGGACATGATGCATGCACACTTCTTTATGAGAGTACATTATATGCATTTTTATATTATTAAAAAAGAGATATAGAAACCAACAAATTGTTGGTTGATACGATAATTAGTCTCATTTTCCTTAGGAGGAGACAGACTTGTTAGGATGGTTTTAACCTTAACATTTCTAACCCGACAAAGAGTAGTCTTGATCGTAAAGCAACTTAAAGATACTCTGAGTTATATTTAAAAAAAAACAGAGACATAGAAGTTGGCAACACATGCATATGCTGCGTTAGTTAATAATAAAATGAGAAGTTCACATGGTGTACTTATCTAGAGAAGTGCACCAAATCCAGATTTATGCATGTAGCAATTTCAACAATTTTGACAAAAATAATTATCTTCACACGCGAGATTATATTTTGACAATTGAGAGGGAAGTTTTTGGCTTTTTTTTTTAAAAAAATGAAATTGAAATACATTGTATAACTTGAAAAGTTTAAATGTTTAGTATCTAAAAGAAAAATAATAGCGAAAACTGATGAAAGGACACATATCTGTGCACACACAACATCTACAATAAATTTAAATACTACCTCTTATCCTAATTATAAGACCTTATTTATAAACTATGAACGAGGCCTTATAATTAAGACTGGAGGTAGTACTTAGGACTCTCTCTTTTAACTTCTACTGTTTCATCATGTTTGATGATGCCTAATATTTCTATTTTCATTTCTGAATATTTGCTAAAATCTTATTATATACCCCCTAGCTCTTGATAATCTGCCATATTATAGGATTAGAGTTATGAAGAGAATTAGTTATAATTTCCTAAACTATTAAGAAATGGATGGTTTGACCTTTCTCTTCTTGTACATACATCTGCAGGATTTGCCACTGCTTTTGCCGGCAGAGACGTCCTTGCCAATGTATTCAGTGGATTGTCTATGCAGTCTTCGGAGCCTTTTACAATTGGAGATACAATTAAAGTATGTAAACTAATTGACATTGGTGCAACTTGTACTTTTTTTGGGTCAATTTCCCCCCCTTTGTAATGGACACTGCACTAAGTGAGTTGCAATATTTCTGCACGTACTTGAACACTCTTGTCAACATATTTATGGCAGTCCATTATGTGAGGGATTATATTGAAGTATAATGAATTGCAGGCAGGGTGGGTAGAAGGAGAAGTGATAGAAATAGGACTGACAGAAACATTGTTGGTGAATGCTGAGAAGATGGCTGTGATGGTGCCCAACTCATATTTTTGCAGGCAGGTTAGCATCATCGCTTGATCCTGTCTTCTGTTGGTAGTGATCTATCCATAACAGTGGTTTCATGCATGGATATGCAAAAACTGCAGGTGATAGTGATAAAGTCTCGAGCAGAATGCCGTGGCATGATATCTAAAATCCCTTTGAAGATTGAGGCCATACAAAGAATTCCCAAGATATCAGATGAGATAAAAAACATGCTCAGAACAAATGGTAAGGTTTTGCTGGGGAAAGGAGCCCCTTACTGTTACTTGTCGCGCATTGAAACTTCGTACGCAGAATTGACCCTTGGATACAACCTCAAACACATGGTACGTACCATATCTTTGGGGTGTAGTGCATTTGGATTTTTATAAGCATGATTTTGAGGAGAATTGATTCATTCAAAGTGTGGGATATGAGGTACAGGGCAAAGATGAGATGAGCTATGCAGAACAAGAGGTCGTGGAGGAGGCAGTGGAGATTTTAAAGAGGCATCGTGCTGATCTTGGCCTCCTTTCCCATCTCTCATCTTCTTCCTCTGATTCAGACTGATATGAACAGTCACGATATAGACTAACAAGATTATCATAAATTGTGAAAACTGGCCTCAGAGTCTTGGACTCTGTATAACTTGTGAATATTGGCATAGATATTGATTCTGTTTTGTGGCTAAGATGAATCTCTTGTTCTATCGCTAATATATGTATATCTTGGGATGAATTTCTCCAATTTCTCTCTCATGTCTGTGTGTGTGTTCTTTTTGCTCAACCCTTGGTCATATTATATAAGTATAACCTGAATCATACCCCAAAAGCCGGGCACATGGAAACAACTTTTATAACTATTTTTTTAACTAATAAACTAGAAGTTCGGTTTTAAAAATGGAAACATCCATTACAAGCTCAATCCCCATTTTCATATGAGCCCGTTTGGCTAAGCGTTTCGAGGCAAATAAACTGTTTTTTTTCAAGTACAAGCCAGTTTGAAGAATTTGTGCTGTTTGGCTTGGCAATTGAGTGATATGTTTTTTATAAAGAGTTACAATAAGTTATAAACTAAAATTAATAGTTTATGACTTATAGCTTATAATTTATAACTTTTGAAAAATGGAGAGAGAAAAAGTTAAGAAATTTATTACCTCTTTTGATTTTTATTATAAACCTCAAATAACTAATTTTTAGATAACAAAAAATCAGTTAAAATTAGTTGAAAGTAATAAATAAGTTAGAAATATACTTTTGTTCTTAAATATACTCCTAGAAATATACTTTTATTTTTAAATATGTCCTTATAATAAATAATAAAAAATAAAAGAAAATATATGAGATCAACAGGAGCTTATAAATAATTTGGTAAAATTATTTTTTAATAATGTTTCATTATTTATTAAAACTCATAACTATTTTGATAATTTTATAAACAAGCTTACTTTTACTCAATCATAATCCAAATAACCTTTTACCAATTTCACTTTTACAAACTAACTTTTCTGAATTCAAATCCAAATACAATTCAGCTTATCCAATTTAATTTTTATCTAATTTTACTTTTTCAAAAATCAAATTGATAATAAACTACTTTTCCAATCGCTAATCCAAACGGACCCATATTCACTTTTACTCATAGCCTCTTTTTTGTAACTTTTTACAACCTAGCTTCAATTTTTTTTTTTTGATGTCTCTGGGTAATTAAATAGGGACATTAAGGTCAATTTGTTACTCCAAAAATCAGCAAGCAACATGATTTTTAGTGATATTTATTGAATTTTGGTCTTTCTTGAATAGAGGGGAAAAGCGGGTCCTTTGCCTCTTTTTGTATTATTCTTTTAGAAGTTTTTCATATTTATTAGCGAGAATTTTATAAAAACATATTTGAAATTATAAAATCTCAAATCATATTTGATAATAACATTTTAGTAAATTTTGAGAACACTTATTTGTAAATAACAACACATGTTTGTAAAAATTCTTTACTTAAAATTTATTAATTCTTAATTTCTTTTCATGGGGCTTTTCTCCTGTCTCTTCACGTAAGACTTTTTAATACATATTTATAAACATTTTATAATATTTTTGAAAAAAAAGTAAGAAGGTGTTTGGATCCCAAAAATACTTTCAAAAAATATTTTTACATAAATCGACAATATTTTTTATTACTTTTATTTTATACCATAGAATCACTCTTAAATTCAACAGTTTAATTTCACCTAAAAACCCCTTGAAATCCTTAGCCAACACTGATCCCGCCTGTACCGACTTGGATAAAGAGGATGTTTTTTTGTCTTTTTTCCCAATACACCCTCTCCTATACTGGAATCTTTTTTACTCTCTCCACAGGACACCTTCAAACGATCTCGCAGACCAGTGTGTTCTTTTGATCAGTACTCTTTCTTGATTGTTGTGTCATGTGTGACTACTTAATCAAAGAAGCGCTGCACGCCCAAGGTATAGCTGTTTTCAATTTCTCATGGATAAAATGCAGGAAATGTCGGTAAGTTGACGGAAAAGATGAAAAAAGCATTCTTTGTTTCATCATGTTGTTATTTTTCGCTATCCTGTTTACTACAAGCAATGGTATAATGTATTTTAGTCGCTGCATTGCGCTATCCAGTTAGTGGAACTAGCTTCGATGGACTGATGGCTTCACTAATTATTTATGACATTTCTTTATTTTTCAGTTTAAAAAATCAGGTTTCGGTTTTATTTCTGAATGATTTATGATCATTACGATGCTCTTATCGGATTCCCTTATTGGACTGGGCAACTCATTCACTGGAAATAATTGATTGGATGTTTCGGAATTTCTCTTCGTCCTTGCCTTGTTGGATTGCTGAAAACTGAGTACATCATATGTGCGCTGAAATTTGCAGATTGAGTCACTCTAGAATCCTGGTAGCTTCTTGGAGTTGGTGGTGATTATTCGATTTCAAATGATATCTCTGTTGACTTCTTTACTATGCTAAACTGATACAATGGCCGGAGCAAGGTTTTCCTATCTGAAACGTCTCCAGAAATATTCAGCTAAGGGTTCTTTTAACGAGGAATTAAGTCAGCCAAATCAACGTATTATGAACCTTACAAGATGTGTGGATTGTGTTCGGTTAAGATTTCTGAGTACTTCGTATAGTCACGCTTATTCCAAAAGAGAGTTACGGTTACCTGAAATTTTTGCCGAGAACCAGTTTAGAACTATGACTGCTGGAAATAGCAACCTCTTCACTACCAAACCTGCGGCTTCTATTTCTCCTAAATTTTCTAGCTTTTTCTTCCACAAGGCTCTTCCTTTTGCTTCACCTTCAATGACGCTCTTGTTGAATCATCGATCATATTCGTCATCTCTGAGTGGCAAAGGAAGTGGAGATGGGACCACGGATTTTCCATCTATTTCTGGGGCAAATGCCACGAATGCCGGCGGTGATTCTATCGATACGAGTGATTGGGCTGATAAAATCAAAGATGCTTGGCAGAGTGCAGCAGAGGCAGTAGCATATTCTGCACAAAAGGTTAAAGAAGCCTCTGATGAGCTGACTCCATATGCTCAACAGTTGCTCGACTCGCATCCATACCTCAATGATGTGGTTATTCCAGTTGGTGGTACATTGATTGCCACACTTATAGCGTGGATTGTGATGCCTCGGATTTTGAGGAAACTTCACAAATATGCAACGCAAGGTCCTGCTGCAAAATTTCCTGGAAGCACATCTGAGGAGCAAGTTCCCTATGAGAAAAGCTTTTGGGGTGCTTTGGAGGATCCAGTGCGATATTTGGTTACCTTCATGGCATTCTCACAGATGTTAGTAGCATATTTCCATTTAAGGGTGTTTTTATCATGTTTGTATTTCCTGGTTGCGTTATATTTCCTACTCTGTGACAGATAAATTTGGTTTTTCAGTGGTGTTGTGGTAGCTCCAACAACTGTGGCCTCACAATACCTTGCACAGGCTTGGAGGGGTGCTGTGATCCTTTCATTTGTGTGGTTTTTGTATCGATGTAAAACGAATGTCTTGGCACGTATTTTGTCAGGTCAAAATTTACTGGGGCTTGATCGGGATAAACTGCTCGGTCTAGACAAAATATCATCTGTTGGTCTCTTTGTGATTGGTATAATGGCTTTAGCTGAGGCTTTTGGTGTGGCTGTGCAATCTATTATAACTGTTGGTGGTATAGGAGGTAAGTATTCGAAGCTAGTTGAATCTGCTCAGTTTCTTTTTTAAACTTTTTGTCTTGCGAGTTTTCTTGTATCTCTTGATTTCTTCTGTGGGGATACTACATTACTACTAGTATGAAAAACTTGTAAACGATGGTAGGTTTTAGGATGTTAAGTTCGTTACGGGTGGTCAGGTGGATTTATCCGGTTGATAAGTATCATTACTGAAGGTCAAGACTGATAAGGAACATGGAATGTCAGATTGGTCAGCCCCCTTCCCAGAAAAGAGACGAGCAGTAACAGCACACACAGAGAACTAATAGAGACAGTCTCTAGCTTTCAAGAGGCTAGAGTCCCTCCTAGAGGAAACGCTTACCAATTGCTTCCCCCACCCCCAAAAAAAAAAATCCTTTGGTTTTTTGTAACCTCTTGGCCTGCACTCCTTCACTTCTCCTCTGTCTCGATCTCCTGGAACCATTTTGTTTCTTTTGTCTATTTTTTATCTGTCATCATTTCGTTTCTCTTGGAATAGGTCTACTGGGCTGAATTAACATTAAAATGGATGATTTGACCTCTTCTATCTTTATGCAGGAGTTGCCACTGCTTTTGCCGCTAGAGACATACTTGGCAATGTGTTCAGTGGGTTGTCTATGCAATTTTCAAAGCCCTTTACCGTTGGAGACACAATAAAAGTATGTCATTAATGGACTTGTTGCAGGCTACTGCTTTTATTTTACCCTTTTAATGTGCAGAAGTATTTCCTTAGGCATGGTATTGCTGGATGTTCTATACTTAAGCACTCTTGCTATTATTCATGAAAAATTGCAAGCTGTACTAGTTTTAGTGCTTAAATGCTTTTCACCAATAATCCAGTACGTCTGCTACGTTCTATGTATCATGCAGTATATTTTTCAAAAGGTATAAGCTTGTTGTTTATACATGTAGGGGGGAGAAAAGGGCTTGGAACATTTACGTTGTAAACAAGATAATAGTTTATTATTTTGAGAAATTAAATAAAATAAAATAGAGCTGTCCGAATATGTGTTTTGTGAAAATTCAAGCTTGAAGAGGATCTTCTAGATTTTTTAAGTCAGGAAGAAGGCATCCCTCAATGTCGGTTTTCCAGTGTATAATTTTTTTTTTTTTTTAAATACTTGTTTGTGAAATTATAGGCTGGCTCGGTGGAGGGTCAGGTGGTGGAAATGGGACTTACTACTACGTCATTGCTGAATGCTGAGAAGTTCCCAGTGGTAGTGCCAAACTCACTTTTTTCTAGCCAGGTGGGCATCCCCTTGCCCTTATTCTGTATTCGCAACTATTCAATTGATTTTCAACACTTGGGCATATCTAAATGCCTAATTTATCATGTTGATTTTTGCTGCTGATGAAACACGTTGGAAAATGTGCACTACTTTTTTATTCACTGTTCATGCTCAAATAAACAGTTCAAAGCAAGAGTTTTCCTCTGTTCTGGCATTGGCCATCAAGTTATGATTCTGCTGTCTTCTTAGAAATAAATAACTAATCAAATCATAGCTTATGTCTGTCATTCTATGATTATACTATGCCTAGCAATAGTTTGAGCACTTCTCTCATAGCTTCAAAACTTTTTCCTTTGTTAAGACCATTTAGTGGTAGAGTTCCTGTAACTTGGTCCTTGATCTAATTCTGATGGTTATTTATCATTTCACAAGCCTAAATTAAGATGTCTATTGTTTAATTTATTTAATCAAATACATCTTCTAGTTATTATCATTGTTCATTTTGTTTTTCTAACTTACAAGGTATTAGAAAGTTCTTCTCTTGAAGAGACATATTAAGAAGCCATCTTGTGTATAAAACTATATATGCAAGCTCTCTCTCTCTCTCTCTCTGATAGTTGTATTCACAAATTAATGCCTTTTTCTCTGTAAAAATTTTCCTCGTAGGCTTTGATTCTGAGATTACTGTTTGCTTTATTCAACGTAATTATTGATAATTTTCTTGTGATAACGGTTTTTCCATGCAAAATTTGTAGGTAATAGTGAACAAGTCCCGTGCTGAATGTCGTGCCATCTTGTCCAAAATTCCTTTGCGAATTGAGGATATAAATAAAATTCCAAAGATAGCAGATGACATCAAGAGCATGTTAAGGACAAACGCTAAGGTTTTCTTAGAGAAAGACGCTCCCTACTGTTACTTGTCGCACATTGAAAGTTCATATGCACAATTGACTATTGGATACAACCTCAAATACATGGTACCTCCTGCATTCCCGTCCCTAGAACAAATTCATGTTATGCTTATTAGTTGCTATGCAAATCCGTTTTATTAATTATTGTTTAATGTTATTATAGCATTTTCCGTAACATTATTTATGAGAAATTAGACTAATCAGCACGCTGAAATGTCAACTCAATGCACGGGAGTACTGTTAAGAACAATATGGAAGATGCTATAGGTATCTTTGAATTTACCTATACTTCATTGTCAACCTGTTGTTGTAAGTATCTGTTTGATCCAAGACGAACAGTGTGTCTAGTTGGTACTTAATTTAATGTGTTTTAGACATCTTCGTTACCAAATTCCCCTCGTCTGTCTCATGTTCTTGTTTCTTGCAGCGTAAAGACGAGATGTACTCTGCAGAACAAGATATCCTCTTGCAGGCAGTCCAGATTATTAAGATGCATGGTGCTGAACTTGGCAATACCTGGCAAAGCGTGCCTTGACATGGGAGAAAAAGCAGCTTCTGCCTGGAGATTAACTTTTTGTCAATTTCTTTCTGCTTGACTTCAATGATGGAAGACGTGATTTTAAAAATTTGATTTGGTCCAGACTAATACGAGTTTTGGAGTTTAGGTTAATTTGTCACACTTTGATTGATATAGTTTTGTAATTAATAGTAACACCGATGCTCCTCTCTCTCTCTCTCTCTACACACACACACATTCTTCTTGATATAAAAGTTAAATAATTAATTTGTTAATATTAAAAAATTAGTTAAGTTAATTACTTGTAATATATAGATATTGTCTTTCTAAAACTATCTTATCAATTAGGCGCAATAAAATTACCATTGTAATCATTATAAGGATTATTAGGGACAAAATGGATAAATATTCAAGGAAAATAAATTGAAATTTTATACTAGTTTCTATTTTAATATAAGAGTTACTTAGCTAATTTAAGTGGATTAAGAAAATTAGTCAAATTAGTTATTTGTAATAAAAAAGTATTGTTTTTCTCACAATATCTTTACTAATTAAGTGTATTAGTTAGAAATAATATTATTACAAGACTATCTTGAAAAAAAATGAATAAATATAAGAGACAATAAGTTTGGGTTTTATATTTAAAATCAAATTAAAATGAAATGAACTCTTACATTAAGGATTAGGGATAGTATTTAGTATCAAATTAAATCTAACTTTTATTATATTAAGGGTGGGAGGCGGCATACATATACATATTAAATTTCTTTCATATTGAATGTGGGTCCATGAAATGTCGATCAAGAAGAGGCCTTTGCACTTTTTCGCGAGGTTTAACCCACTCACGTTGAGCATCGTTTACACTTCTTCGTGCCCTGCATTCCTCGCCTCGGGTTTTTTTGAGCAATCTTTTAAATTTTAATTCACTACATTCCATATTAGCCACGTCAGTAACCATGGAAAGATTTCACTCATTGTCATTAGCTTTTTGTGTTTGCTCAAATTTGCCAGATTTAGTGATCAACGAATCCAACCAATATGGAAATCATGTGGAGCACAGGTAATTAATCATAATAAAAACCAACCAAGTGAGCTATATAATTTTATTTGCAGTAGCATGGGATTTATAATTATCAAATATCACATGATATCTTATTAAATAACCGCTTAAAGATAGTTTTGGTCAATTATTTCAAATATGAACTTTAATAAGTAAATTATTAAAAGTCATTTTTCTCGTTTAATTAGTTATTCTGATTTAATTAATTGATTTAGTTAGATTTGACGAAAGCCAGACAGCTTCATTGGTTTAAAGAAGCTATCTAAAATTTAGCTGAAGACGAAGCCCGGAAAAACAACTAGGGAACGAGCGCGCTGCTTTCTGGAACTAATCGAACCCTAGTTAGGGTTTTCATCTTTTGTGTCGTGGGGAAGCTACATATAGTACAGAGCAACCACCAGAGGCTCAAGCATTTTCAGCTGAAGATTACGCCTGAAGCCGCGATGGTATTTTCTATGACTGCGCGAATACCACCAGAACCCCAACTCCCTCACTCTGGGCCTGTTTGGTATGAGGGGAGGGGAGAGGGTAGGATTTTGCTCTCCTCCCCTTGTTTGGATTGCTATAATTTTTAGGAGGGGAGGAAATTTTTTTTAAGATTTTCCCTCCTCTCTCCTCATAATCCTCCCCTCCCAAATTGGTTGGAGCCCTAAAGCGCAACTCTATGATCTGCAATGAAGCTAGCTAGACTCGTCACGGCTTAGTCATGCAGCGATTCATTTGCTGTGTATGACAGCCACTTCCATTTCTTGACGATCGATTACGAGTGAGTATGTTTGGACTCAACCAAACCAAGCTCGCATGCATGCAAGTGCAAGATTCTGATATACAAGACACCTCACCCTCGTTTATATGGGAGAAGGTAATTTTTCAATGTCATAATAAAAAGCCTCACAGATACGTTTAATTTTCAAGGTTAACTATATTTTCAATAATATTAGTTTATATTTGGATCCAAAGACTATATCTTTGTGTGCATGCATGCATAGCTTGTCCTTGTTGATCTTCGATCAGCTATTCAAGTTGAAGTGAAGCTGGTTGACGATGAGAACGAGCGCTGCTCCTGCAATTGCTGCAACTGTACTGTCTTCTCTTATAATTGATTTCATCAGCATTAATATTATGAAACGTACTTGGTCCACTCTTTTCCAGCACCAATTCCTGCATGGCTCTATCCCATGCTTCGGGATTTGTTGAGTTTTTCCTGCAATTTTCTGAGAGATCATCAGAGGCCTTCAAAGGCCCTGTTTGGTACGTGGCATTAGGGGAGGTGGTACGGACATTGGCACTGGGATTGCTTATTTTGCTATGCTTGGTCGGAAGACTTGAACAATCCTGGGACTGCGGCGTACCGTGTTTCATGGGATTAGCTAGCTAGTACCACCCTATCCCCGGGTACTAGAAAATCAATCCTGGCATTGCATATTTTTTGGACTGACTTGCCCTTCACCCCCCCATCTCTCTTCTCATCTTCTTCATACCATCTTTCAAGGTGCACGCAGGCCACCCTTTAAGACGCTTGCCCTTTTCTTTTCTTCTCAGTTTTCACGCCGTTTAAACAAAGCATTATTGCCTCGATCCCTTTCAGTATTCCCAATCTCATGATAGAATCCCACAGTCATTGCTTTTCCTATTTTAATATCAGGGCAGAGAAAAATGTTGGGTTCATATTAGAGCAGATTATTCAGGTGATATTGTAGATGTGAGTCTTCTTTTGGCAGGATTCAGACGGCCACAATGGCTGAGTATGGATCTCTAGGATAGCGAGAAACCACCCATGCAGATTGTAGATCTGACCACACCTTTGCAGTCCAAAGTCTCCTTCGGCGAGCTGTAGATCCGACCAACCCTCCGTACCAAAAAGAGCCTTAGATATTCGAGTGGCCGATAAAGCTACTTCTTCTTCCATTGAATGAATGCTTTCAGTAATATGCGGAGTTATAGTGAGCGGATATTTTTTTCCAATCAGAATGATAATATGCTTATTAGTACACGTTTGTCTCTTATTTTAGTTTATTTGCTGTGCATTCAAGCTGGCGCTTTGCCAGTGGAACAATGAATAAGAGTTTTGCACTGACATGGAGTCATTTTAATTGATTATAACGAAAATGTAAAAAAAAAACTTAAATTAAATTACTAACCACAATGAAAAAAAAAAAAAAAACCCACGTAGTACGTTGGAGCATGTTTGTCTTAATAAAACCTTTTGGTTGGAAATTGAGTCTAACAGAAGAGACTCATAACGTGACGAATCAAGGTTCGAATCCTCGCTGAAAGAGGTGTCCACATTTAATACCTGACAGTACCTCAAATAGAATTGCCTCCAATAAAAGGATACCTATGCTTTAGCCAAAAAAAAACTTTCGGTTGGACTTAGCCGCGATTAAGTCATGTTGGGCCGAAAGGAACAAAAAAGTTAAATTAAAAAAAAATGTTGCAAAATAAATTATAAAACAAGTCTTAATTTTCGTGAATTTTTTTTTTTCGGTGAATACGTGAAAATTGTTTTGAAACACCCCCTTGCGCCACTAGCCTCTTCTCGGTAGCCACATCAGCACGGCCGAAGGCTGCTCCCCAGACAGGCACGAGAAATTAACCTTTTTTAAGCATAATTTTATAATTGCCCAGTACTTAGATTAAGTTCTTTTTACATATTATATTAAATTCTCTCATCACAAATAATATGTGTTGTACTTTTAAAATATTTATATTTAATATCATTTAATTATAAATTATATAAAAAAGATAAAATATATTATCATATGTTGTTGGAGAATTTGACAAAATAAAAACAACTAGCTTAACCTAAATATTTTTCTTTATAGTTTTATTAAGGGCCTGTTTGGGTGACTCCCAAAACTCTAGTTTGGGAGGCAAAATCATGGTTTGGGTGGAATGTCACCCAAACAGCATCAATTTTGATGCCATACTCTGAAACCATGGTTTGGGCCAAAACCATGGTTTCAGGAGAAGTGAATCCATTCTGCTTCTGGTTCAAATTAGAGAGTATAATTGTGCCTGTCAGAGTAGATCTCAACAATAATATGACTTTAACATCTCTCAATTAATTTTTTATAAACATATTAATCTTATATCTTATAAATATATATACATATTAATTATTCATTAATTATATTATCTTATGTATTATTAATTATGTTAGTAAAAAATATATTATTAACATTTTTATTCCTTCAAATTAAAATATATCATAAAATCTATCTTTTATGTAATTATCACATTAACTTTTGTCTTTTTTAGTAATTTGTATATATAAAAAGTGATTCTGATAACAACTATCCAAACACTCCCACTTCTTAGAATCACTTATTCACAAAATCTATTCTCCAGAAGCTATTCTCCAAACCATAATTTGATTTCATCCAAACACCCCATAAACTTTTACTTTAAAGAAAGCCCGGCAAACCATGATTACCCATTAACTGAATACTTCCTCTAGTCTTTCTAATAATACCCTATTCAAAAGAAATTTTTTATCCTTTTTATAATACCATACGATAGTTTTAGTGGCATTAAATATTTCTTTTCATATATGCTCATATTAATAAGAATAGTGGAAGAGTAAAACTTAACATAACATTAAAATTTAGTATATCCAATAAGAGTGATATTAAAAATCACTTGAATTTTACAATAAATTTAATATTTTTAATTATTTTTTATTGGCATGGGTGAGTGAGTAATCTTTCTTCTTAAAAAAATTAATATTTTACATAAAAGTAAAATGAGAAAAGTAGCGGAAGAGCAGGGTCAGGTGTACTTTTGGAACTGACACAAAACGTGACATATTCTTTTCCAAATCATAAAGTTGAAACATTTAACTACACCCGTTATTCAGGCTGAAAAAAAAAAACCGTTCTAATTATAAAATACTACTTCCGGTCCTTAATATAAGACCCTATTTGACTTTTTGTTTGGTCCTAATTATAAGACCCCAATCCATTTTCTCTCATATTTATGCATTTTTTCCAAGATAGTCCTTCTAATAATAATAGTTCTAACCAATACACTTAATTAGCAAGGATATTTTAGGAATGACTACACCTATTTATTACAAATAACTAACTTAACTTACTTTCTTAATCTCCTCAAATAAGTCAACTGGATCTTATAATTAAGACCGGAGGTAATATTATTTATAGTTTACAAATAACACCTTATAATTACGATGTGGGTAATAATTTCACACAATGAAGCGCACATACAAGATTAGAAGAATCTAAGCTAGGATTTTTTTTTTTTGCATTTTATTTCCGTGGGGGCAAAAACGGATAAACAGAATCAGAACCAATAAAAGATGTGGGTGCTTTTTTTATCTTTTTTTCTCTCTCTCTTGTACTCTCTCAGTTTTAAATATAATTTATTTTATAGTATTAATTACATTATAAAATAAGTTCTACATTTATATTTGGATGAATATTATGTATAATTGAAAAACAAATCATAATATTCGTAAATAATGATGGGTAATGGGCATCAGTGTATGACCCCATATAAATTTTAGACTAAAATATGTATTTAGTGTTTTAACTTTATACAATATTTTAATTTGGTTCTTTAACTTTAAAAAGTATACATTTGACTATTTAATTCTAAAATCATTAAGCTCAAATGATTTTTTTTTTAACAATCATAATCGTTTTGAATATCAAACTTAATATGTTAGTATTTAAAAATAGTTTATTAATATTTATAAGGACTAAAAACATACTTTTTTTTAAAGTTAAGGGATTTTATAAAGTTATACTTTAGCCTACATTTTATATTTAGGATAAAAATGTAAAAATATATGTAAAGTATACCCATATACTCATTTTAAGTGTTCATGAATCTTTTAAAATAAAACAAAATTCTTAGATACATTAACAACCGACAAGTTTATCTCTCCGTTTGCAAACAGTCAATGGCGTTACATTTAACGATGAGAAATACTTCATGCGTACTTTTACATTTTTATCCTAAATTTTCTTAGTTGAATTTTATAAAATTGCATGAAACAAAAAAAATTATAATAACTTGCTGTAAAAAAATTTTGTGTAAAAAAAACAATTTAAAAAAATTTTTTTTTTTGGGCAGATTCAATGATCCTGTGGATCCCACAAATTAAATATAAAGCTCATCCCTGCTCTCCTTTTCTGTTTCCACTTGAACAACCTCACTCATAATAATAAAATTGGGGAATATATTTTAGGGTCTGGCCCACGACAATAATCAACACTGGTGTACATTTATTTTTATTCTTAACATTAAAAAGAGGATGAGCTGTGTTACTGAATTGCAAGGAATAATAAAATGCTTGTAGCCAGCCAGCCTTGTTTCCAAATTTTGCCAAAGCTGTTGTCAGTTAGTTAGTTGGAGTGGACATCATTTCTATATGCGTCTTACCCTTCTCCTAGAATATATTCCTACCCATTATCTTTACTCAGGTTTATTTTTTTAATTACGTACTCATATGATCCTATATTTTTATTATGTTTTGTTAGGATCAATAAGGTAAATCTTAAATCTCATTTATTTTAAAATGTATTAGTAACTATTTAATTTTATTCCTATATAAGGTATACTCTATACCTTAATTATGGTTTGTTCCTATGACTAATAAATAAATAAAAAATACAATCATACATTTATATCATAAATTTAACGATATCACTTATAAATGGGGTTTAAAAAAAAGTGTGCACGCTTTCTCTGCCTCGCATATAGAGGATCAGATCATAGAGGAGTATTTTTGTGGTTGTTTTTTATTTCTTTTTTCAAATTTTTAAGTACATAATAAAATAAATTAATATAATTACTTTCATATCATTTGACACTTGAATCTTGAATCAATATCTTGAACAATAAGTGAATGGTCATTTTGCTTTGGTATTCTTTAATACCATAGTTTTTATTTTGAATTCCCAAAATTATGGTAATAGTCTCGCAGGAAATCTTCATATTTCAATTTTCTATGTGTAAGTGGAAAGGTATCTTGAGAGCAAACACTAGCTATATACGTTTTGTTCTTGGACAAATCAGTTGGCATATATATAATATTATTAAATAATTTGAATTCGTATTTGAGTTGAATCAAGCAACGATTGAAGGAAAAATTTCTTAATATAATGTGTGTTTTTTAATGTATATGTAGAGTTTGAATTCAACACACAAATCATTGAAGAGAAATATTCATGAGTTGAGTGCTTTACCAACCAATCCAATTGCTAGACAAGCGTTGTTACCAGTTATAGGCCGACAAGTTGAACCCAAAAATTCAATTATCAATATCAACCATCATTGATGAACATTGGTGATTCGTGGGTTGGAAAAAAACAATAATTTGAGTTTATGAATTAATTCTCCTTAAAAAACGCTGGCATATACATGTACGTGGTAGGAATATATATATATATATATATATATATATAAAGACACAAGAAAGCAAATTAAACTCTTCAAATCCCATTTTCCATTTTCCTCATCAAATGCTGACGTTGAGATGGAAATTAATTAATCACCCTTTCCTCTTCACTATGTACTGCCTCTGATCTTTAATATAAGAACCAGACAATCAATTTTAAAAGATTAAAAAAATTAGTTAAATTAATTATTTTTCACAAATGTGTGTTGGTATTTCTAAATTATTCTCTTCAATTATGTACATCGGATGAATGGAATCATCTCTTACTGAAAATATTGTACATTTAACAGAAATATTTTGGGAAAAATAAAAAACTAAGTAGATTGATGTATTATATTTAGGATCAAATTCAACTCCCTATTAGTTTTTGTATTAAAAATTAGACGTAGTATAATTAAACCAACGAAGGTCATGAATTTTGCTCAGACTCATATTTTGGCATGGATCCCAGTAGCTGGAATATTATTGGCTAGTGAGTAAAGTTAGTTAGTTAATATAATTCTCATTCACTCAACCTGTATAGGAATGATTTCTAAGACCTCACATTAATTCTCGTGTGCGAATACAATCAACCTTTTTAACAAGGGCAAGACCCATAATAACCCTTTTCTCTGGGGAGAATCAACCATTCTTCGTTCTTCGATTTACATACCTTTTTCTCATGCACTGTAATTCCGACACATGTCCCCACGAAGGGTGGCTCCCACTTGGCTGATACAAAATACTCCAGCCAGGAGGGGGCCTCCAAGTACGGTGGGCCCCACCGGCCCAGCTTTGCCGCTGGGCGCGTGTGACGACGCACTCTCCTCGACAGATAGGACCCCGGGAAAAATGTTGCGTTCCCGTCATGTGCAGAGAATGTAAACCTTGTGAGCGTGTGTGTGTGTGACTTGCCCGGAGAAGCACTTGCCTGACTAAAATGCCCTTCATCGTACCCATTCTTCGCCGCCCGGATTTGCCCAGATGATAGCTGCTCATCAGCTAAATCTTGTGTAATACTCCTCCGGTCCTAATTATAAGACCCAATTGACTTATTTGAGGAGATTAAGGAAGTAAGTTAAGTTGGTTATTTATAATAAATAAGTGTTGTCATTCCTAAAATATCCTTGCTAATTAAGTATATTGGCTAAAATTATCATTATTATAAGGATTATCTTGGAAAAAAATGCATAAATATAAGAGACAAAATGGATTGGGTCTTATAATTAGGACCAAATAAAAAGTCAAATTGGGTCTTATAATAAGGACCGGAGGAGTAGATTCCATGTTCATGTTATTCTAAGTCTTGGATATTTATCTGAGAGATATGTCCAATGTATACGCTTTCACTTGCCCGAAAATTTAAATTTTCACCTTCAAAAAAAAATACCATTTGAGTTGTTTTTGGCCGAAAAGAATACCATTTGAGCTGACTATAAATAATATGCGGGCATGTCATACATATATCTAAACAGATTATCTGCAAAATAAATATTTAGAAACATATTTTAATAAATAAAAACCTAGCTCAAGTTTTATATTTGCTATATCAACTTGTCCATCATGTGTTTTTTTATTTTGTGTGGATTTATAATTAAATACAAATATTTTTAAAATAGGACACGGGTAACTTAATATAATGAATATAAAAAACTTAATGTAAATATTACTCTTTAATAAAACCAGTATGTCCTGCCCTTTTGAGATATTGAATCTGTATCATCAAATTGAACAGATGCCACAAATTTTTTTTTTATTGCAGCTATATTTATATTATGATCAAAAAAATAAAATCTATATGTCAAAACATATTTTGAGTAAATTGTGAATAATGCAATTATCTTTTGTATATATGTCTGTTTGTCGTGTAATGCTAGGGCTCAATATTTAGATACTAAAAATAATACTACATTCTTAGGCATCTTTGAAAGTTATCCCTATAAAAATCATCTGTCAGAAAACTAAATTATCGTTTTTTATTAACATTAATATAATTAGAATTAATTTGTTTTATATACATTGCACCAGTTTGAAACAAGTCAGATGCATCATTTATTTATCACTAATAAATATGATCTGTTGCGATAAATTCTGTATTATGTATTAAATGCATATCAAATATGGAGTTTTATATTGAGTATTGATGATGATGAGGTCAATATATAAATAGTCGAGTAGTTTAACGCTGCTATACATATGTTTGTTACTTTAAAAGGAGCCAGCTGCGATTTTGAAACAAAAGGATTGATGCTTTGGCCTTGTCTTTCCCTCTTTGTTTTCCCATTCCTCTTTAACACTTTTTAAAATAAAAATGATTCACAATTTATCGCCCGCGCTTTTTAATTTTTATTTTTTTATTTATCTTTATATTAATAAGAATAGAAAAAATCATAATCTTATGAGGAGTGAATTTCGGGGATTCCCACGTACTCCCAAATGCAATTTTCATAACATATTCCCTGTGTTTGATAAGGGCCTAAAATTATTGTTGCCATTAAAATTATTTTCGCTTTTGGACAGCAGGGGTGACGTGGGGTCGCCGCAGCCACCTTCTTTGGCCCCCACATGGAGTGCGTAAATAGGCGGCAGATGTAGGGGTAATATCGTCCACATGAAGCCAAACAGAAACATATAATGAAGCAAACCCTTGAATATCGAGTCGCTGGGACTGTGAGTGAGATCTGCGAAACAAAACCAAACCAAACTCCCCCCTCCCTTCCTCTCTCTCTCTCCCAGCAGAGAGACCGAGGGAGAGAGCGAGTGAGAGAGAGAGCGAGCAGAGACGACAGATCAAAACCAAACCAGACGAAACTCTTTTCGTTGATCCATTTCTTCCTCATCTTGTTCCTCAGTGAATAATATATATCTACATCTGTATCTTTATCTCCATGAGGATCCGCAAGAACGCCAGGCTTGGTGGTTCATTGCCGACCGAGAAGCTTCAGCCCCTCGTGTGCCAGCTGAACCAGTCGCCATGGGATGTGATCCCCTTCGGCTCCGATTTAATTCAGGTCCGTCTCTAACTCAATCTCTTAGTTCTTTCAGATCTACCCCGAAGCTTCGTTATCGCCCACCTTCTCCCTCCATTTCATTATTAGGGTTTTTATTCCCTACATTAGGGTTCTTCGTAGGCCCCAAATTCTTATCGTTTGATCCCGTCCATTGCTTTCAACTCCCAATTAGGTTAATATGTGTCCCTCATCCCTCACTATTTCTCTTGGGCTTCGTTCTTCGCTGTTTCCACAGTTCGAGTATGGAGAAGACGATAGCTTCGCGGGAAACGCAAATGGCAGTGCGGGCAATTCTGGTGGAGCTGTTGAGAGGTAAGTAACCCATTCGTTGATTCTTCGTTTTATCTTCTCCAGCATTATTAGGGTTTCTATCCTTGCTTCGACATTATGAAAGTCATACAATACAATTCTCCTAAATTCCATCCCTAAACCTGAAATATGTCCTCGGACTGCTTGCGTAAAACGCAGCGTTGCGTCACCGATGGACGCGGAACTGAAGTCCCCGCCAAATATACAGCACGTAGTCGTCCACGATAATGACGACTTCAGCGAGCAGAATGGAATTGCGCAGCCGGATTACAAAGCTGGTGGGGAGAACAAGACGACGTCGTGCGGCCAATGCAAGAATAACGAAGCTAAGAAGCAAGGGCAATCCAACCACGAGCACAACAATTTATCTTCAGCGAGGTCGAAGAAGGCGGCCGCATTGGCCGGAGCTCGCCGCACGAGAGCTCAGAGCGCGAAGAAGGCTCCGTCGGCGACTTCGAACCCATACGAATTCTACTATTATTCTGGGTTCGGTCCGCTGTGGGGAAAGCGGAGAGGGGGAAGAAACGGAGGATTGAATAATAAGAACGAGGTTAAAGCGAAAGGAGGCGAAGACTCGACGATAACTGAAGCAAATGGCGCTACAATTCAGAGTCCTTGCTCGTCTTCGCAGATTGATACCGAGGGATTTGATTACGCAGACGACGAAGTTGAAGAAGACTATGATGACGAAGCAGAAGAAGGGAACGGAGAAAGCGGGAAGAAGCGAGTGAGGAAGCCAGTGAAGGCAAGATCGTTGAAATCGCTCATGTGAGATGGAATTACATGTAGTTTTAATTTTTTTTTTAAATGTTTAGCGGGGGATCCCCTTCAGCTTTGGGCTATTTTAGGGTTATGAATGAGAGAGAATCTCGATGGTGTGTGTGTGTTTTTTTTTTTTTTTTTTGGGGAGGGGGGGCCTCAGGTTTCAGAGAGTGATGTGGTGTGGGTAGGTGAGATTAATTAGCGTTTCCCTGCAACATGACAGAAGTAATAGGAGATGGGGAGTAGGGTGTTTGTAATTTCTATAGTGTGATGATGGATGTGGACTCGATGGGCACATCAAATGTTCGGATGAAATGGAAAGGGCAAATTCGTAAATGAAGTGTGTCATTGGTTCTATATTTAATTTAATTAATTAATGTGCGCAGTAACGAAGCTAAGTTGCTTGTGTGTCTATGTGGAGCATGGAGAAAGCTCTATCCGTAGACACAGGAAGTGATATAATAGAGTAAGACGTAAATATAAATAATGCGGGCCACCCTTTCAACACTGTCATAACACAAGACATGAGCATGTCTTCGAAGTTACCTTTTTCCCCTCCGACTAATATGGTGTATTAAGTATTAACAATTTAGTGTCTGAAAATTTTGGTAATTAATAAAAACTTACAATTTAAATCTATTACTACTCACAAATATAAATTTGAGTATTAATATTACGTGTTTAAATAAAATGTAATTGATAAAATTTGAACGTCCTATTTTCAGAGATATCAAATCTCGCTCCTATGACTTATCACTATAGTTATTGTTTATGTGAATCAATAGGTGTAAATTGAATAGAAAATATTAAAAAAGGTTCATTTTTATCATATACCGGCACATGTGTCACATGTAGCTAAATACATTTGGTGTTCCCCCCTTTTGCCTCCTTTAAAAAGTACTCCTCTAGTTTTATTTATAAGATAGAGAGAAAATATTTTTTTATTTTTATTCATAAGTCATTTTATTAAATTTTTAGCTTGAATGTATTATTTCATCATTTATTTATTACGGTGTAAATAATTATTTTTTTGAAAAGTATATACTCCTCCGGTCCTTAATATAGGACCCAATTCTTAAGTTGGTTTTGGTTCTAAATATAAAACTCATTTCTCATATTTATCAATTTTCTCTAAATTATCCTTATAGATACTCCCTCAACCATAATCAAATAGAAGAAGGATAAGGGTATTAAAAAAGATGATTATGGTATTTTAGGAAAAATGTGCCACTTTTCTTATAATTAACTAACTTACCTAACTTCCTTAATTTAATCAAATTAGTTAAATGGGTCTTATATTAAGGACTGGAGGAGTATTAAATAGATGTAAAGTTTGAAGGTTGTTATATTTTAATGAAGAGTTAATACATTTTAAGATTTTTCTTGATCTGTGTGAAATATTCTGAAAATACTTTATAAATAGGATCAGAAAAATAATTAGCAGTGATTTTTATGATATGACGCATCACTCTGGTATTTTTTAATTGTTACTTGTAGTAGTTTCTCACGTGCCAAAGAGATCATTGAATGCATAAATTTTTTCAATTCTACCCTTATTAAATACTAGTATATTTTTTCTTACTCATTCCTTCTTTGTTCTCGTTTACACTTGTCTCTCTTAATTAATAGGGAGAGAATTGCAAATAAAGCATTAAAAAGGACCAAAATCTCTTTTTACAGGTGATAATTAAAAAAGATTAGAGTGGTAATTCGGCAAACTATTATCGGAACTTAAATTGGAGCAATCGTTTAACATAATTTGACTATTTTGTTAAAAAAAAAAAAAGAGCACCATTTAAATGTGAAATTCAGCTTTTGTGGGGAAAAAATTAATAATCTGGATGGGTTGATATGCTTTATATGCTATCTCTAATCTTTAATATAAAATTTAGTTTATAATTTTAAATTATAAATTAAATCTTATATTAAGAATTGAAGATAGTATTGTTTAGTGTGTACTAGACAACATGCCTTGTTCTATACAAGTTTAGATATAATTATGTTGCACTTGCTACAAAAATGCTAATTGATGCCGAGGACCGTAGTTTATCTTTCTATAAATTGAAAATCCATTTTAATTCTTTGATCCTATAATCTTTTCATACTCATGTCATGTGAGTTTTGGAGTGGGATTAGAGATAGTAATATTTTTATTAATTAAATGTTACTGCTTCTTGTCTCTTATTCTTAACGTGAGATTCAGTTTGTGGTATTGAATTACAAACTTAATGTTATAGAGGTAGTTTTTTTTGGGAACTATAAGCCTACAATATAAATAATATTTGAATGATCAGATCTGCAATAGGTATGCGAAATGCTTGCAGAGCAAAAGGGAAAAAAAGAAAATAATAAAAATAGAAATATAAAATATACATCCCACTTAAATATATTTTTACTCAATGTGTCATTTTTCACTTTACGGAAACTTTGCAAAATTTTCATTCCATAAAATTCAAACTTGAGTGTATAAAATACTTTTAGCTGAATAATTAATAAAGTGCTTCTCAAATGAAGAAACAATGATACAAGAGATGAAAGAATAACCGGAATATACTTACTTTTTTCTACTCATTTATTCTTTTATTTCTATTTTTTTAAGAAAACGATTACAGCTATGAATTTTCACTCGTGAAGCATTTGATTTTGATCGCATATTGACTCCAGATCATTAAAATCACTCTCGATTACTTATTTCTTCTTTCTCTTTTTATCATTAAAATTATTTCATTATTAGTAAAATAATGATCTTGTAAGCTGTAACCAATTTATTGAGTCGACAGAATTACTTTCCCAATTTCTTACTCCCTCCTGTCCACAATATGGATGCGTGGTGTTTGGTGTCATTTCCTGTGGCGAGATTAATATATGGCCTCCACAAAATCACTGTAAGCTTCAGTCTTTCATAGCAAAGGTTCCCCGCCGCCGCAACGACCGCCACGAGCAGCCACGAGCCGCCACGAGCCACCAGCTCTTTGTCCCTGTCTAAAGCACCAGGCAAGGTAAATGGTGGGGACGTCTCCATTTTCTCTTTCTCCCATTTTCGTCTTATCCCTTCGTCAGATGCCATTGTTGTACGGAATTTGCAGCAATTTGTGGCCTGGCCTTGGTTGAGATCAAGATTGGGGATTTTCGTGTCTGTTACCCACATTCCCAGTTATCAAGTTTTAGGGATATAGGCAGTGATGGATTTGAACGTACGTCGGCGTCAGGCTCTTCTGTACGCAATATAATGAAGAAGATGAATTTTGTCTTTGCAAACTGTATGAGGATATTTAGATTAGCTTTTTGAGAATAATTTCATGGTCTACGCGAGGCGTATGTAAACTACGTTAATCCAATTCGAGAAAAATTTAGGCACGTACATTCTAAATATTTTTTAAGATTTTTAATACAAGAGTTAGTTTGATATTTAATTTAATATTAAATACAAGACTTTAAATTCATTTTGTTTATTGTATTTATCAATTAGTTAATAGACATGATTAATATAAGTATTTTGAGAAAGATAACACCTGTTTGTTATAAAAAAAACTAAATTATAATTTTTTTAATTTATTTAAATTAGTTAATTAGTTTTTCTATATATAAAAGTTATGATTAGCATGCATCGATCCACTTGTAATTTAGGCTGTTTCTTCAAGTTGTTATTTAAAACGTTTGAATTCGTACGGAGTTCAAAGGTGTTTGTCGGACGTAAGTTGTTTTGGGCCACCAGTCCGATGTAAGTTTTTATTTGGGGACAACCAGACCAATTTAAGTTTTGAGACAAACATTCCTACACGTATTCATATAAAGAGGACATGAGGGTCAAAGGTCAATTGCGAAACCACCTTTTTAAATAAAACAAGAATTAAAAAAAAAAAAAAAAGGATGATCGTTCACATTCTGCACACGACACGGCTGCACAGTCTGAAATAGCGTCTTGGGCAAAGAAAAAAAAGACTTGCTTGCGTTTTGAATCCAAGTGTGAGTAATGAGAAGAAATTCTTTCTTAGATAAATCTAAACATTGAAATATATGTTGTGCGGGCGTGTCTGTTAAAAAACTATTGCACTCAAAATGCACGTATTGTCAAACTCATTTTTACATTTATTTCTAAATATTTTCTCAGTGTCATAAACTGCAATATAATTGCCCTCGAATACAAGACAAAGTGTAATATTATTACACAACACAGTACTGGAATAAGAAACCTGCACCATATAGGTAACACACCAATATAATATGATAAGAAAGGATGTGTCTCCCTTCACAAGACAAGTGCACCCGAGCTAAAGATTTTTAATTAATTATTTTTAAATAAAAAATTATCCTTTCAGAAAATAATAGTTAAGAGATTATGTTTATTTTAAATTCTATGCTCATTAAAGTAATTATTTTAAAAAAATAAATCTGGATTTGGATTATTTTAAATCCATATCACATTTGGATTATCTAAATTTAATGAGTTTAAATTCATTCCTTAAATTACTTCTTTGGACAGAGCACCACCTTCTATTTTTACCACCGTGCTCACAACTTTCCTTACCTACAGCCTTCGATTCTTAATATAATTTTTTTTTTAGTTCTAAATATAAAAATCTAATCCACTTTGTCTTTCATATTTATTCATTTTTTTCCAGGATAGTCCTTCTAATAATGTAGTTCTAGCCAACAACATTGATTATCAAGGATATTTTAGGAAAGATAACACCTATTTATTACGAATAACTAACTTAACTTATTTTTTTAATCTTCTCAAATTAGTAAAATGATTAGAAGGGTTTTGATCTTTAATTTATATAAAGTAGCTTGGCATCACTCTTGCAGTACAGTTTAATAACCACATAAGGGGATATTTTCGTTCAGATGACTTGGCCGTTTTTTCATTCCATGCTCAGGACTCAGGAGGAAGCTAGAGATAGATTTGGCTAAGAATTGTGGCACATTTTACGACCAATAGTTTCTTTTCCTTATTTTGTGCATAATTATATTTTTGGATCCAGTTGTGAGATGCCAAGAACAACGTGGGAAGTATAGTAATTACTTGATGGGCTTCCATGACAAAGAGCTTTCGTATTACAAAGTTATTAGTCTTTTGTTCAATCTATTGGAAGAAATTAGAAACAATTAAGCATGATTACATAGTTAGCTTCATATGATCATGTGTCCAGAGACAGTAAATACTATTTTTAGTTCTTAGTATAAGAGCCAGTTGATTAATTTAAATAAATTAAATAAGTTTGGTGAGTTAGTTATTTGTAATAAATTAGTATTATCTTTCCTAAAACACTCTTACTAATCGTGTATATTAGTTAAACTATCATTTGATAGAATCTTTAATATGCACAACTACTATAAGGACTGTTTTAAAAAAAAAGATAAATAAAAAAGATAAAATGAATTAGAGTATTATATTTATGATTAAATTAAATGTCAAACTTTTAGTATGTGCTAGCATGTTTACATAAGCACTGATATTATAATTATGTCCCATTCCACCCTATATATTGGAAATTACGCTTTACACCGAAAATTGTGAACATATTGGTCTTATTGGCTGAATTCTATTCTATTTTCGAGATTTAGTCTTTTTATTATATTTTAAATATGATTTTTATGTCATTTACAAATTTTAGTTCACGTAATTTAATAAGGTGTGATTGCGATTATGTATTTAAATAATATAAAAAAGCATCTTTTAAAATTTGAAATAAAATTATATTTGTTAATATGGAATCAATAGGACATGCATTTTGGTTGGGAGGAATTATTTAGAATAATATTATGATTAGTAAAGAAAAAAGTAACGTTGGCCAAAAAAAAAAAGAAGAAAAAAAGTAACAATTAATGAAAAAGAAAATAAAAAAAGAAAGACAATCATGCGTCGTGAATATCCGTGTCGAACCAGAGGATTCGATCGTACCATCTCTGAAGTGCTTTGTACTTTGCTTCCCCAGCATTATCGACATTCTTCAATTTAGTTATTTATTTTTTAATATTTTTATTATCTCTTTCCTGACTAACCAAAAGGATGAAAAACGCAATTAATTCTGAAATTTCCTATCAGAATATCAGATCCTGCCCCACCCTTGATTGACTTACCGGCCGAAGTCTTCTCTCGTGAGAAATCGAAGTCAACCATTCGACTGCTAGACACTCGCCTCTTCCCGCGTGAGACAGAACCAGTAAAGTCTCCGCTATCGATTCGTCAGTCTTCAGTTTCGCCCCATTAGTGGACGATTCAGCCCAGAACTCTCGCAAGGCCATACGTTTAGTAAATTAAGAAGAAAAATCTCATTTTTTTTCACTGTTTTGTGTTTTCCCTTTCCTTTGTCGCATCCTCCTTATCAAGACTTTATTTTTTTTTTGAATTAGTCCTAATTCAACCAGTATACATTTCCATCATTCCATTAGTTAGGCTCCTATGGTTTCTTAATCGCCCCCTTTGATAGAAAAAAGATGCCTTTCAAATCGATTCTATGCTCTAATCCTAACTGGATTCTTAGTATTTTGGCGCTCTTTACTTGTTTATCTGGCCTCTGCTGTGCGAGTGATCAACTGGGAACTGGCGACAGCTTCACTGTTTCCAGCTTCAGCTACCCAGAGACTACTCTCAGGCCCTTTGATTTGCGATATATCAGAGGTGAGCGGGTCAATTGGTAGCGGCCCTTCTGTCTATATGCTTATTTTCTCCGTTCTTATTGTTCATAGAACACTGCAAGGTATACAGTCTAATGCGTTATCGCTGAGTCCTAGGGAAAATAGGCGAATTCATGGGATAATGATCGGTATTTCTGGGTTCTTTTAAGCTCATTCACTTCCAGTTTTGTTTTTTTTTGCCTGTCAGTTTTATTTAATTCCAGTCTTGTATTGTTGCTATTGAAGAGTCTTCGGTTAATCTCTCCAAGATATAATGAAGGAAATGGTTATGCAATGCTTCGGTGTTTCTTCGTGATAGAGCTTATATCAGAATTATAAGTGGCAATTTAGCTAGTGGTACTGATGATTTTAGTCTTGTGTTTTCTATGGAACAGGAGATTCTAGCTGGATTACTTTCACTTCAAACAATGGCTTGCATGTGTAGATTGTCATTCGTTGTCATAGAAATTTCAGAAAACTTAAATGTACTTTTTTTCCCTCCGTTTCTGTGTAGTGAGAATTTAAATATTGGGTTTCGTGGAATTTAAGATTTATATGTAGCTGATATCCATCAAATCCTCAAATGAGCAAGATATCTGGTTATGCTTCGTATGCTATTGCTAATTTTCCAATTGGAGAAATGAGAAATATTTACTCAGGAGGCTGAACTTTTTCCTCTGCTTTAGGGAACTTTAATTTGTTGGTTCATAGATCTATTATACTGGAGAAAAAGGAATCAAGAAAAAATAGTTTGCTGCTGACTGTGGACTTACACATGATCTTACATGTCTATTGTGGTTCTTTTTTTCTTATTCCAGTTGATTTGCCGACATGGTTTTCTGCAGTGTTCATAGCATTGAACTCAGATGTAGACCTTGTAAGTATATTTACTATTCTTAATAGATAGGATTACCATGGAACACTGACATTGGGAGCAACAGCAACTATGCTTCTTTTGATAAAATTTCTTTATTGAAATTCTGTTTCCTCAGTTTGTTTGTCTGTTTATATTGTTAGGTACTTCATGTGGTAAAAAATGTAAATCAAATAGTTGTCTGTGAGAAGAATAAATATCCTAAATGAATTTCATTGAAATTTTCTTTTATCTCTTATAATTGAATTTGTGTGTTAAATTTATTTTTCTTGTGCTACTGAAAATATGCCTGGAGAACCCAATTTTAGGACACGCTTTTTCTGTGCCTTTTTTTCAGGATGTCACAAAAGTGGAAAAGGTTCCAAAAAGCATGTTGCCGATAGCATGTTTTAGAGATGGCAGCCCTCCGTTGCCAGATGCCTCAAATATTTCCCTGAAAGAGTCGGCCATCTCAGGTAGACCTTTAGCTGGTTCAACTTAGTCTATCTGAAACACTCTCAAGTCTGAGCACGGATATTATATCCTAAAGTTCCCTGTTTTGAGATAATTATAAATTTAGCTTCATTGTTCGCTTAGAAGTTATCCTTAGGACACCCTATATCTGTTGATTAGCCAGAACCATTGGAACCGCAATAAATTTTTATCATTCATTAAATTAGAATTTAGTATAACGACTTGTTTGTATTTAGTATAATTCCTCCTCACTGCTTACTTGCTTCACTATGATGATTTCTTTTGGCTATCATAATAACTTTTTTGACACTTGTTCACTAGTTCTCTGTCTACTTCTGTATCTTCTTCTTTTCAAAAGGAAAGGCAAATCAATATATCAGTTTACATAACAAAAGCTATAACAAGTTGCGCTATCCACAAACTATAAACAGTATGACTCATTCCTCACGTTTGTGCAACTCATGAATAAACATGTCTACATTTCCATAAATTTTTTTGGTTAATATGCCCTTTGTAATCCCCATTTTGTTCTCCTTTTTCTTCAGGAATGAATAATCTTTATGTGGAGCAGTGTTTTCCCATGCAGAAAAATATTACTTTGAGATTGACGAACGAGCAGGTATTCTTAGAGGTCCTTAGTAGTTTTTCTCCCTTTTGCTGCAAGAATTTTATTTCCATAAATTTATCTAGCATCTTCAAGCTTAGTTTCTCTTTTCTTTGCATGGTTGTAATGACCTGATAATATCTGCCTTGACAATAAACTGTCAGTATTATCAATGAGAAGAACTAATAAAGTTATATACTTTTTTTTTTTTTCATTTACAATATTATAGACAGAAAACATTAAAAGATTATTGTTCAGATATCTCCAGGTGTTTGGTACATTGGTCTATTCAATGGCATTGGAGCTGCTAGGACACAGTCAAAGATGGTATGTACTATTATCCCCTGTAATAACATCTATAGGTCTTGCTGATTAATTCCCTGAAGAAAGTAACTGGGGTTCCCCAGATGCACAATTGATTCGAAGTATAGCTAATTAATGACATTCTCAATAAAAGCAATTAATATATTTTAACACTTAAAACTACTGAAATGTTTTTTAAAAAGTCAATGCACTGATTACATGCTCATAGCTGTGACTCTCTTCTAACTAGTGCCATAAGAGAACTGGTTTCTAATTCTTTCCATATTGTACTGAGTCAGACACTTAATTGATTCAGTTTGTGGATAGATCAAAGCTTTATGGTTGGATATTCACAATAAAAATACAGGAATCCGTGAGTTTGTGCTTAATGTTGATATATAGTTAATTAAGCTTATTAGTCTTCTTTGTCCTTTTATCTTGGCATTTGAATCACATATGTCAGTCTCATTTATGCTGCTAGATTGAAGATTTCCGTCTTGATTTCCCCTGCCCCTCCCTCCATTCCTTTCCATCTTCCTCATGCTATTACTCTTAGCAAAGGGGCCTACAACATGCTGATGAATAGCAAGTACTTGCTTGTCCCTGCAGATTATCCGAGGTCCAACTTACTCCTTTAGTGCCAATGTAAGTGTCGAAGCATGCACTAATGTGATGATGATGGGGGAGTTCTGCAACAGTACAGTCTATCCTCTCTCGTGCACTGGGCCTGATGTCTTTGATACTTCTGACGGTGTGGCTCTCAAGCCAATGGTCAAAAGTGTAATGACATGCAGAAATAATTTTGAAACTTTATGTGTTCAGGAAGGTGGAGCAAAAGTCTACTCCTTGGATATAATGAATATGGTGGAAGAGTTCAGCATTACGGCCACAAATGTCAGTTTCAATTCCAATGCATCAACTAATGATGCAAACGATGTTAATTTAATGTGTTTAGTTCGCCATGGAGCAATGCCTTCAGCAACTTTGCATGATTATTCCAGTAATTTATATAAAGCTCCCTTGACTATACAATCACCATTGATTGGTCGTTGGTACATTGTCATATTACCACTTAATCTTGCAAGAAAAATTGGAGACTCTGCAGATAGTGATGTGAGAATCTGCTATTCAATGGAAACACGATTATCTGAATGCCCATTTGGAAAAGCTGGGCCAAATTGCACAATGGCAAGCTACAAACTTCAGGTGGGATTGTTTGCAAAACATGTATCTGCCTCTTCCTTTTGTGCTTTTAAGTTATGTGTTTTCCACCTTTAGTTTTAAGATTATGATAATACAATCTTGTCTGTGTTAGTGACATTTCTTAGATTATGGATTTGCACCTTTAAAATTGAGAAGTTTAAATGAAGACATGATTGCATGCAGTCTTATCATGATGATTATAATATAAAAATCTTGAGGAAACACTTAATCATACGATTGAGTTAACATCTACTTTCTGGTAGTGAATGAAAGACTATTTCAACATCGGAAATGTACATCTCCGGGAATGTGTTCGATTGGATGTAGAGGATAGACGAAAAAAACTTGCCTTCTCTCAGAGAAGCCATGGTAGTTCATGCCTATCTCCTTTTAGTTCCTCCTCTCAACCCCTTTCCCTGAATAAACTTAGCCCTTTCGAGATCTTTAGCACTTTGATCAATTTATGCCCTTTCATAAGATATAATATCTTCTTTTGGTACATAGCAGCATGGAGGTCTACAACATGCCCAAGCCTCTTACACAGGACAAACCTAATGGTTTTCCTCAACATGTTCATTTTTCTTTTTGGGCCATCAACATGTTCATATTATGCCTATAGAAATCAAGCTATTGGCAAGAAAATTTTCATTTAGTAAGAGTTTAATATGCAAACAGAAGAATAACTTTAAAGCAACTTTTGCCTGGTTTATTGTCATGGATTTGAGTTTAAGAACACCTTGGCAAAAACAAATTCTATGTCTTGATGCTTTGAGAATTTTACTCGCAGAAGTTATTGACAAGATAAGAATGGTTGTCTGCAGACGGTTCTAAGCAGAAGTATAAGCCCCTTTGAATCATATTATTTACCAATTGGTGGAGAAGTGTCCTCTGATTCTGCCAAGTTTCCTCTTGAACCACTTTTAAGCGGCTCACCAAATGGTGGGGAAGCAGACGGCATATGGACTTACTTTACTATGGATATTCCTCGTGGTGCAGCTGGAGGAAATATCCATGTACATCTATCCTCAAATGCGAAGATCGGTTATGAAGTATATGCTAGATTTGGTGGATTACCATCTATTGATAGCTGGGACTATTATTACGCAAACAAGTCAAGGAGGAGTGACCCATCTATGTTTTTCATGCTATATGATTCGAGAGAAGACAAAGTTGATTTTTATATTATTTACGCTAGAGAGGGGACTTGGGGAATTGGTCTACGACACCTCAATATTAACAGTGATTCTTCAAAGGGACAGACCTCCATGTCTCTTTCACTTGAACGATGTCCAAATCAATGCTCCTCTCATGGAAGCTGTAAATTTTCATTTGATGCTACTGGATTGTCATCATACAGGTTTATACGGTGGCTTTTTTCATCCTTGCCTTTTTACTGTTTCTCTTTTTCTAATCAGTTTTGCATTTTATTTCTTTCCTTTTACTTTCTGGCCAAGATATATATCTTGTTCGTGAATGGGAAGTTAGTTTTTTCATAAAATCAGATGTTAAATTTTGGAACATCCAGATTTCGTGTCTTTGTAATTTTCAGCACATGCTCTTAAGAAATTTTTATAATTTATATGTTGGTTTTCTTGGACTCCAGCTTTTGCTCCTGTGACCGAGACCATGGAGGCTTTGATTGTGGCATTGAATTAGTATCACATAAAGGTGATTGTTCATTTCAGAGAAAGATTTCTTTTAACTATCTTGGTTCAACCCTTTTGCTTATTTGCATTATTCACAAGTCATGAATGTAATACTGTTCCCTCGGCCCATGTTTGTTTGACTTCTATCATATCATACTATTATAGTCATACTTTAGTGAAAAGAAAGAAAGCAACGGTGCTATTTCCTTTCACCTTTGCTTATATTTCTTGTAGCAATCAAAATTGATCGTGGCTCCAGGTATATCATTTGTTTTACCTCTTGCTTTTTTCTGCATTTTCCTGTCTTAGATATGTTTTGTAAACATTGTAATTTATATATGATCATGATCATAGCCAAGGATCCAAATGTAAGATTTCTATCACTTAGATCATCTCTAATGATTCTATAGGAAGCCGCACTGTCAGCAAATCGTAAATAACGCTGCTTGTTATATTTGCTTGAAGCCTCACCTAATGATGAAAGTCAAATATGCTTTGCCCTTGTTCTGCCCTTCAATTTTTCAAACAAATACCTTCTCTTTGAATAAGAAAATTTTGTATCTTTTCTCCTACTATTATCTACTTACTGACAAATATTGTAGGGCATATAAGGCAATCAATTTTTCTCATCGCATCAAATGCTGCAGCCATACTTCCTGCTTTTTGGGCCCTTCGGCGGAAGGTTGTTCTTTCCCTTTACTTCAGTTTCTGGGTTTTACTTTTAGATTGATTTGATGCGTAGTTTGGTATTCTCATTTAAAGGATGAAGACTATGATAGAATTGGGAAATACATTAGCACTAGTCTCTTCTACTATGCATTTTCATGTGGGAATTAATATTCTAATATCTCCTGTGAACATTGATACGAGCATTGCAGCTAAACTTACTAGAAAATTACACTTTACTTTTTGTCTAGCTTTTATATTGTGGATTGAAATTTATAACTCATAATTTCATCTCTGCAGGCATGGGCAGAGTGGATTATATACACAGCTAGTGGAATTTCAAGTGGATTATATCATGCTTGTGATGTTGGCACCTGGTGTGCATTAAACTATAATGCCTTACAGGTTTCGTATAAGCTTCCACTGTGATCTCTTTCTTTCTTTTTTTGAATAGAAAAATTGGCAACTGTCTTGAAATTATTCAACCGTGAAGGAAATGAGAGATGATATGTGGTGTAACTGTCATGCAAGCTTTAACGAACCCCAGTTAACTGATGACTCAACTGGATAGCGCCTTAGTCTTTAAGTATAGAATCTACTTCACACGTGCGCATATACCCAATTTACTCATGTTTCAAGATGGTTCTCTTTTCTCATGTGTCTAGTTTAAGATATTACAGCGCCCTTACGATTTACTTGACAATTCTCAGTTCATGGACTTCTGGCTCTCTTTCATGGCTGTGGTTAGCACTTTTGTATACCTAGCTACCATTAGTGAGGCGTTTAAGAGGGCAATTCATACTGGTGTGGCCATCCTTACGGCTCTCATGGCTGTCACAAAGGCAACCAGGTACACCAGACCAGCAGATACTGTATATACATACGTATATGTGTGTGTAGAAAGAGAAATGTTAAAGTATTAGTTGCCATTTTCCAGCGAAGGAGTAATTGCTATTTATGTGTGCTTAATGATGCAGATCTTCCAATATCATTCTTGTGATAGTAATTGGGACTCTTGGCCTTCTTATTGGATGGTTGATAGAGCTCTCAGCAAAGTATAGGTCCCTTTCCTTTTCATTTGGAGTCCCATCGAATTTCCGTCAGAGGTGAGTTCTCTGTACTTTGATAATAGGTTGTGTAAGTACATCTTTATACTGAATAATAGCCAGATAATAGTTGGCAAAGCACGAAATTCATGTGTTAACCTGTAAGCAGCTGCACTATTTAATTTTTAACTATTATTCTTGTGTAGATTGCCTGTTTAAAGTTAGCCATAAGTTAACTCTACCTTGAATTGTGCTTCATTAGACAACTCAGCTAATGCTTAATACCAAAAGTAAGACTGCTGAATTTCTCCTGTAATCTGCAGCTTGCAAGCTATAAAGCAATGGCTCTATAATCTTGTCAAGACACTTCTGAGACGGTTCCGGTGGGGTTTTGTGCTGGCCGGTTTCGCGGCACTGGCCATGGCAGCAACAAGCTGGACACTTGAAACCAGTGAGACCTACTGGTTTTGGCATAGGTATTATTAGTACCACACCAAGCTACTCTTTTCATCCATTTGTCTCCTTTCTCCCTTGATCTCATGTTTTGGCTGTTTGGAACTGTTTCACAGTTGGTGGCATATTACAATATATACTTCTTCCTTCTTCTTCCTTTGTTCAAAAGTAAATGTTGTTGATAGTGACGAGAATCAGCTGCCGCCTTCAAGTGGAAACTATGCGCTGACTCGTCAGGATTCGTTTTCAAGAGGCGTTTAGAAGGATTTCTATACAATAATCGATTGTAAATAAAGAGGGTTAGGATTTGGCAGGGCTTTAATCGTGTGATATAGTGAGCTCATGTCACCATGTGTAAGTAACAGTGAAATACGAGATAGCGAAGTCAAATATATGGTTGCCGACTTATATGAAAGATCATAGTACTAGCCGCTAGGAGGTGAATTGTTAGGCTAAAGCTGAAGTGAAAAACCTATCAAGCAACGCAGTGTCTTGTAAATCAGCCCAAAGGGCGATAATATTTATTTTTCTTGGCAATTTGATTTGAAAGATATATTCTGCCAGCTTTTGTTACGTATTTTTTATATTTTCAAATAATTTAAGAAATTTGTACGTTTTTTCATGTTTAGTAACAAATCATCACATATTTAGTACTATCTCTGGTCCTATGACTGATTTAGGTAGATTAAGAAAATAAGTCAAGCTAGTTATTTTGTAATAAATAAGTATTGTCTTTCTTAAAATATTTTTGTTAATCAAGTTTATTAGCTAAAACTATTATTATTGGAGGGATTATCTTTGGAAAAAAAATGAATAAATATGAAAGGCAAAGTGGATTGTAGTTTTATATTTAGAACCAAAATAAAAATCAAACAAGATCTTATATTAAAGGTCAGAGGTAGTAATTCATTCCGTTGTGCTAGGTAAGTAATTGTTAGAAGTGTATATAATACCTGATTTTTTTATAGTGTTGAATGCTAATACTCTTACGGTTTTTTAATATAGGACGTAATTGTTGAGTTAATTTTGATTCTAAATATAAGATCTATTTCTTATATTTATTAATTTTTTCTAAATTACCCCTATAGATATTTCACTCAACCATAATTAAATAAGTAGGGGAGGGAGGATATTAAGAAAGATGATTACGGTGTTTTAGGAAAAACATGTCATATTTCTTATAATTAACTAACTTATCTAATTTTCTTAATCTAATTAAATTAGTTAAATAGGTCTTATATTAAGAATCGGAGAAGTATTATTTATCTAACATTCTAAATTAAGATACTGAATGTAACTGGGAAAAAATGTCGAACATATATTTTTTTTGACATTTGGGCGGCATGAATTCGGAAAGCCATTTTTATTTCCTTTCCATGACGAGTATTACAAATGTGCTTGTGTTTAATTCTGGTGTGGGGCTTTGAATCTGGCCGAGTGAGATAAATGTGCATATGCAGGGAGGGATGCGAGTTTTGACGCTTTGTTATTGTAAATATATTCCTGCAGGGGGAAAAAAAACAATATACGAATTCATGCCCCAAGAAAAAAAAATGGCAAACTTCAAGAAAATAAATATGAATGTAACTCATGCCGCTGACAACTCAAAAGTTATATGATAGGTCTCATAAAATTATTATCCTCTCATTTCTGTTGATTAAATGAATCCAAGGAAAGCTGGTCAAAAAAAAAAAAAAAGAATCCAAGGAATGTTAAAAATAAATAAATAAATAAAAACTTGGTTAGATTCTCTAATTTCGTCACTCTGTCTGCCATATGGCCGTTTTAATAATAACTGTCAGAACCACCAGAGCCGCCAAAAGGGCCTTCGTCAACCTATGTCACCCCATGATCATGAGTGAGAACGTTGGAGGTGAGGCTTTGAAATCCCAATTTACAAGTTAAAAAAATTTGCTAGTGCTCTAAGCCGATTTGACAAATGATCATCTAATATTCATAAATGAAATCAAAGTCGGTTCCTTTAAAAGGAAAAAAATTTCGATGTACTTGAGACAATTAAACTAAATTATCTTCCAATATTCATAAATCATCCATGATTCGTAAGTAAAAATAGTGGGGGTGTGACCATAGGTTGACGGAGGCGCAAGTAAAGCCGTTAGCGGGCGGCCCTGGGCGATGGTGACAGCAGCTTCGAAGTTGTAACAACAGCTTCAAAAGCGGTGGCGGCGAAAATAGGGAGGGTGAAGAAAAGAGCGGATAGTCTCAATATTTAACTTCCGTCCATGGTGTCAAAAAGTCATTTTCCCACCAATATTTACAGGAGAAAAGTTCCTGTCTTTGTACGTGACTATGTGACGTCTGACCGTGAGAGATAAGTGAGTGGAGCGTATAGCCGTATACTACTATACCATATGGAAAACCGTGGACAAGAAAGTGCAAGTTACACAACTAGCAAGCGAGCTTTGACAATCCCCCAGTCGCTTTTCTTGAAAATTGAACGCCCCAACAATGCCCACCTCTCTCTCTCTATCTCTTCCTTTCACCGGTGAGCGTTTCTTTTACGTGTTTCCTTCTCCATTTCTTGGCTTGAGTGGTAATTGGATTTTTCCTCATCTTTCTCAGACTGCTGGCTTGTGTTGTATCCACTGGCACGCAATTTTGCCTTAGGGTTTATGCGGTGAATTTCGGAACTGAATTCGATCGACTGGTTTAGCTGTTTGACCCTTTTCTTGCTTTATTTCTTGGGTTATTCCTTTCTTCTTTTTTTTTGGTCGCTTGAGTTTCCTGTGCCAAGGGGCGAGCTATGTTTTACTGCTGTGTTTAGCGATAAATCCGATTTGTTTGGTTTCATCATTTCTCTGCTTCTCTCCTTTTTGTGAGCTGATACTAATCATTCTGATGATTGTTCATTGGTTTTTTTTTTTTTTTTTAGAATAGATTAATTTTTGTTGAAATTTGTATGCTAATTGTAGCTATAATTTATTGTGATATGGATGATTTTGAGTTGAGTAGAGATACAATTCTGCGGTTACGGCATTGGCTATATTGCAACGCCATAGTGGTGCAAGAAGTCTAAAGTAGTCAGATATTGTTTAGTATCAGACAAGATATCAACGATGGTGAGATTTCCCTTTGCAGAAAGGGGAACAATTATAGCGTAATAAAAGATTACAAAAGTGGTTTCTGAATTCAATTAAAGCAATGGACAGATTAACACAATCTGTGCCAATTCATTTTCCTATTGAAGATTGCAGTGCTACGCATGTAGTTTAATGTTGTGTTTGAACTTTGAAATTCATTTTTGGCTGGTCTCAGATGCTCTCCAAAATTTTTTACATAACTAAGGGCCTGGCTGCTACTACTAACTGTGATTGTAATGATTATACACTCCGGGTTGCATATTATCCACCTGACATCTATCATTGCTTCATGAAGCAAATTTTGTTTGTTATTATATGTAAATTGATCACATATACATTCTTCAGACTTGTAGCAAAATGGACACAAGCTCTGGTTGGCCGTGATCCTCTCTCGATACCAGATAACAGGAAGGAATGAGATTATCATTGGCACTTTTGGTTAAATAGCAGAAGCAACTGCACTGCGGGAAAATGGGAGGTTGCTGCTGTTCTGCCAGAAAACCTCATCTACATGGTGCACCAGTGTATTATTATGTAAGTAATCTTCTATTTATTTTGTGTTGGACGAAAAAACAAAAATCTGTGTTTTGTGCTTCCTCATATTTCCTCTATTGATTAGAGAATATGGAATAAGATGAAAATCCATGCTCAAATGCTGAAAAATAACCCACAAAGCTGTTACTTTAATTGAAATATTACATTGTTCTATTAATAACTCCTTGAAGGGACAAGATTGGTGAAAGAAAGTTGAGCAAGTTGGATTTACTTTGTTTTCTCAGAACTGTAGGTCTTCTTTTATCTTCTTTTAATAGAAAGGTGATGAGCTAGTGGTTTTACACATCTAATTGATATCACTTGACAGAAAATTATCCTTTATGCATGTTTTACATGAATTATTGAATCTCAAAATTAGTTTTTCTCCTTTATGTTCTGTTTGAATTGAACCAAGTAAAACGGAAAATCTGTAGCATCATCCCCCTCCCCTGAAAAAAAGAAAAAAAGAAACAGAAAAAGATCTGCATGAATGGTTTTGGATGGTGTCAGCTATTAAATAAGATGAGAGTTTTATCGTAATACTACCTTCGATTCTAAATATAAGAGCTAGTTGACTAATTTGAGTAGATTAAGGAATTAAGTTAGTTATTTGTAATAAATAGGTGTTGTCTTTCTTAAAATATCCTTACTAATCAAGTTTATTGGCTAGAACTATCATTAATAGAAGGACAATCTTAGAAAAAAATAGATAAATATGAGAGATAAAGTATATTGTGATCTTATATTTAAGATTAAAATAAAAGTCAAACAAGATTTTATATTAAGGACCGAGGTAGTATGTTTTTATGTTTCTTTTCTTCAGCACCAGTGCTTCGAGGATGATAATGTCAATTTATGTAACTTGCTACCTAGTACTCCTTCTGGTTCAAAATATAAGTTAAATTTTATCCATTACGTTTATCAAGAAACTAATTAAAACAATAAATGTGTAAGGTATATATTTATTTTTCCTAATATGCCCTTATTAATGAAGAGAATAAGTAAAAGATGTAATAAATGAATTAAAGAAGAAAGAGAATATATGGGGGTAAAATTGAAAAAAACTCATTAAATGTTTGGACAAAAGTGAATGTTATCTTATAAAAAAAAAACCAACCCCTTTAAGAAAGTTTAGCTTATATTTTGAACAGGAGGGAGTATAAAATTATCATTACTGCTTCTCTTGAATTTGTATAACTCCGCCGCAGTGCCCAGCATCCTTGGAAGAGCGCGAGTCATTAACATCAAATGATGGTACGGCTGCTTCACATGGTGCTAGATTGCTAGCAGGTTTGAACTTGGAAACGGCCACACCGGATACGTTCCGGCCCCCTCCTGCACCTTTGCCATATGATGCAGTCTTTGGTCCAATATCAACAGATTCTGAATCTGGAAGAAAAACAGTTAGTGGTAGTAGTTTTGAAACATTAATTACATGTGAAGATCTTGAAGAATCGGATTGCAAAACTCAAGCAAATTCTGAACTTTTGTCTCCAAAGAAGATAGAATTATCGAAATCAAATGAATGTCATGTATTAATGGCAGAAGAAGAAGAAGTCTGTCCAATTTGCCTTGAAGGTACAAATTCTTTCGCAACTAAAGCTATATTTGATTTTCAATTTTGTAGTTGACAGGATCAGGATCACTTGGTTCTCTCTTGTTATTGACTCCTGAAACAATATATAAGAAAAATTTCTTCCAATGCAGAATATGAGGTTGAGAATCCTAAAACTCTGACGAAGTGTGAACACCATTTTCACCTATCTTGCATTCTTGAGTGGATGGAAAGAAGTGACGCCTGTCCTATATGTGATCAGGTTTGCTTTTTGCAGTTATTCCTTATTTATTTGTTTGTACATGACAGACAGAGTAGAGCTTTGTTTTTGAGCCTAAAACTTCCTGCAAACTACTCAAACCCCTCTCATCATTGGATCACACATGATGAATGGACTGGAAGTTGCTGATACTTCAGTGAAGAGAAAGTTGACAGTCAATTGAGTGAGAATTTTCTTGCAGTGACTTGTCTTTTCGAGGAAAACCTTATCTTGTTCCTTGACTGTTGAGTGGATTTTTCACTTGGTCATCCATATATATTTCTTTTATCGAGACTCAATTATTCAACTGCTTTCAGTGTAGCCCTTTCATCTCATTTCGATATAACATATAACACCAAATTTAATAAATTGCTCACTTGGACTTTATTCATGCGCGTGGCAGGATAGAAATCTACTGATGTGAAAATTCCTATGAAATGATAAAATGCGGCTAAAAGATGCGCTTATCACTAACATATAAATAAAAAGAGTGAAGTGCAATTCAGTAACTGCACTTCACCACTTCACATGGATCCTCACTTTAGAGATCGCTGTACTCCCTTTCCTTCTTGGCATTATTAATTCACACCTCAGATTGGGCATAAATCAACCTACTTGGATTTTGGGTTGAATTTTGAATGGAAACAGGAAAGGGGAGGCATCTTCACAATTATTTTAATGATTTTAGGGACTGAATTGAAGGCTTACTTGTCTGTTTGGGGACAGTGGAATTTTAAGTTTTTCAGTCACCAAACATTAAAAAAATCAAAGTGCCTGAATTATAATATGGAAAGGAATGTAGTTATTCGTTAATTAATTCCGTACTTTGGTGAAATGTTCCTTTCCTTTTGATGTTACAGGAGATGATATTTGAGTAGTCACAAAATTAGTTTGAGTTCAAAATTGAAAGCTTGCCAAAATGCTTGGACAATAGATGAAGCAAGTTCTTTGATTGTTGACGGGACGATGGTAGCTACAGATTCATTTTTAAGTTGCGGTGCATTATTATAAAAGGTCATTGTTTTAGCAAAACAGGATGCTGCGAAAGTGATTTTTGGTGAAGGGAGGAGAAGATACGGTGTGAAATTCACTTCTCTGGGATCTATGGGGATAGAAACAAGTCCCACTTCTCTGTATCTCTCTCTTCTCGCACTTTAGTTAAAATCGAATTTACACTTTTTTTTAAGACGTTTCATTACTGGCTACTTTGGGAAGAAGAAAGAGATTTTGGCAGTGTCTCTCCATATGGGAATTTCTCTTGTCCATGAAAGAATGCCTAGGAGGCAGGGATTCATATTGTGTCATGGCTTAATTCTTCTCTTTTTGGCCTCTCATTTGCTGTCTTTATTGCAGAAATTTCTGTGGTTGCTTCTTTTTTCATTTGCCAAATGTCTTTCAAATCACGCATTATTCACACGTCCATTTTATGCAATATAGTATACTTGATTATAGGCAAGGCTTCCATATTCCATTCATTTGTTTTTATTTTTTCCCCCCTCCCAAATGTTTACTGATCAATGGATTTAAAATTGGATTGGTGATTAGGTTAAGTGTGGCATTGCCAATTTTTAACTTGAACGCAGTTTAGTTGCAGTTATCTGCTCCTAATCCTAATGCCTCACGTTCAAATCCCACTATTGCCAACTTCAACTAGGGCTACACATGGGTAGGACTGGGCAGGGTGGGGTTATTGCCTGATACCCAGCCTGAAAAATGAATGGGTTGGAAAACGTAGTTCGTTGCCCAGTCCTGCCCATGAAAAGCCTTATTAAATTCGGGCTGGGCAAACACAGGCGGGCAGGGCGGGTTTTCATACCCAACAAGTCAATATATTATATTAATTAACTAATTATTTATGTCCCTCTAAATAATCTATGTAACTTTATATTAAAGTGGTAACTTGGCTTTAATTTTATTATTACTAATTAATATACTATAAATTACTTTTTGTAGTAACTAGGAAAAGTGGACTATGACAAAAAAATATTGTTTGTATATTTTATTAAACTTAATTGTTTTTCTAGTTCGTAACTCTTAAAATCATTCAAAAATAAATAAGTGTAATGAACATTGAATATTGATGCAACAGTATGTTTGGTTCAAAAAATAAATATGAGACAAATAAAATAGATATAAATAAAATTATATATATTTTTACGCGCAGGGCCAAATGGACAGGGCAGCATACCTTGCTCGATATCTAGTCCTGCCCAATAATTTGCCTAATCCGAACATGTCCAATAGTTCTTTTGGGCCATTTTTTTAAGGGTGGGCTGGGCATTTTTTTGCGGGTTTGGGTAGGCATTGCAGGCAACTGGGCTTCATAAACACCCCTAACTTCACTTTAGAAAATTAAACTTCGACAAAATTTGGTTTTTCAATTTCAGTTTGGTCTTTTAATTTTAAAAAATATATTTAGTTTTTTAACAATAAAATTGTTAGTATTAAATGATAATTTTTTTACAATAATTATGATTGTTTTGAAAATTAAATTTAATATGTTAGCATTTAAGAATATTTTATTGACATTCTAAATTTCAATATTATTAATTTTTGTTAACAATTTCAATGTTAAAAAATTAAAAATATGTTTTTATAAAATTAAAAGATCAAATTAAAATTTTGTATAAAATTAAAGTACTAGAAATATATTTTAATCTTAAACTTTTAACTGGGGTGGGGCTAGGTTGGGGTGAACAAAAAGGGAAAAATCTCAGAAAAATGATAGTTAAATTTAAAATTTCAAATTAGTATTGGTTATTACATTCATAGAGAAAATGATTACATTCGAAAAATAAATGATAACACATTTTTGTAGTAATTTCTGATTTGGAATTTTAAAATTCAACAATAATTTTTTTGGGATTTTCCCAACAAAAAGAATTTGATTGTTTTTAAATGAAGTTTATGGTTTGAACTTTGTGAATAAAATTTAAATATAAATCATGTCAAATAATCATACCATACAAATTTAATAATAGATTTTAATATAATAATTTTTTTCTTCAAAACAATTGATTATGACATTTAGAAAATGTTGGGAAGTCGAAAAATAAAAATTATCATGTTTAATGTTTGAGAGTGTTTAATATAATTCCAATTTATAGGCTTTATTTTTTCGTGTACCAATTACAGGCTTTTAAATTGCACTATGAATGATAATTAAACGATAAAGAAGGGGGTAATTTTGGCCAAACATTGGTGCATGACCATAATATTAATAGAACATGACGAAACAAGATGGAGGGTTTCGTGTAAAAAATTGCCAACATTTTTATAGGAAACATGAAGAAGAGAAACCTGCAATAACGGTTATTCTGCAGACAAATAACTAACAACTTTCTCAGGTAGTAAGAGGAGGAGACTAAGTCACCTGTCTTTCTTGGCCTAAACGTTCTCATTCTAATGGCCAACCTAATTATGGCAAGTGAAAATCCATCATCTATTTTCTTCCGAAGGAGAAGCCAAACATACTCGTTATCTAAAATCAAAAAGCATAATAGCATTAAGAAAGAAAGATCTGTTTTTCCTCCGGATTTCAAACTATCTTCTTCCCAGGAAGAATCGAATCTTCAGCTTCCTCAGGATCCTTTTAATCCAACACTTCAAGAAAGGATCGTGTCATATCTGCAAACATAGGGATCAATACAGAGAATGAGTCGCTCGAAATGGCAGAGCAGAGAAGGAGTTCATCCTCTGGTGAAGAGAGTGAGCCGCCATTGACCAATGGCAGTGCCGCCCTGGAGACGGCGGAGCTCCACCATGCTCCGGCGGGTCCGATTGAGACTAATGCAGGAGATTATCCTCCAATAAATAGCTTCCAAGACGTGAAGTATGTGTGCTCTGTGGAAACCGGAAAGGTTTGGGCTATTGCAGGCCCAATTGCTTTTAATATCCTCTGCAATTATGGGATCAATTCTTTCACCAACATCTTCGTAGGACACATTGGAGATATAGAATTATCCGCTGTAGCCATTGCTCTTTCCGTGGTTTCAAACTTCTCTTTTGGCTTCTTGGTTAGCTTCAATCAAACTCATTCTTGGTAGAACTGCAAGCTTTTAGGAGAGAAAAATGAGCACAAAGAATGAATGTAGACCCTATACATGATCAGTTTTCTTGTGTTATTTTCTCTCGAGATGAATATCTATATATAAAGGAATCGTGTCGCAGTTTCCAGCCTGTGTCTGTCGCATGATGTCTTGCATGACATGCATTAAATCAAAACTAGCCTGTCCACAGTTGTCTTTGGTGCTAGGATATATATGCACGAGACGCTTGAACAAAAAGTAAGCATTGTACTAATATTCCATAATGTGACTTGATAATATATCAATCAATTTAACCTGGCAGCTTGGCATGGGAAGTGCACTTGAGACATTATGTGGGCAAGCATTTGGCGCAGGACAAGTGGAAATGCTAGGAGTGTACATGCAACGCTCGTGGATAATCCTAGGAGCAGCATGTTTCTTTCTCCTTCCTCTTTACATCTTTGCGAAGCCAATCCTGATCCTGCTAGGCCAAGAACATGACATAGCGGCCCTAGCAGGAACATTCACCGTCCAAACAATCCCTCAAATGTTCTCCCTTGCCCTCAACTTCCCCACCCAGAAGTTCCTGCAAGCACAGAGCAAAGTGGGAGTTCTTGCTTGGATTGGCTTCGCCGCGGTTTTTGTTCATGTGGGGATCCTCTATCTGTTCATCAGAGTGTTTGGCTGGGGCACAACTGGTGCTGCAGCAGCCTATGACATATCTGCTTGGGCGATTGCCTTGGCTCAAGTGGCTTATGTGGTTGGCTGGTGCAATGAAGGATGGAGAGGCCTGTCATGGCTCGCCTTTAAGGATCTTTGGGCATTTGTGAAGTTGTCCATTGCCTCTGCTGTTATGCTTTGTCTGGAGATTTGGTACTTCATGACCATTATTGTTCTCACTGGTCACCTTGATAATCCAGTTATTGCTGTTGGCTCGCTTTCTATATGGTAAGATGCTGCTTTCACCACTGTCTATGCATGAATGTTCCTCATTTACCGTTAGGCTCTCGCTCTCCTAAATTCATGGTATACTACTATTAGATATTGTTAAATTATGATTGTCCTCTTTCAGCATGAACGTGAATGGGTGGGAAGGCATGCTGTTCATAGGGATCAATGCAGCGATAAGGTCAACTATACATTTCTGTTCATCCTTTTCCTGTTTATTGTCCCATTCTTAGACTAATCTTTGTTTGTTTTAATGTCAGTGTGAGGGTTTCAAATGAGCTAGGATCAGGACACCCAAGAGCTGCAAAGTTCTCTGTCATCGTCACGGTCATCGAGTCCCTCTTCATAGGGATCATTTGCGGAGCCATTATTCTGATCACAAAAGATGATTTTGCAGTCATCTTCACTGACAGTGCTGAGATGAAAAAAGCAGTTTCTCATCTAGCTTCCCTTCTTGGAGCAACTATGGTTTTAAATAGTGTTCAACCAGTTATATCAGGTTGGAGCATTCCAACTATGCTTAGCAAAAGTTCTTTATATCTGCTGCATAAAGATTGCAGCATTCTTTATGTTGCAATTCCACAGAATAATTTTTGATTGAAACGGATATATTACATTGTGTTATTCCAGTGATACAAAGGTGACATATTTGAGGATCATGTGACTTAAAGTTGAAGAGGTTTGTTGCTGCAGGTGTAGCTGTAGGAGGAGGTTGGCAGGCTTTGGTAGCTTACATAAACCTATTCTGTTATTACGTAATTGGACTCCCTCTTGGCTTTCTTCTTGGTTACAAAGCGGGTTTAAGAGTAGAGGTAAATCAACCCAGTCTGAAAACCCAAGTGCAATCAGACGTTTTTCCATTTTTTCTTCCCTGTTAATATTTTTTCAATTATGGATACTGCTCTTTAATTGTAGGGCATTTGGGTAGGCATGATATGTGGGACATTGTTGCAGACGATAATATTGTTGTACATTATATATAAAACTAACTGGAACGAAGAGGTGAGCATCAATAAATACATATATATAATTCTATTTCCTGTTTGTTCATATTATATATAGGCATACTTAATCCATAGATATAGTTATGGCAAGAAAAACAATGGCCTCAAATTATATAGATGCAAATATGGATCAGTTTCAGAGCGTCTAAACTCCAAACTTCTCAGGTGGAACAAGCAACAGAAAGAATGCGAAGATGGACTGGACAAGAATTTGAACTTGCTTCCTCATAAACTCCAGACAAATTCATATCTGTATATGACAATAGCTTTTGTGGAAGAAGATGTGCATGTGTTTGTATAGCCACTAGAAATTTTCTTTCAAATTTATATTTTTAGGTTTTCGTCTTATTTCCTTTCGGCTATACTAACTTTTGTATAGGTTTTTCATATTACTTTATTAATGCTAAAATTTGTAAAATGTGATTGCGATCTCGGAACAGACATGTACGTAGCATGCATTCTACTTCTCAAATGATTTTATACATCAAATCCAAATGGGCGGTCACATTAGAGAAAAGAAAGAGAACGGAAAGAATTTCTTATATTCCTGAATATCTCATTTCAGTTTACATACCCTACTTACAGAGATAGCTGTGCATATTAAATCAAATGCATCAATTATATTAAATACTACCTCTAGTTCTTAATATAAGAGCTGGTTTAACATTCATTTTGATCCTAAATGTAAGACCCTAATCCACCTTGTCTCTCATATTGACCTATATATTTTTTCAAAGTAGCCTTTGTAATAGTTGCATATGTTAATAGTTTCATCAAATGGTAGTTTTAGCGAATACACATGATTAGTAAGGGTATTTAAGGGAAGACAATACCGATTTATTATAAGTAAATAACTTAACAAATTCTTTTGATTAATCTACTCAAATCAGTCAACTAGCTTTTATATTAAGGATGAAAGTAAGGTAGTAACAAATAGTGTGCCTCGTTATAAAATTTTAATTAAGAAAAATCCTGTGAGACAAAAAACACGATAGAAGTAAAAAATATATTATTCATTGATTCCTTTCTCAATACCATCCAATTAAATATCTTATCAGGAAAACTCAATGAAACAAAACTTAGGTTATTTTAAAAAAAAAAAGAAAGAATACAACTTGTATATACTCTTCTTAATGACAACATCATTGTTTAAGTTATCGTATTTCAAGACGGTGTATTAATTTTTCAAATGCGATTATTACCAATGCTTCTCTGAGTATGTATTACTTTTGGTTAATTCATGCATGTAATACATTGTTATAATATAATTTTGAACATGTATTCCTTTAGCATATTCTATAGATATGTTAAATTATCAATATCTTTCTACTTGCATTGTATACTAAGAAAATAACAACAAAAATTGTTCTAAAGGTTAGCATGATATATCTTGCCTCTGCTTCATACAACACTTTCTCGCAGCACCATATCTCTCTCGCAATGCCTATTTATTCACCAGAAACTTAATCTTGCTGACAAAATTATAACAAATATACAAATTAGCAAGATATATAAATAGTCATAGATATTAAATATTCGGTATTGCACGTCACCAAAAAAAAAAAAAGGTATTATATTGCATCACCGATCAATCCAATCTCACACACAAACGATCATAGGATAAACATAATGATCTTAAAACATTCGAAGTATTAAGCTTTCAACCTGTAAAAACTCAATTTCAAATTTTTAATCTCGAATTCTTTGTTTAGAACTCAATTATACATAACCAAATTTTTAATCTCGATTTTCTTAATACATATTTGCTAAGATAATCGCATAAACATATTAAATAATTTCTTCAGGAGTTGTCTTTTACAGGCTTCATATGTTTAAATCCTTCAAGAATTTTTATGTTCACTTTTTAATGAGCTATATGCATAGACTATAATAGTAATATTTAATAATATGCACACAAAAAATACTACATGTACCATAAAATGACATATCTAAACATAATCAATATTGAATTTTTTGTTAACAAAATCCTTATACATACATACATATATATATGATAAGTCATACTCTTTATCTATATCTACATATGATAAGTCGTACTCTTTATATTCATATATTTTATTTAAATATTATTCTTTTAGGGTTATATATGAACTTTTTTTTTTATACATTTTTATTAAATTATATTATTTTAATTACGATCAGTCTAACTCTTGAACTCGACTGGTTAAACTTAAATATAATGACTAGTATGGTTTCCAGTACTCTGCCCACAATCATACCTACTAATCTTAGTATAATAAAATGTTTAGATGTTGCAAGATTAGTCACTATTGTCAATGGAGTTTGTTCTTTGTGCATAAAAAATTATATATTATTAATATTTTATATCGTGAATTATTTATGAAAATTTTTATATTTAATATTAATATCAATTTTCATTATAAAATATAAAATTTATAGTAATGAAATTTGGGTTAAATGACAAAGATTTCACACTCAGTAAGTAAGGTTTCAATTTTGAACTTTGTAAAAAGGGAAATCACGTTGGAGAGAGATATCTCCATTTACCGTTCAACAAATGTGCAATTAATCGAGATAGACTTCACGGAATACATAATGAACTTGTCATTCATCGATCTTTGTACAATGAATGGGGATAACCTAATTTCATATACCATACATAACAAATTAGATGCCTCTTTAGAATATATGAAATTCCAAGAGAAGGAACCACAAGGTCAAAAGGATTACAGAAACCCCTTTGCTTGAATTCTTGCAATCTATAGGGTATGTCTACTTTGCTTTGAATACTTCTGATGAAGAGTTTCTGTCCCTATTCAAAACTTGAATTTTTGCCCCTTTCTTCTCAATTATTATTTTTGTATGGATTAGAGAAATCACAGGACATGAAAATTTTCATGAAGAGGGATATAACACAATTTTTCTTCCAAAAACCCTAGTTTTTTCCCTAACCCCATGGTCGATCCCATTTTTCCTACCAAAACAAATTTTGATCAAACCTAATATAATAATTACTCTTAATTTCATGACTCAATTTTGAAGATCTCAATTTTAAACCTTGTAAAAGAGAAGAAATGACGCTAGAGAGAGCGATTCCTATTACGATTCAACAAACATTCAAATATGAATTAGTTGATTATCGACTTCATGAGATGCATAATGAACTTATCATTCATCGTGGGGATAACCTAATTTCATATACCATACATAACTCCTTGAATACCATTTAGGCTATATAAAATCCCAAGAGAAGCTACCACAATGTCACAAAAGGATTACTAAAAAACCTGTGTGACTAAATTCTAGTGGTCTCTATAGTATATCTACTTTGTTAAGTTCTTTTGATGAAGAGGTTCTGTCTTTATTCAAAACTTGAATTTTTGTCATTTTCTTCCCAATTATTATATCCATATGTGAATAGAGGAACCATAGAACTTGAAAGTTGTGCTAAAGAGGGATAAAACACAGGGACTTTTCCAAAACCCTATTTTGATCCTATTTTCTCTACTAAAACAAAATTTCTATCAAACCAAATTTATAATTACTCTTAATTTCATGTCTTGCACACTTGTACATCATTTATGTTTCGAATTTTATTCTTTTCATTCTTTTTCTTTATATTGTCAATCTACATACTCTGGATGAACACAAGTAAAGGATTACAACCACAATTTTACTTGTAGGACTTGAGCTCAAAATATATGGCAAGGTGGTCAATACCTGATGACAGAATTATTACAGATTTCGGTGACAACCCTAAGAAGTTTGAACATGCTGGAGTTTATATAGATGTCAACCTATTTTCAAAAGCTCATGGGGCCAAATCTGAGAGAGAACAAGATTATAGAGGCGTTAAAGTTAAATATGATGGGGTCAAATTTTCATTTGATCAATTTCTCATTGACTTCTTGAAAGAGATCCATGCCCATAATTCTTTTCGACCTATTCCACCAATGCTTGGTAATGGGCAACTGGTGGATTTGAAAACCTTATTCTTAATTGTGATAGGGAAAGGGGGGTATGATGCAGTCTCTAAAAACAATTTATGGAATTTGGTGGCCGAAAAATCTGGGTTAGGTGCAAATATTGGTTCATCGGCAAAGTTGATCTATTGTAAGTATTTAGACATTTTAGAGATATGGCTCATAAAAGTTTCCAAGGGTAGGGTACTTGGTTACAGTTTGATTGATGATAGAATCAACTTTGATAGGCAACTGGTGAAGCTTCAAGATAAAATAAGAAGGCTATTGTCGGATTATATCTCTCAAGATAGAGGAGATAAGATATCTCCTATTCATGATTTCAAGAGTAAGTATGATTTTCTGAATGGAAGTAAATTGTTTGATACTGATAGAGTAAAGAGTAATGCCCAGGATGGTGGATTTCTTGGTTTGGACATGCCAAGAAACTTGTGCAATATTGATGACGCAATAACATTGAAAGAGTCTAGTGGTAGGAAGATCATTGCAGAGAAACCAGTAAATGCAATAGATGCAGGGGATTCATCTCATAATAATGAAGCGAACAATAATGTGCATAGTTTGCCTAATGGAGACAAGGGATTTGACAATGACGATGATGTCTTGATATTAGATCCATCTAGTGTTAATAAGGAGAACTTTGGGCGTAAGAGGAAAAGAAAGTCTATGCAAGAAATGCTATGTTGGGTAACTAGCATTGCAAAGAATCCATGTGATCCTATAGTTTTTTCAACATTTGAAAGATCAAAGTGGAGTTCTCAAAGTGAGGAGGAGATCAAGAAGCAAGTTTTGTTGTTTCGAGAGGCTGTCTTCATGAAAAGAAATTTTGAGTCAAGCAAAGAACAGGATGATTGCCAGGTAATTAATTTAAAAATCTGTATGAAAATTGTGTTGCTGGCTAACCTTAAATTGCTTAAGCATGTGTTATTACTTCATAAGTTTATAGCTCATACATGTAAAATTTCGCTTTTGAGGTAAAATTTTTTTGTTTAGGTAGATCTTAGCTGCCATATAACTCAAGTTGATGTTATACAACTCTTATAATTTATGTTTGATCTGTTAATACAATATTATGTTATGTTTTCACACTCCATATTCTTCCCCATTTCTCTATAGAACGTCCTATATATTCTTGACTGTCATTCAATCAAATTCTTATATAGTGTTTTTAAGACGGAATTGAGGTGATTTAAGAAAATCATGAGATTTTGATTTTTTTTTTTTGGGTTTGACATTTACCAAAATTAAAGCATAAGTTATTGCTGTGAAAATGTTGCAAATCTCATGATAGGTAAATGTTAGCTTTTGAACTATACAAGGTCCAAAATGAGAGGTGCTCAACCGTAAATTGGGTATTTATAATTTTATACCCTTATTTGAAAACTGTCAAGCTTCCTAGATAAGCACACTTTGTGTATTTTCTAGAATATGACTTATTATATTTATTTGTGTCCTTATTCAATTATATTTCTCTTGTTTTTATTTCAATATTTATAGCCTTGAATATTCCATGACAATTGTAAGTACTTGGAGTTTTGGACTCTAATTTCTTTCTATTCCCAACTTTTACCTATTAGCTTTTCAACCACCTAAGAAATGCTTTGACTATATATATATAGAGGATATGAATTTCATTTTTCATACGCATTCTTCTGTTTAAGTATGGGTAATATTATTGTTGGCTACATGCCATATTTCTATGCATGTTGAAACCTAGCTTAGTTGATAGATAAAATCCTTTTAACCCTTTACTGTATTTCTGACATTAAAGTATTTAATGTATGTCTCTGTGAGAGTAGAATAAAAGTGTCTCGTCATTACAACGCGTTGTGATGTGATTTAAACCCCTTCAACACAAGCTAAGGTATACAATTCAAACATTATATATAAAACAATCATGATTGTTTCGTTTTGATAAAGTATTTTTACCATCCAAAAAAGAGGGTGACAACTATGCTGAAATTTTATAACAATTTAAAATTTAAACACATAATTAATTAGTAACAAGCACATGCATGATGTAAGTCAATTTGTGAACCCTTCTATAGGCATGGTCCCCAAATCTATTGGTCAAATTGTGAAGTAAGATAATTGTTAATCAAATATGTAACAGATCTATATTTATTAATACCATGTGTATGTAGATTGTGATAGAACACGTATGATTTGTTTTTGCAAGAAAATGTTGAATTATTATTGGAGCTTCGTTCTCAAGGTATACTGATAAACATATATCATATTGCACCTATTTATATATTCCACTAAAGTGAATTGCAAATAATTCAGGTTTCATGTAATAAAATCTTAAATCACTGGTTTCTTTAATTAATTTGCAGGGCATGAGGATGCATCCTTCCATGCATGATGATCACCCAGGGACAACTTGCAATCCTAGGGAAAAGTTGAAGTGCAGTAATAACAGGCTTCCACGTAAAAATGCCGCACCTGTTGTACCAGTCTCATCAAAAATTCCGATTGGAACTGAAGATGATTCGAAGAATACTCAAAGTCCACTCATTGAAGATCGTGGTGAGAAAAAAGCCCTTGCTAAATGTAGCACACTAACCATCCCTGTAGGGCCAACTCATCAGGCTTCGGTACCAGACTGGACTGGTATGACTTCTAAAAGTGATCCTAAATGGCTGGGGACCCGAATATGGCCATTAAAAGGTGTAAATCGTCATAGACTTCTCGATCAAAGGGATCCTATTGGTAAGGGAAGAAATGACTTTTGCAAGTGCCAAGTACCAGGATCAGTGGAGTGTGTCAAATTACACATTGTTGAAAATAGAGAGAAAGTCAAATTGGAATTGGATGTGGCCTTTTACCAGTGGAACTTTGATAAAGTAGGAGAGGAGGTCAGCCGTTACTGGACATATGAAGAAGAGAAAAAATTCAAGGACGGGTTGAAATCAAACCTCCCATCACGCAAGAAGTCTCTTTGGGATCGTATGTTCAAATCTTTTCCTAAGAAAAGCCGAGAAGATTTAGTCAACTACTATTTCAATGTTTTTGTTCTGCGATGTCGGAGATTCCAGAATCGGCATTCTCCAAATAACATTGATAGTGATGATGATGAATCAGCGTCGGAACCACTAATCAAATCCAAAGCAACTCACTCACTTGCTCGGAAGAAAATAGTAAGTCTCATCAATCCAATTCAGTTCTCTAGAAAATACTTTGGGAGATAGATCTAAAATATGATGTTGAGAGTATTCTTGATAAAAGCAAATGACTGATGAGTTTTGGCACAATATGGTGTCTTGACCAAGGGAAGTATATGATGTCACATGGATCAACCCTACTTATTTTGAAGTCATCATTTGATTTGATTTTAGGGAGTTTAAAATTTCGGACGAATAGAATATATATTTTTTCATGCGGTGGCTTTATAAGAAGGAAAATGATGCCTATCAAGAATTGACATGCTGCAAGTTGTTGAAATTTATAATTATCTCTAACTGTAACTTAATTTCCTTTTCATCCCTTTTATAATTGCCTAGCTATACATGATCATAGTAGACTTTTTTTTCCTTGATCTCTTTCTTCAATGAAAATTCACATTTATTTGTACATGATACATAAAGGGTTAATATAATTTTTAGTTCATCAATTTTGTTCTCATTTCAGTTTTGGTTTTTCAAGTTTCAAACTATATGTTTTGGTCCATTAAAGGACAAAATAATTCAAATTTTTATTGATTTATATGAACTAATGTTGTAAACAAAAAGAAATTTAAGGACAAAAATTTATGATTTGAAATTTGAGGGATCAAAATCAAAATAAAAATAAATTTGAGAAATAAAAAATTATATTAACCCTATACATAAAATATATATTTGACACTCCGGAGCATATTTTCTAAGAGAGGGCCAGTTTAAAAAATAAATTACACTGCTCATGACTTGTAAATAGTTTAACTTGTCATAGATTGTTATTTGTTATATTAATGCCTTAATATCTTACAGTCATCGCCCAAGCTATGGGCGTGTGATGATGGGTACGTATCTGTGGCATAGGATCATCTTATCTTGGTTTACTCAACCTGAATTTTGGAGCTGATAATGAGCCAAACCAAAATCCGCTACCAAAATCTAGAAAGTTATTATTTGAATTTTATATATAGTTGTCTATTATTAAATGTGAATTAATTACATTTTTAATTTTTTATCATCTTAGTTATTTTCGTATTTTTTTTAAATGTAGTTTCTTTTGTTTTTGTGTTGTACGTTGAAGTAGTTTCCTTTAAGGTTAAAAGTGTCACTTTGTGCTTGTGCCTGTGCTTAAAGGGTTGTTCGAAGATAATAGTTAGGATTCATTATCCAAAAAGAGAAGAGTTTGAAAGAGTTAAGACATATTCCTTTATAAAGAAGCACATTTGTGTTTTTATATTATTCTCTTACTTATATCTCTGTGGCGATGCCTTGGATAATGAAACTTTTTATAATACCATCATGTAACTTTTTGATCTGTTGCCTTGTTTGTCGCTTGCATTTCAAATGTCTAAGCTTTTCCTCTTGCTCTTTTGGAATCATGCCCATATGATTTTTTTTTTTTGATGATTGCATGCCATAATTATTTTTGCTTTATGTTTTCAGATTCTGAAAAAAATTCAATTTTGATAAGATTTATATCCCATATTTTCCCTTCTAACATGCATCGACTTAATTGGCATCAGGGCAATCGATTATCATGATGATTTGTGGAAGGGAGATTGATGAAAATAAGCATGGTCTTGAGATGGAGGACAATAGGAGACAAGTTGAAACTTCATCAACAAATTAGAACAATATATATGAATGACTGAGTTATATATGAAGATGAATATTAATGTGTTGGTGTGGCTGGGAAACTTCAGATCTTGTGGTTTTATTAGGATGCTTCTCATGAATTCTTAGTTGGCTTCATGTTGTTAAAATGAAGTTTGGTTTTAAGAAGTTTTTAAATTATGTAGAGGCTAAAAACTTGTTGCCGCTTTTAAATTAGTTATGCGTCTATGTAGTAGGATAATTTGAAAAGATTGAGAGCATTAAGGAAGAAGTGGTAAAATCTGAACATGGAAGAAATAAACAAAATATTTTTTACTAAAAAATTACTGACAAGACAGATTTTTTTAGTCTAATATTGAAATGTGATTATGGGGAACACATGATAATAAAGTTTAGGTGAATTGTATCTTGCTGGCAAAAAAAAAAAAAAACTTATCAATACATGCCTCTATGCTTAGAAAACATTTATAGAGATACTTACAAATCATTTATCAATATCATTTTGGGGTACAAACTTATGATTTTATAAGTTATGAGTTGACTTTTTACTAATTAGACCAACTCGTATTTATAACTGAACATTATTACAATAGAAAGAGTGTTTATATCATAACGTAAAAGAATTGTACGCACAGTCAACAGTTTTCAGTAACGCTTGTGGTAAAAGCTTGTTTTGGAAAGATCAACATAAAATTACCATAAATCAATGAGTGCGCCAGAACATACTTGAGGCCTAAAATATAACTCAAATAAACCTTATATTTAGGAAAAAAATAATAATTGCTTTAAAAATGATTATTGTAATTTGTGATGGAGGAGAACTGCTGGTATTCTAATTTCTTTATCTGCAGCTGCCTAAACCAAGCCTCCAGAGTTTGGCTCCAAACAAAATGACGGAGAAAAGGCAAAGTGAATTGGAAGAATCTTGAAAGAAGAAATTGTAAGGCAAGGCATGTTATTTAATTATTATTTATTTATTATCTTTTTATCCCTCCAGTTTTTCCTTTCCTTTTCCCTTATTGCTAACTCAACCGGTTTTGCTTTCTCCAAGTTGCAGCACAGGTGTCTCCCACAATCCTCCCTTCTCTCTCCATCAGAGTTGCTAAGGAGAAAGAAGAGAAGAAAAATCCATAGGGGAAGATGTCTTCCCCAAGCAAGCGGCGAGAGATGGACTTGATGAAACTGTGAATCATCCATATTTTCTATTTATCCTCAATTTCGTTTTTTTGTCCTGCTTGTTCTGTACTTGATTTTGGTTTTTTTTCCCCCTCTTCAGGATGATGAGTGATTACAAGGTCGAGATGATTAACGATGGAATGCAAGAATTTTATGTGCATTTCCACGGACCCAGTGATAGTAAGTTTCCTTTGTCCTGCTTTGTTTCTCGTTTTAGTGCTTCACATGAAGTATTTGGCTAATTTATACGAAAATTGTCGCTTTAAAGTTCAATGGGTCTTCTTGCCCTCTTCTTTCTGATCTTATTTTGCTCTTGGATTATGTTTTCCCTTTTTTCTGAATTTAGCTATTTGACCATTTATAGATTTGGGTTTTCTAGATTTAGATTTGGGTGGCAGCAAGATGAGACGCCCATTCTTGTATACCCATTTTTCAGTCTATTGTATTTATTATATTGATTTCTCTCGGCATAGGATCCTATTGATTACTTTTGTAAGAAAATGATCATTTTAACCTGAAAAATAACTATTTGATCATAGAATCTTATTCCCACGCAGATCAGTCCTTGAGAAGTTTCACTTCCTGTTCGTTAGTATCCGTCAGTGAACAACTTTCAATCCTTGAGTAGCATGGATGTAACATTCCAAAAGTCAAATAGCTGATAATACATATTTCTCAAAGACAATTATTTATGGCCTCATTTTTTTGTAAAATATATCCTCATTTTTATTTGACAAAGAAACTAACACATATTGCTTCTGATTCTGAGTTCTCTTCTACATATTGTAGAGTTCTTTAGCCAAATGGTACTAACTTTTAGCCAAAGAGACTCAAAGGAGCTAGATTTTGGATGGACTTTCAAGTCATACCAAATCACCATGATTTGCCCTTTCCTTGTTGTTCTGTCCTGGTTCATAACATCAAATTAACCAAAGCGTTTAGCTTTTTTTTTGTTAGAGGAGACAGTGTTTCTCCTTTTCAATCTAGGAGCAAGATCCTAATTGCATCAGGTTTCTATATGAGTTAGTATGGAACCCCCTGATATAATGCAATCCATGTGACTAACCTCACCTGACAGGACAAAGCTTTGTTGTTGTAGTTGTATTCGGCTGCTAAATGATCCTTTGGAGAAGGGACTTATGCTTGGTGAAAATATGAAGGATACCTGTGGCTGTAACGCCCAAAAAGAATCGCTAGTTGTGTTTCCTGTTCAAATAGTTTTTGGTTTGTCTCAGTCATCTTCCTTTCTATTCAATCTCCATTTCATCCGTGTCATTATTTCTGGCAGGTCCTTATCATGGAGGTGTGTGGAAAGTAAGAGTTGAGCTGCCAGATGCGTATCCATATAGATCTCCTTCCATAGGCTTTGTCAATAAGATTTACCACCCAAATGTTGATGAGATGTAAGCATCCAGTATTTATATTCCTGGAACTGTGTTGAGTTATCTTCATTACGCATTAAGGTTTGAGGAGTGAACAAGTGCATACCTGAGCACATTGTAGTTATATGATGATAATTTCAGGTCAGGTTCGGTTTGTCTAGATGTTATTAATCAGACCTGGAGCCCTATGTTTGGTAATGATCTTCTCTAGGCCTTTTGAGAAAATGTGTGGTTTCTTTTCGGTTTTACATTTATTTTTTCTTTTCTGTTGATTGTCTTATGCACATATATGTTTTCTTCCAGATCTTGTTAATGTATTTGAGGTGTTTCTACCACAACTTCTTCTATATCCCAATCCATCAGACCCTTTAAATGGAGAAGCTGCAGCCTTAATGATGCGTGACAGAGCTACATATGAACAAAGGGTTAAAGGTTTTGATCCCATCTTTTCCTATTCTCTTTTCCCTTTTCATAATTCTTGATCTCATTCACCGTCTTCTTTTAATTTTGGGTATTATGGTTGGGGCCATTTCTTGGGCTTTGCCCCTTGATCACTTGTTTCTAATTGATCTGCGCAACCATTGGCCAATATTGCAAACTTGCTTCTGCTTATTCCAGTTGTACTCAAGACTACCTTCTGTACATCTTCTCTTTCTTCATTTTTTTCCTTGTAATATCTATTATTAAAGTCTAAACCAAGAGAGATCCATGTTGCTTTTTGACCTCAGGGTTGTAGATGTAGAGTTCTATAATCTCTTTGCAAATTGCAAAATATGTGTTCATCCACGCGCATACACAACACTTTTGGTTATCGTGTAATTAACAAAAGTACTGTTACTTCTCTTCTATTTCCTGGCATTATGGATTATGGATCTCAATTTCTCAAGTTCTTATCCGCCAATAGAACTAATTCTACCACCATCTGCTATTACTAGGCAGCAACTTTCTTCAATGGTGCCACCATCCCACCATGACCTAAAATACCAGTGAGATGTATAAACTTGTGTAGGAGTAGGAGTTTACTGTCAGATGAATTTCTTGTGCCTCATAAAACCATGGGGAGGCTTTTTATAGGAAAAGGCGTATTGATTGCATATTTTTTTCCTTAAGAAAAGTTATAGTATGGAATTTTTAAGAGTTTGGTCATGAGCTGATATATCGGACGCTGGTTCAAGGATAATTGTCAATAACAGGTTACGATGTACCAATAACTATAGGATCTACACGAAACTTCTTTGTTTTTTTGGGAAAAAAAAGGCATTCAAACCTTCGGAGATTAACTCAGTTAAAATTGGTTTAGCTTGCTTTATACACATACTAACAGACGTGTGCAAGCTAAACCAAACTTCTTGGAGTTTATTTCTGAAGGTTTGTATGCTTAGTTTGTTATAAAACCTACTAGTTGTGGTATATGATAACCTGTTATGGAAGATCGCGCATGCACCAGTGTTAAAATAATACATTACCAGCGGTAACTCATGGTGCCTTTTTGGAGATGGCATAATGTGAAGGATGAATGCAGTCTGGTCTTGAAGTTTGTCACATGCTCTAGTTAAGCTTTGACTGTTCTGAGACCCAGTTGCTGTATATTCTCTGATATGTATTTCAGAAAGGAGAAGACATGGCTTTATTTTTGTTATCAAATTCTTCGATGAGATTCCCCCCCCCCCCACAAGAGTTAATACTAATCGCTATTTTATTTTATTTTATTTTATTTTATGAGAACTTTATCAAGCTTTCTTCTTGCAGACCATAAGTTCTTAATTTGACATTGATTAATTGTTCAGAGTACTGTGAGAAGCATGCCAAGCCTGAAGACATCGGAACTGCCACAGAAAATACATCCAGTGATGAAGAGCTAAGTGAAGATGAGTATGATTCAGGTGATGATGACCAGGTAGCCGGTGAAGCAGATCCCTGACCAAATATCTTCCTACGTGTTCCTGATCAGTCTCTTTATTTAATCTGTAAATGATGTTGTCCTGCTTTTTATTCACGTCATTACATGAAGTAGAATATAACGAACCTGGTCATTGGTTGGGGAAAAATTCCTCTACCTATTGTTAGATATTCCAGTCACTGTAAATAATGTATAACTGAAGTAGTCTTATTTCTCCTTGTGACTGTTTCAAATCCATTGCTTGTGCAATTGATCCTGGTTTGATGGCAGGAATTATTTCTAGAATTCGTATTGAACGAAAAACTATTGATAATCTTATATGCTAAAATATACTGTTTTTTAATTTTGATCAATGTTTTAATTCGGTTTGTAACTTGAACAAGAATATTTAGTTTTTTTAACCCTAAAATCATTTTTAAAAAAAAATGATGATATGGAGATTTTAAATGTTAAAACATTCTTAAATGTTAATATATTAAGTTTAATTTTTCAAAACTAGTGATTATTATTTTTATTTTTTTAAAAAAAGGCATCATTTTATATTAGCAATTTTAGAGTTAAAAGATTAAAAATATACTTTTCAAAGTTAAGAGACCAAATTAAAGTCTTATATATTGGATCTTAAAATTCACTATACTTTAAAAATTTATTTAAGTTCCAAAGAGGTAAAGTACTTTTTTTTTCTTCGTTCATCGAGAAATGTATTTTGATTAATAAAACTACTTCCGTGTAACTGTACATAGTCAAGACATTAGCTTCCTGCACTTTCAAAAATTGAGTGGCTTGAAGAGTAATAATTGGCACCCGTTATTCACTTCATCTCCACGCTTGTATTGCTTACCAAATGATTATGCATTCTTACCATGTGTGATCTTCAAAGGAGTACATTTTTTATCTTCTCCAATATGTGTAGATCGCCATACATCCTGTATTTTCCGCATGTTTCCTGTCTGGCTGTTGCTGATATAGTACATGTTCCTGTAAGTATTTCATAGTAGCTTAAACTATTTCTCAGAAGTTCAGGGTGAAATTAATATCTGGTTCGATCAATTTCACGAGATTAACAGGCTTAGCCAATCTCGTACAGCAACCCCAAAAAAAAAAAAAAAAAACGACAGAGCTCCCGCGATCTTCGTGGTCCTTGCTAAAGCAATTTTTCTTCCTTCCGGGTTGGCCAATACTTCCTAAGCAAGTTTACAGCCTACAAATTGCAATCAAACCAAAGCTGCAGCTTGCCAAAAATCCAAGCCTCTTACTCCATGTGATTCATTTTTCCTCTGGCTTACACGCAAGTGAAGAGGTTCATTCCATACTTAATTCCCATAATAAATAATTTGGTAGGGAACTAGTGAATAAAGCTTTTACTTACATTGGCGGATGCCTTTGACTATCACGAAGCAACGAGTTAACTATACATGATTTTCACCTATCTATAAGGAACACAACTGCCTCAAAACGCAGATACCCGGATACAAAAAATTGGAGAACCATTGATATTTAAAGCAATGAGGTATCATGAATGACAATGGTGGAGGACCTAAAAATCTATATTAACAGTATGGGCTAAACTCTATTTTTAAGCTAACAAATTCTTCCTCAATCTAACAGCATCCTTTTTCCATAATGTGAATCCCTCGAGAAATCTACAGATGACTTGGTCTTCTCTTCCCAGAATCTGACCTTAACCGCTTTACCGGATTTGCCCAGCCAACTGACCCACCAGGGCCATTAGGTTGCTGAGATGGCTGGCCAATCGCCAGTCTTGCATCCTTTGGGACTGAACCAAGCCTTGGACTTCTTGCAGCAGGGACCATACTGGGTGGTGAGACCGGGCCAACTGACCCAGTCCTAGACTTCACCAATGATTTGTCCCTGTCATTTCTTCTCTTCTTGCATACAACCAGTTCACCTGGATGAGTAAGCAGTGGAGAATCATCCTGCTGAAGTTCCCGGATGTTGCCACCTCCATTTCCAGATTTTGATTCCTTCTGTGGAATGTGAACTCTGATCCTGGTGTTTTCCCCACTTGAAGCAGATCCACGTTGCAGGTGCTTCTGTGAAGGGCTTGCATCAGTTTCCACCTCGCTTATCGTCCTGTGCCTCTTGGTTTGGGTACCAGCCATTTGCCTGGGAGATGTTACAGCACCGACTGATATTTGACCCGAGAAAGGAAGTGCATTTCTTGCTTCTCGAAAATCCGTATCAGGAAAAGCAATTTTCAAGATATCAAAAAAGAGATCATGAACCTTCTTTGCTTCAGATCTTACCTGTAAATAATGATATATCCATGAGAACTCAACACTTCCAAAAGAGTTTGATATAGAGATAATATGTCGTTCAACTGGCAAAAGGATCAACAGGTCATATAAAAATTTTGAATCACCGATGTACTTACAGGTTACAAAATCCATACAGCCAAATACAACCTCACAAGAGTCAAAAACAAAAGCCAGTATACTATTGAACTCAACCAACATTGATGCTAATCTTTCTCAAAAATCATTAGTCTAATGTAAGTCGTACATGTAAATGCATCTTCAATTATGATGGGTAAGTTAAATGATGATGATGATACAAGCACTGTGCACCAAAATCTACGCAAGAACTGGATGCATCAATGAGTTTCTCTATCAATAAGCAATCTCTGGCAAATGAAATAGAAATTGATACCAGCTAGGACCATAAGGAGAAAGATGGATTACCAAGAATAGTCACAAGAGTAGTTTGCATTCACCACCAGAGTTTTTGAGCAAACCTAGCTTGCTCTAGTCTCAGGTTTCAATTCAAAAGTTATAAAATCACCACTCAGCCCCACTAGTTTTACTGAGTATACACCTTAACTAACCTTTTAGTGGTTTGCACCAGATTGAACTAGGCCGTAAGAGTTTTCTAGAAAAAAAGCATAGGTTTGTAAGCTCTCTAAACAGTTGGCAGGGGGAAAAAAAAAAGCTCCCTTGGCAAATAGGTTTAAACTGTGAGTAGAAAGGTATATTTAAGGTTTAAAAAAGCACAAGGGAAGCTAATGTTTTATTCCCAATCTAATTAAAGTACATTCCACTACAAGGTGTGATTGCTGTCCTTCAAGCCCAAGGGCTTTTGCACGAGGTGCTTATAGAAGATATAAATAAAATCATCCATGATCATTCACCTAACAGTTAAAGCTTCGGTTTTTGGGATGAAGTGATCCTTGAAACATGCTGAAACAACAGAACATGGTGGTCACTGACATACAGACATTTAATAATTCTTTGGGTTGATTTTGCACTTATGAACAATCAGTGATTTGAGTGTTTACCTAGGATCATTGCATAATTACCGGCACAGTTTTTTTAACATATAGTAAGAAATAAAGCCTCAGAGATGAATGTTCGCCAGAAATATCCAGGACGCAAATTCAACAAGCTAGTGCATTTTTCCCCGATATCCATATCACAAAGACAATGACACAGGAAGTTCTCACCTCGTGTGAAAACCCATAAAAATGCATTGCATTCTTCAGCATGAACTGCACATCAAACACAAGCTCCATCACACCACTATACTCCAATCTATCGATTCGCTGGTCAATCTTCCGCAAATCCAACAGACTATTCCCAGATCCACCTGTGTACCCAGAATTTTCAACCCTCTTCCATAAATCTTTTAGCAAAGGTACAATTTGATGACCTTCCTTGTCTATTCTCCTTTGGAGCTTGCTAATTACATTCTTGCACTGCAAGTAAAGAAGTTTTTTGAGTTCAAATAGTTACAGTGCATAATCAGGCAGACAATAGTTACAGTTCAAATAGTTACAGTACACAACGACCTTCGTGTTAGCTGGACTTATCCTTTGGGCATCTTATAAATGTACCAGGATCGTTGAATTAGACAATTAAAGTTAAATATGGCATGATTTCTCTACTTAAGACAGCGATGTCACAGGAAGACTGTGCAATGAGAGATTCATCGAACATGACAAGCCATCACATTACTATCACTACCCAGAAGCCCTTCCACCACACCACCCATGATAAGAGAAAAAGGAATTGAGTATCAATTCCAGCATGACCTGCAGCCTCAATTAAGTGCCCTCCCTCATTTAGCCAATTTTGATTAACAAGCTTGAATTAACTCACCAAAACCACTTCATCACTTGCACATTTCCCCGACCAAGTTCAACAGGAGAAGTGAGGATAGTTTCATATAGGCAACAGTTGTCTTAGTTATAGTTGCAAAAGGACAACGGCCATATTTCCAGGATTGCAGTCCATACGAAGAAAACCTAATGTGCATCATCAGATACCTAAGTACTCTTCATGTCTCGTAATATTATTATATATATCAAATTTGGAGAAATCAATAATGGTTTTTGATTAACATTCCTTCTGACCCACACTAAGAACTATTCATTCTAGGAAAACACAAGACCGGAAAATATAGAAAAGATGAAGATCACCACACAAGACATACCCTTCTTTGGATGATTTCAGGCATTTTAGAGGATAAGGCCAAAGACCCACTAGAGTTGATAGGCTTCCCCTCCCAACTTTCTCTCGAGTGTCCACCATCCTCAGAAGTAGAAATGCAGTTCAATCGACTGGACTTAGGTGAGCCCTGAAATTTGGAGGCAGTAGCTACTCTCCTTGAAGGTAAATTTCTCTTTACTTTCAAGGATGACTCATTCTGATCATGCCTGCTGGCATTGGATCCTCCAAATGACTTTTCTTCAGGATCCGTCCTTGCTTGCGCTTGATATCTATGGTCTGCATGAACAGACAAAAGAGATGATTCTCCACGGTGAAGAGATCCCACCTCACCACCAAACTTTTCCTCAGGCCTCTCCAGGGCATGACGAGGCCGAACACGAAGACTACGTTTACGTTTAATCTTAGGTTGCAAAACTTGTTCATCTTCACCTTCATCACGATCATGAATCCAACTCCCAGATTGTTGATTATCCATGTGAGAATCACCAGATACAGCAATTTCTCCCTCCTCTAACTCATCAGTCTGGGAAAATGGCCACATCATCATTAGAGCTAAGGACGTTCAAAATTAAACCAAACGATACCAATTGAACTTATCAAAAAAAATTTTAAAAAAATCACGACAATCGGTTTCAAGAACGTCAAAACATATTTAATTGATTCAGTTGTTGGTTTGGCTTCAACAGATCCATAAAAATCGAACCAATTATAACATCTCTCTTTGGGGACAGCTGAAGAATGAATTAGGCCAACAATGAATTAGACTATTTTCCCGACACATTGTTGAGATTGAACCCAAAAAAAAATAGCACAAGAGTCCAACTAACTTGTTTGAAAAAGGATAACAAATGTCTGAAAAAAATTATAACAAAAAAATACCAAGATGTGAAAAATACAAAAATCACTTCAAGAAATTTGAAGCAAATCAGAACTAAACTGGACAAAATCAACCTAAACCAAAATCTGATGAAGTCCTACATTTTGCAAAACCAATAAGGTCAGTTCAGTTCAGTCCTAGTCCAGAACAAAATCAAACCTCTCAAACCCTAATCTGAACAAGTTGAAAACAGCCAAATACTCAAAACAAAAGATTAAGAAAATAAAAATAAGAAGTAAAGACACATACAATCCTTTTTGAAAGGGAACTTGGCCTGGCATCCAAAGCAGAGAGGGAACCAAACTTCTGCGAGGAAACTGAAGGAGATACTGTCTGTGTCAACCTTTGACTGTCTGAGGACGTGCCTGGGGATCCAGATCCTTCGGCTGTAAGATTGTTTCTAACATTCTCTGTTGTAGATGGAGGAAATTCATATCGAACATCACAAATTGGACCATCTTCCAATTGATCCTTACCATTGGGTTGAGCTCCATCTGCCACGCTCAGTCCATCATCTTCAAATTCTCCAATCTCCCCTTCATCTTCATGGGCTGAAGATTCATTTCTTTCATCAGAACTTGCTTCAGAGAATTCTTCATTTTCATCGTCTAACTCTTTATAATTAAGATTCTTCTTTCCCTTGGGTCGTCCCCTTCTCCTTTCAGATCCCATTTCACTGGATTCCACGCCAACATCACCACCCAATAGAGTATTCTTTGATGGTCTTCTTGATAAAGCAGCAATAGTGGCATTTACTTCTCTTGTACTTACTCGAAGCCACTTAGGCACCTGATCATAACTTGTCATCTCTTGAATCCAATCCAATTCCTCATCCATCTGATCAAACAATTCAAGCTCCTCCTCACTCCTAGCAATCATGCGATTTACCTCCTGTAGCGAGGGAACATCATGGAGAGTCTCCTGATACCTCTCTTCATCATGTAATAATGTCTCCAAAGTCAAGCGTCTCTCTTCATGTGTTGTTCTTTGGTCAAAACGTCCAGCATTAATGACCTCATCGGCCATATCAATCTTATACTGTTGAATATTGTTCCTTATTAGGCTTTCAATGGATCCAATATAACGATCCTTACCTACAAGTTCTTCCTCCATATCAACAGTGCCTCCACTTCTCAGTTCATCCTCTTTTTGGTAGCTGGAGATTTTGTCTACAACAGCTTCCATGTAGATAACTTTGACTTCTCTTTTCTGCCCAATGCGATGAGCTCTAGCAACTGCCTGCTCCTCATTTTTGGGATTTGGGTCAGGATCATATATGACAACTGTGTCAGCAGACTGAAGGTTAAGGCCTCGCCCAGCAGCCCGAATGCTAAGCAAGAAGATGAAACAGTCTGAACCAGCACTGTTGAAATCCACTATAGCTGATTCACGATCTTCTAAACTTGTTGTTCCATCAATTCTTCTGTACACAAGCCGTCGCCATTGTAGGTACTCTTCTAAAATGTCTAAGAGTTTTGTCATAGTACTAAAGAGCAGAACTCGGTGTCCAGTCCTTTGAAGTTTTATAAGGATTCGATCCAAGATCCACAGTTTCCCACAAGATTTTACAAGAAAATCTTTGGACAAGTCACTGAAGAATGGGTAGTTAAGCAACGGATGATTGCAAGTTTTACGCAGCTCCATGCATCTGTTATTTAACGTTTTATATTGCTTTGCCTGGTAGACTGGATTCTTTTGAACCTTGTGTTTCTCATCCTCAGGATCAAGACGAAGGGTACCAGTGGATTTGACCCAGTCATAAATAGCACTCTGGATAGCTGACATTCTACATCGCAAAACTATAGAGACCTGCCAAGCAGCACTTATATTAGAAGCAAACCACCATATAAAAAGCAGAAGATCAAAGGGCCACAGTCTAACCTTTGCTGGCAGCATGCCTTCTACATCCTCAACACGACGCCTAAGCATGAAGGGCTCAAGAATCTGATGAAGTCGGTGGATAACTATAACTTTCTTTTCTGTCTCAAGCCAATCATCCTCTGCATTTTGACCAAGGCCTTCCTTTTGAAAAGGTTTTGAGAACCAATCATGAAATGCTTTCCGATTGTCAAAAACCTCAGGAAGGAGTAGGTTTAAAAGTGACCAAAGCTCCTTCAAATCATTCTGTGATGAAAATCACTGCTTTTTTCAGTTCATAAGCCATATTCATAATATTGTGCGACGTGTGTGTCTATATGATTTCTCAATCAAAATCTGCACGAAATTTGACATACAGAACATGTGCCTTAACACATGAAATGTTGTCTGATAGGAACTAGCTTCCTTTACTAGTATTATGCTTTATGTCTCATGTCTATCATGTGATCTTGTATTAGCCATCATAAGTGTCTTATGTCAGTTATTCTAAATTAGTGTCAGTTTAATGTCCTATGTCTGTTATTTTAATATAATGTCAGTTAACGTCAGTTTTATGTGTTTAGGAAAGAGCAGTTATTTGCAGTTACTCTATTAGGCTATAAACATTAGACATGTCTTTTATTTATGACATGGATGAATGAATGATTATACAGTTCCCTAACTTTCTCCTCTGTTTCCCTAGAACTAGATTCTGGTTCTAGTCTCTCCCTTTTCTCTCTCCCTTCCTTTCTTCTTTTCTCTCTATTTCTTTCATTCTTCTTCTCTCTTCTCTAGAATTACAGATTCTGGTTCTAGAGTTCTTATTCTTCTCTACTCTTTCTCTTCTCTCTCTTCCCCTTTTCCCCTATTTCTACTTCTATTTTCCAGATTCTAACATTGTCTCAACCAAGTTAGCCATGGATCACGGGGTACACAGTTAACAGCAATAAGTACAAACGCATGCATTTCTTCAGAACAATGCACGTGTCGAAGTAAAGCAGACCTGTAAGGGGGTTCCAGTCAAAAGTAGGCGTCTTTGACAACGATATCGATCAAGATCACGTGCTAGAACTGAATCCCTATCTTTCATCCTTTGTGCTTCATCAATTATGATATACTTCCAATCAATTTTTGAAAGCTTTGACCGGTCATACATGATGAACTCATAAGTTGTCACAAGGACATTAAATTTCAACGCACAAACCTCCTGTATGCATAACAGAAAAGGCAATTCCTAAATGAACATTAAAATACTCTTGACAGATTACCAAAATAAGCTGATACACACTCACTTGAGAAAATAATTTTGATCGTTGATCCTTCCCTCCAACATAAAAAATGCATGACACAGATGGCAACCAGTTATAAAACTCGCTCTGCACAATGAAAAACCTCCATGTTAAAGGACACAACAAGAAGAGAAAGGAACGTCCTAGAAAGAGAAGGGTATCTTACCTTCCAGTTAACCAAAACAGCATTCGGGACTATTATGAGATGTGGGCCATAATTTCCTTTGAATTCCATTAAATAGGCAATCAATGCCATAACCTAAAGAGAGAAGACATAGAAGATACAGAAAAGTAAAAGAATAAATATTGTGCAGTACTCTAAAAAATAAAAGTTACTTCGAAAGAATGTCTTGCATGAATATCACAAAGGCTCCAGCAATTAAAACACTAACCTGCACAGTTTTGCCAAGACCCATCTCATCTGCCAAAATTCCATTTAACTTGTTGTTATACAAAGAAAGCATCCATTGCAAGCCGACCTTAAACAATAGAAGCACGTCAAAATCTTAAATGACTCAAAAAGACACATAACAGTAATGTCATCAAATACAGCAACCTACAAGCTGATAATCTCTCAATGTTCCAGCCCGCAACATTGATGGTTGCCTTATGACCTTCTCATTCACAGCATGAGCAAGGCTGTAATATCTGTGAAGTGAGCAATAAAAGTAATTATCGAATGCATTATTCAACATAATCATTAAAAGAATCAAAAGGAATAAAGGAAATGAAGTCCAGTAAACATGAATGCATGTAGCATCAGATCATTGTAATTAACATATTTCCTCAAACACATTTCAAGTCCACAGATAGTAATAATATTACATCTTCCCTTGGTAGTGTTTTTATTCTCAGGCTAAAGAAACATTATTTATAACGGAAATCACACTCACTTGCTGACAGATGAACCATCTTTAGGAGCATTCATCTCTATAAAACGATTTCTAATCATCACTTCTTCTCCAGCACAAGCTGCTGCTGCTCTGACTTCTTCTTCAGAAAGACCCTTCAGTCAAACCCAAATAACCACAGTGGTAAACAAGTGATTCAAAGCGTCAAGCTTGCGGAGGAACATGTTTATTTTGTATGCACGGAAAAGAAACCAAAATCAACAATAAATTATATTGTAAAGAAAAATAGAGACATAAACATTTTTCTTAGACCATTGATATCTATTTTTATCTAACTTTTAGACTAAAAGAGTGGGGACAGAAGAAGGGATTGATAAAGCATGCCTGCAACCGGGCAGCAGCAGCAGCAGCTTTTCCTGCCTCCTCTACTTCCTGTTGATTCTTGGCAGCCGTTACCTTACTTCCCAGCTTATGAAGATACTCTTCTGTCTGCGTTAAGAAAGTTGAAACAACAGAGTATCTCTCAGCAGCATCACCCGCCATGCTAGTCTGCTGCTCCAGCAACATCTCCCTATATCTGTCAACATCATTATTTTTCAAGGCTTCCATCCTTTTATTCCTGTCATCATCTTTACGTTTCGAAAATTCCCTTAACATTCTCTCATGATATTTTGCCACCCCCCTGTTCCGAGCAGTCCGAGCATCACGTATTGCCCAGTGTGCCTCAAGAAGCTTCTTACGCCACTGAAATATAGATTTGAGTTGCTTCTCCCTTATAGCTCTCTGTGATGCCTGCACTTGCCTAGCCAGTTCTATACGCTGACGCTCACAGAGCCTAACAAACTTACGATATTGCCTGTCTGGCATTGCCATTATCTCTTGTTGCTGTTGATCAACCTCATCCCTTAAACGTGCCTGAAGACCTCTAAGATGAAGTTTTTTCTCTTCAATTTGTAACCTCAACACAAGATCTGGCTTCATTAGTTTCCTCTCTGAGTTGTTTGCTAGTAGATCTTCAATCTTCTTTAAATTCTCTGTCCTTTTCTTGCTAAGCACTTCCGTGCCTTCCTCAGCAAGAAGATCTCTGACATCATATGCCAATAACAAATTATTGTTGCTGCTTACCATCATCGATGACCCAAAGGAGTCATGTTTCCTAGTAAAGAAGGGGAAATCAAATAGAGGTCCATGATATTTTCTTGTAGATCCTATATCTTTTGGCTGCCCAACCATGCTTGTTTGTGAAGGGTTCTTATTTTGCATTGACTCAGAAGCAGAAGGCTGTGGTGCAATAGCCTTTCCCCTGTCTAACGGCAACTCATTCCTAACAGGATTTCTGTTAGTTTCACGTTCACTTTCCAGATCTGACTTAACAAAGCAACCAAATGGTTGTTGCTCTTCCTCTTGAGAAGATAGCATGGGAGCAGGATCCTTTGTCGCCACAGGTTTAGCTTGCATATGAACTGCTGAGACAGTGGATTTCTCATTTCTTGCAAAATTTTCCTGCTTTGAAGAACCCTGTCCACTAACTACAGGGACATTTTGCAAGTTCTTTGCTTCAGATTCTATGAGCCTTGAGTGCTCTGGCATGATGTTTCCAGCAGACTTATCTTGATTCTGCCATCCGGAAGGATGGATTGGCTGCTGCAATTGCGGCTCAAGAGGTGATGGTACAATAGACTGAAGAAGTTCTTGGGGAAGGTTACCCTCTCCTTTCTATCAACAAACAGGAAAAGAATGTCAGCGAGAACAATATACACTAAGAATACATCTATAACATTTTGACTAGTACTACCATAACAAAGGCACACATAAAGCAGGCAAACTGAGATATATACAAACAGAAGCCCACAGAATGAAAAAGGTAGCTGAGTTGCACCTTGAGCCGCCTAAATGCCAGTATTTGTGCTTTAAGAACATGCAGCTGTTGTTTGGTAAATCCATGTCGTTGTTGAGGCGTCTGAGATGGTGCCCCTCGGGATTTCACATGATTTCCTGAGCTCCCTTCATTTGTACTACCTGATGCCTGAGGAGATGATTGGTTTAACTTCCTTATATGCTGCATTTGTGGAGGTTCTGAACCAGATAAAGTACTTTTTGCATTCAAATGATGATCTGAACCCAAACTCATGCTGGTAGAAGACTGTTGGGGTGGTGCAGAAGGCATTCCACTTCCAACTAAAGCAGGTTGCCTTATGGATGCTTGAGACTCTCTGCCATGATTATTAAATTGCTGCACTGCCGTGTCACTGGAATGGCTAGCTGTAACAGCATTAGTTGGTGGACCAAAATGGTTGGAAGGAATTTGCCTGGCTTTTGCAGGACCAGACAGCCCAGATGCATCACTTGATGAATTAGCATGTGCTGAGCTATCACTTGCACCTGCTGGAGATGTAACCTGCTGCTTTGAAACAGGTACAAGTGATGACTGAGCACCAATGCTGCTCTCATTTGCTTTGTGTTGAGAAACCATCCTCGACTGCATCATAGGAAAGAGCTGCGCCATTAAGTTAGCATTTGCAGGATGTGATAGATCAACATTACGCTCACGTGCCCATGCCTGCATAGCCTGTAATTGAGCAGACACTGCAATCTGGTTGTTCATGACATTTTGGATGCCCTGCCGAGCATTGGGTGTTTGTACAGGTCTTATCATATTTCCAGGCATTAATTGTGCTGCGGCCGGTCCCTGGGTTGAAGGCTTTCCCTCACTTTTTAGATCAGGGGCTAACTGCTGTCCCTGCTCTATCTTCCTTTCCCCATGAGAAAATTGTTCAGATACATTCCTGGAGGTAGATCCTTGAGCTTGATTTACTGCCTGCATAGACATAAGCTCCTGCATTTTCAAATTTCCCATACGCATTTCTTGATCCTTCACAGATGAAGACCCTAACATCCCTATTTTATTTTGCTGCTGAGACTGGCTTGCCAAAGCAGACTTTTGTTGGGCAGCCTGGAGTGCATATTGAAGGTATGCTTGATGAACAGGATTTAGCATTTGCTGCTCAATGTTTTGAACCTTGAGTTGGGCCTCTTGGCTGGGACCCTGTTGGGTTAATTCATTGAACTTCCGAGATTGTTGCAACTGCATGGGACTGGGAGATGAAAAATTGTTACCCCCAAATGCCCCGTGAAGGGCTGCTTGATATGCTAAAAAGGATTCATTCCCTTCAGGTTTTCGAAGTAATTGCTGTTGCAATGACTGCATAGAGCAGAAACATCAACGATTTAGCGGAAGGTTCCACAAAAAGCAAAACAAAAATGAACAGTCCCCACAACATTTTTAATGGTAGTAAAATCCTAAAGCAATTTTCAATGCGTAATTGGATAAGGTTCCATATATCTGAGCTTTCAAATATAAAATGGTGGCAAACTAGCGAATTGCATAAGGAAATAGCAAAAACTCTAAAGACAGATTCTTACGCATCTTTGCCATACCACATGCATTAAAATACGCATGAACACAACATTTTGAAAAAGAGAAAACAATACTGATGATGATTTTCTCACCTAGATTTTGAACTAGAACGATACTATAAAGCAAATAAGAAACCCCAGGAACAGTTAAACCTAAATTTGACAGTAGGCTAAACTAGATGCGAAACACTTCTAGCAAATCGCATTTCAGGTTTGCCTGGTTGAAGCTCATTAGTGCGTCTAAATATTGACAAGGACACCAGGGAGGGGAATAAAACAAACGTAGATAACGCCTATTGTTGGGTTGGGGAGGGGGGGGATATCATAAACTGAAACAAGAACCTAAACTCGCATTCACGCTGTTGTTTTGAAATCTTCATTAATGTATGGAAGAAAACTCCAAAAGAGATTGGGGAAAAGCATGACGAATATTTGTAATCAACTAAAAGTTTACATCAAGTTTATCAATAAGTCCAAACGCTAACAATGACGCCTGGAGAAAAAGATCAAGGGAAGATAGTTGTAACCAAAACAGCAACGTCCATGTTCATGTGATTGATGTTTGAATCCTCATCAATCAATATTTAAAGACAATTTCCAGGAGGATTGCAGAAAAAGTAATAGCACATGTAGAAGATTATAGTAGACAATAACTAGAATCACAGACGAACCAAGAGCAAATGAAAGACTAACAAGAAAATAAAACAAAACAAAAGACTGTAGCAGATTTTATGTTACTATGATATAATATAACTGACATCATTTATCACTCAATTGCAGCCGGGCTCCAGGTTGAGTGCAGCTATCGCTTTCCGTATTCTATTAAATTAACAGCTTTGTCTAATTTGACCAATTTGTTCAAATTATTCGTAGACAAGACCAACTAACTAACTAGACGTTTTAAGGTAACTACATCCCAGTACATGTATTTAATGCAAATGTTCACTAAAAACCAATTTCAAAACCCACCAGGTGCCACAATCAAACCCCATAAGAAGCACAACAAGGCTCCACCTTCCAACACTTCTCAGAGTACATGTTCTACCAAATTACCATAGACATTCAGCTGAACCCATAAATCCACACCTGCCTAGAACCTATCTGGTGCTGTGGTTGTTGATGTTGTTGCTGTTGCTGCAACGAGTCCAGCCCCAAATGCGACGTTGACACTGCCGACGATGAAGAAGATGGTGATGCGGCTGACGATGTAGATGTCGCCCGCCCAGCCGGCCCCACCCCTGGGTTCCGGGCGGGCCCACCCCCAGCCGATTGCATGCACTTAGGCCAGAATTCAATAGGATACGTATCCAAATCCCAAAATACGAATCCGTCACACCAAATTCGCTTTTTTTAAAATTAAAAAATAAACGAAAATCTCAAATCCCTCCAAATATCCAAGAAAACTCCACTTTGTCCCTCCGATCCGAACGTTCAAAAAACCATCGTCCCATCCCCCCCCCCTACAGTCTCCCTCTGCAGTTGCAGCTGCCACCAATTTTCTCTCTCTAAAAGCCGCAACTTTCGGAACACTGAACGATAGATCTCCTGGAGCAAGGGCCACAGAGAAGCGAACTTAACGGAATCGGTGATGCCACTATGCAGGTCGCACGCGATTTTGCAATTTCCATACAAGCCCTAAGATATTTTCTTTAAATTAAAATTTTTCCCCTTTAAAATTGGAGTGAAATTTCTTCTCAGGTTTGGTAAAGAAGGCTTCTATAATGCCTTTACGACTAGAACAGCCATGTGGGGTCCAGGCACTCGCCACCGTTTCGAACTTGGAACTTTACGAAAGGCATCGATATGTAACGCCCTTAGTTTTTAACACAATTACTGAAGAACCCTCCTCCCCGTAATTGCCCATGGTACAGTGTTGCACACTGCAGAACATCATTTCCAGGATTTCATTTGGAGCCTCTGAAATTTCACTGTACTTTTTGTAGGAATAATAAAATGAAATTTGAAAAGACAATAATAGCCTTGCAAGGAAAAAAAGCAAAAAAAGCAAGTTTACTAATAGAATACAATAATTTATAATTAAGATAAGAGAATTCACAAGATAAATAAAACTGTTTACAATTAGAATAAAAGTAATAATTTATTTTACCCACAAAATTTAATTTAATTTTTATTTTTTGAGTGCAGTGAAATTTTAGAATATATTAAAAGTTATTTTAAATTATGTTGCTTCTATGAGCGTTTTCTAAAATTCTCCCAGATGTGGGATAAAAAAAAAAAAAACTAGGTTCACTCTGTTTTTTGCATACAGTTTCATCTACTGTCCAGAGAAATCGTTAGCAAATCAATATTAAAATGGCTATTTTCATCATGCAATTGCTGCCTCTCCGGATGATGGACAGGATCCTGATGATCTTGGCATGGTTGGCGCTGGGTAAGATGGAGAAGTACAGTCTTGAAGGCCATTCATGGTCCCAAATATGAGGAAAAAAATCCATGATAATTTTAAAAAGTCAATACATATTTATTATATTTTATTAATTTAATTTATTTTTTTAATTAGTTATCTGACTCTTATATTAATGATCAGAAAATAATATAAATAACTCACCCTTAAAATAAATAATTTTAGAAGGAAATAGAAACTTTTCCTGTGCATTGCAAGGGAAGTGTGAAACATGAAAATGTTATATGGTAGAATTATTTTAATATGATAGTAATGCATTCATTTGTATAGTTCTAAGGAAATTTAACATCACATAGAAAAAGCAAGATACTACCTCTGATATTTAATATAAGATCTTGTTTGATTTTTATTTTAGTCTATAAAACCCCAATCTATTTTGTCTCTCATATTTATATTTTTTTTCGAAGATAGTCTTTCTAATAATGATAATTCTAACCAATACACTTAATTAACAAGAATATTTTAAGAAAGACAACACTTATTTATTAATATGTTGTTATAATAAGTTCGGATAAAGATATAAATAGGTGGCCTAGTGAACAAACACAATTTTGGGGCGTCATAAATTTGTGACCTCTTTTTTTGGTACCCTTAAATTTGCAACGTTTAATTGTGAACCAAAGTTATTAATCCATTTGGTTTAATAGGAAAGGAAGACATTTAAAACTGTAGATACTATGGTTTAAAAATGCAAGTGAAATATACACCATAAAAGATATTATGCTATTAATATCCCAATTAATAAATTTTCAAAATGCATTTGAAAAATAATCAATTTATTGTTTTGAAGTTTGATTGGTTGCTTATGGATGTGAATACACTTTGTTAAATAATTTTAGTTGACAATCCAATTTGACTACTCTTTTCTTCAAATAATCTTTGTTTTGTTGTCAACCCTTTTTAGGTAATCATAAATGGCAATATGATTTTATTAATAATACACCAAGCAATAATATACCAATTAGAAGAAATTTCTGGTTATGTTCCTAAAAGTATGCATTTAAATTAGGGTTAAGGTGCACCCGGTACTCCCAAATATTTTGCCAGGTGCACTCAGTGGCCTAAAGTAATTTATGGTGCAATTTTGCCCTCAAAGTAATTAAAATGGTGCACCGGTATCCCATGCTAACAGATCTGTTAGCTTGACCGTTAAATTGATGAGTCAGCACAAGTTTGACCAGAAAATCTGACGTGGCATGTCTAATAAGCAGGCGATGTGGAAATTTTTTCGGGGTTAAGGTGCATCCAGCACCCCCAAGTATTTTTCCATGTGCACCCAGTGGCTTAAAGTAATTTATGGTGCAATTTTGCCCTCAAAGTAATTAAAATGGTGCACCGATATCTCATGCTAACAGATCTGTTACTTTGACTGTGAAATTGATGAGTCAGCACAAGTTTGACTAAAATAATCTGACCTAGCATGTCTAATAAAGCAGGTGACATGGCTTTTCTTGTTGATTCCATTGTTTTGTCTGAATATTACTCCTCTGGTCTTATTTATAAGGCACTTCCAGCATGTTTCACACAAACCAAGGAAAACCCTAAATTTCATTAACTCTCATTTAAATTTTAATAACTTTCCAACTTTATCCCTATTTAATACACATTATACCTCATATAAACAAAGTCAATACAATAATAAATGAGGGGTAAATTTGTACATCCATACAAAAAATTTCTCTCAGTGCCTTATAAATATGACCAAAAAATATCTTTTCTCTCTAACCTATAAATAGGACTAGAGGAGTATCTCTGAAAAAATTTCTTACTCTGAAAAAAATTCCAAGAGCCAAAAAGAGCATTTACTGAACAAAGAAAACAAAGCAGTGGCAGACGAAAAAAATTCCACATCATCTGCTTATTAGACACGCCAGGTCAGATTATTTTGGTCAAACTTGTGCTGACTCATCAATTTCACAGTCAAAGTAAGAGATATATTAACATAGGATACCGGTGCACCATTTTAATTACTTTAAGGGCAAAATTGCACCATAAATTACTTTAGGCCACTGGGTGCACCTGGAAAAATACTTGGGGGTGATGGATGCACCTTAACCCCAAAAAAATTCCACATCACTTGCTTATTAAACATGCCACGTCAGATTTTTCTGGTCAAACTTGTGCTGACTCATCAATTTAACGGTCAAACTAACAGATTTGTTAGCATGGGATACCGGTGCACCATTTTAATTACTTTGAGGGCAAAATTGTACCATAAATTACTTTAGGCCACCGGGTGCACCTGACAAAATACTTGGAGGTGCTGGGTGCACCTTAACCCTTTAAATTATACTAATTGTGATACCCGACCTGACCCACTTGAATCTCAACTGGATATTACAAGATTTTAATTAATCATAATAAATGGTGATATGATTTTATTAATAACATACCAAGTAATAATATACTACCAATTAGGAGAAATTTTGGGTTATATTCTTAAAAGTATACATTTAAATTATATTAATTGTGACACCTGATCTGATCTGTTTGAATCTCAATTGGGTATTACAAATGCCTGTTTGACAAATACCTGAAACCATGGTTTTGAGACCCAAATTATGGTTTGGGTTAAAAATTCGCCAAACAGGAAGAAAAATCAGGAAACTATAGTTTTGGGCTTAAAATCACGGTTTCAAAAGAAGTGAATCAACTCTGCTTCTAGTTCAAATTAGATGGTGTGATTGTGCTTGTCAGAGTAGATCCTAACAGTAACACCCCTCAATTATTTTTCCTATAAACATATTTAATCTTATATTTTATAAATATACATACATATTAATTATTTATTAATTACATTATCCTATATATTATTAATTATGCTGGTAAAAACTATATTATCAACAATTTTATTCCTTCAAATTAAAATATATTACAAAATCTATCTTTAATATAATTATTATATTAACTTATAACCTTTTTTAGTAATTTGTAATATAAAAAGTGCTCATGATAATAATTATTCAAACACTCTCACTTTATCAGAATCACTTTTTCACAAAATTTATTCTTCACAAAATCAATTCTCCTAAAATTAATTCTCCAGAAGTTCTTCTTCAAATTATTGTTTGGTCTCATCCAAACACCCCTAATATTTCAAGTATAAAGTTAGTTGATTAATTAACTATGATTTTAATTTTTAAGAAAAACCAGCCCTAAACCCCCCAATATTTTTCACAAAATCAATTCTCTCAAAATTTATTTTTCAGAAACTATTCTTCAAATCATGATTTGATTTTATCTAAACACCTCCCAGTATTTCAAGTATAAAGTTAGTTGATTAATTGACTATGATTTTAATTTTTAAGAAAAACCAGCCCTAAACGCACGAATTACGTGCGTTTCATGAGGCCCTTCGGTCCCTCGCACCCGCAGTCTTAAAACTTTCAGCGTCTCCCTAGTTTTGGCGGCATAACAATAAATTTCCCGCTTCCTCCAGCTTCTCGTTCCCCGAGCTCCCGCGGCTAAAATTTCCGTTGGTATTTCCCTCCTCTATTCACCGTAAGCAGCTCTCTTTCTCTCTCTCTCAGAGTCATATTCCAAAGTTACCTCTCGGTCTTACGAAGTTTTTTTTTGGTTCTCCCATTCTCGTCGCCGTATTCGGTCCCTCATTCAGGTGAGTATCTGAGTTCGTTCTCTAGATCTGATTGATTGTTATGTTCTTCAGCTTTTTGTCTAGATCATCACCATTCGGTCTATCCTTGTTCTTCAGCTTCTCACTACGTTTTTTTTTAGCCCCGAATGCTTGCCCACACAGATTTTGAACTGCATCAGACATTCCATGATGCGGTACTTTTCAAGTCGATGTTAATTGTTCATGCATGTGACAGTATTCCAGCATCAAAGATAACCCTCTGCAATTGTGAAACTCAGTTAGGCAGGATGATTGAAATCTGATTTAGCACGCACTATCACAGAGATCGTTTTCAGTTCGTGTATCTTTAATCCTGAAGAGTTAAGGAGTATTCAGACTTTAGTTGGCAGATTTTGTATCACCTGCGCAGTGCATCTTTCATTCTCTGTTCTCTGTGCTGCTGTAATAACTCGCTGATCATGTCATTAAAACTCTGAAACAGCCAAAGCTATTGAGTTATGATTGTTTATCTTTGTTGGTTAATTAAATTGCTGTGCTAGTCGTCCAGAGTCCAGTTCTTTGGTGACACAGTGCATCATATCGGTACCACCGGGTTGATTGAAATTAACGTCATTGTGAATGAAAATCATAGTTATGCTTAGCTATGCGGGTTAAAAATATACTAGGAGAATGTGAATTTCTTCTGTTAGAATTAAATTAAGTTCTGTTAGAATTACTGTGAATATGGGTTCAAGCAGTCTTTGACTGTTAGAATTATTCCCCATAACAATCGGATGAATCCACCAAACTTCTATCGGTTAGCTCTATTTATTTGACTTGAGTTTCTGTCATACTTCCATGCGGTTGGCCATAGTTTAAGCATCTAATAAGCCAATGGGTGGTATCTAAAAATTTCAGGGATTTGGGCGAAATTATTGGAAAAATTTAGTGCAACAAACTCATTATTTATCAATCCTTGTATCATTTTCCAAACTTTTTGAGTTGGCGAAATTATCTATCAAAGTTTTACAACCAATAAATTCTAATACTTCACTCTCCAGATAAAACACCCAATCCATTAAATTTTTTGAGTTAGCGAAATTATATATCAAACTTTTTGAGTTAGCATATTCTTATTTCTCTGTTGAACTATCCATTTTGCTTGATTCTTCTAATTTCAACTAACCGATGATCCCCTCATTGGTTTAGAAGTAAAACATCATCAGTAGCTGATTACATGGATAAGGAGCAGACCCCCAAAATTACCAGAAGAACAACTAGATCTTTGGCTTCGGCAACCACTTTGGATAACCCCGTGACTGAAGTAACTAATTTTGGTCCTCCTTCAGCAGCAAATCATCCCATGGTTGAAGGAGATCCAGAAGTGGACAAGGAGGGAACCCCACAAATTCCCAGAAGGACAACCAGATCTTTTGCTTCAGCATTCAATTCAGATAATATAGCAACAAAAGTAACTAGCATTGACCCTCCTACAATAAATGACCTTTTAGTTGGAGGAGATCCTATTAGTCTGGATGATTTAATATCTGCTTTTCCTGGTAGACGTAGCCAGATTGTTGAGCTTATGCGTCTTTTGGGACCTTTGAATTCACCAACATTGCCTTTATTTGTGTATGGTGGTCCTTCTACAGGAAAAACTAGCATCATTCTTCAATTGTTTAGGCATCTCAACAGGCCTCTTGTTTATTCAAGCTGTAGTACATGCTATAACCAGCGGATCTTGTTTGAATCTATTTTGAATTCATTGTTTCTTCATAGAAAAAGTGCTGCCAATGGTTACTCAAATGCAAAACGATGTGATAGACCATCTGACTTCGTCAATTTTCTTAGGGATGCATTGGCCAATGTGATAAATAATCTGAAGTCAAATTCAGAGAAATTGACATCAAATAAGATGGCAGCAAGGGGAACTGGAAATATGATTTACTTGGTATTTGACAATTTTCATCTTGTTAGGGAGTGGGATAAAAGTTCTACTATAGTACCCTTTCTGTTTAATCTCTATGATCTGCTAAATATGCCAGAGGTGGGCTTGATATTTATTAGCAGTACTTCCCCGGATACCTATTATGCTAATATGGGTTATGTGGAACCTGTCCCCGTCTTCTTTCCTGATTATACGGAGGTTGATCTTCATCAAATATTCTTGAGAAACCAAGCAAACCAAAAGTTGTATTCTTCATTTCTGGAGTAAGACATTTTTTTTCCCTGTACAAGTTATGAATTTCTTTTTGTTATACACGATTTGATCTGTTGAAGACTTGTTTCTTCTTGTACAGTGTAGTTTTGAGGCCTTTCTGTAGAGTTACAAGACAGGTGGATGAATTGTTTACCGCCTTCAAGTCACTATTTGAAAAATACTGTGAACCTTTAAGTGATCATAGTGTTGCTCCTAGTGAAGACATGAAGAGAAGGTTATTTAGCCATCTGAAGCCTCATATTGGTTCCTATTTGAATGAAATATTTAAGATTTCATCTCTTCCTTCACTTGAAGTTGAGATCCATAAAGAGACCAAAAGGAAGGGGAATCCCAAGAAATTGGAGAGATCTGAAGAAATTGAGGAGCTGGAATTTCACATGTCTACTTGTGCTAAATATCTCCTTATTTCTGCATTTCTTGCATCCCGAAACCCTGTGACCCTTGACGACTCACTTTTTGATCCGACTGGTGGTTTAAACAATCGAAAACGTAAGAGGAAGTAAGTCTGACAATTAAATATTTAATTTGTGCACTGACAACAAATAGAATGCTCACGAAGCATCAAAGGATTTAGTAAATATCCATTTTTTTTTAATGTGAATTCAATACTCAGGTTACAGGTTTTAATGTTTATTTCATTTTTAGTTTTGGACTTAATTTTATGTTTCTGTGAAGCCTTCTCTGGTTTTTAAATTTATTTTTTCTATTTCTGATTATCTTTATAGATTCTGTGTTATATGATTTTTAACTATTATTTGATTGGATTTGTTATTTCTTTGTCATCGATGTTGGGAATTCGTTCTATTTTCCGGAGTGCATTTGGATCTTGCTTATTTTTTGTTTTCTGATACAAGCTTTTATCATGCATAGGACCTCTGCAAAAGCGCAGGAACAGAAACAAAGTGCAGAAGAGGAACTAGTGACGAAAGGACCTGGAACTTTTCCACTAGAGAGGTTATTAGCAATCTTCCAGTGTATAGTGTCGGTTGCAGAAGATCCATCTGATGAAGAGGAACAAAGGAATGGTGGATTAGGAATCGAAGGTGGTAAGGGTGGGCTAATGTCCGACGTTCTTTTACAGCTATCCAGTCTCTGCAATGCTAATTTTATTATCAAAGGAGGAAGCTGTCCTATAGAAGGCTCGACTCGGTATCGATCTGCTATATCTGAAGGCCTGGCTTTGAAGGTAGCCTTTTAATGTCATTGCGTACTCCACCAAATTCATGGCTCTTGCTTATAGAAGAAGCAACTATTTGTTAAAATTAAAGAATTAGGCCCTTTTAATCTACTCTTAATCTTGTAAATGTTGTTGTGCAGGTTGCAAGGAGCCTCAAATTCCCACTGTCAAAATATTTGTATAGAAGATAGTTTTTTTATGCATGTTCCTCCGCAAAGCTTGGTCATCTAATGTTTCTGGCTGACCATTCAAATGAAATCAGAATAGAAGAAATTATTTTACTATGGAAAAAAGTGTAGATACTGTGATCTCTACTTATAAACGTGAAGTGCATGGAGGAGGAAGCTTGAAATCTAAGTAAAGCTATTGAGTTCATCTTCCCTTGCAGTTCATTGGATGTACGGTCTATGTAATGTTGAGGGAATCAGATGTAAGACTTATTTAGGCGTCTGAGTTAGTTATGATTTGCTCGTTGTTTATTTAATTTTGATGTTGCTGCAAAGGAATTTGTAATTTTGCTGATTGCATTCAGCACAAACCTCAAAATCTTGTTGCTCTCGGCCAATTTAGGAATGTGATGTGGCACGGAATTGACTCTGTCCTCCTGTACTATGTTATGAGAAACCTGTCGTCTCAGCAGGATGTCTTCCAACGCAACAGAGTTGGTGTTGATGACTCCAAGGTTACGTTGAAATATGTCCGCAAAGGTAAGAGTTTTTTTTATTGGTACCAAAAAACAAGAAGGTAACAAGGTTAATAATTTCGCGATGTATGTATGAAACCTTTCATATTTCTTGAATGTCCCTCCAATCACATCCTTGTATTTTTTTATGCTAGATGCTTGTATTCTCTTATTGAAAATAATACTCCTCCGGTCCTTATTATAAGACTCAATTTGACTTTTTATTTGGTCCTAATTATAAGACTCAATCCATTTTATCTCTTATATTTATGCATTTTTTTCAAAAATAATCCTTCTAATAATGATAGTTTTAGCCAATATACTTAATTAGCAAGGATATTTTAGGAATAACAACACTTATTTATTATAAATAATCAACTTAACTTACTTCCTTAATCTCCTCAAATAAGTCAATTGGGTCTTATAATTAGGACCGGAGGAGTACTAAATATAGGTACTTCTCCTAACGGGAAGTTGAATTTTGATTTGTTATGTTATGGGGGGATTAGTTCATTCCATTAGATTCAATTCTTATTGGATCACATCCTTGTAATTATTTAATTGGGTGGGATGATGCGTACCAAGCATTGGGTGCTTAGAATAGTCACTCATCGTGGCTGCAGAAGGCATAGTCACTCATCGTGGCTCCAGAAGGCATGGTCCTGTTAATTCTCACGGAGGGTCCATGTGTTTTGCTGGGAAGTGAGTTGCATATAAATGTAATGCTGTAAAAAAGAGAAAAGACCATACTCCCGTTTTATGCCAGTCGCTTTCATACAGCCTCACATTCTTGCAATGATTTCTTAATCGACCCACTCGACATCTTGATCAGGACGCACCAGGTTAAAATTGAAAAAAAAAGAAAGGGTCATATTTTTAATCAGAAATGACGGTTTGGAGTCAAATTAATATAGTGAAAATAATTACCAAAAAAAAAATATATATGTGAAAATATGGCGTGGGCAAGTACCAGTAAGGTTTGTCCAGGGATACATAGACCTCCTGAAATGATTAAAGAAATGATACCATCATATTGAAACCTGGAAAAAAAAAATCATTTCGTAGGTACTTATATTTTCGTTCAATTTTTAGTTTGATACTTAAAGTTCTAAAGCTAATAATGCTAACAAGACAAAATTAAAAGATTTAATAAAAAAATATATAGCAAAATTAAAAATTGAGAAAAAAATATCGATCGTCACGTAACACTACCTCTAATTTTAATTATAAGATTTCGTTTATAGTTTATAAATAATATTTTATAATTAGGAGAGGGGTAGTAATTGAAAACTTAAATCAAATTGTGGATACACTTTAACATCCAAACCAAAATGTGGAGGAGGACCAAGTCCAAGCTAAAGATAGAGCTACACTATATAGGTACCTAAAAGCTGTAAAATGGGGAGCAAAGTTGAGTTGAGAATTTGAAAAGGGGATCACGCTGAGTTGACGAAAACGCAATGCAAGTAAATAGCAGAAAGCTCCAAATGAGACAGAATGAATATACAACAACTGCCCCAACTACGCTTCATCAAGTTTTCACCTAATAAGTTGCCCTTCTCCTTCATACACTTCATTTCTCAATACACGCCACCCCAATTATTTTTCATTTCTTATCCCCACTCCTGCTATTTTATTTCTTTCCATAATTATTGCATTTAATTTCACTGTCCTCATCGATGTGTTTTTTTTTTTTGGTGTTTTTATATAATCTAGATTTATGCCCCCCTTTACTCGGCTCTAATTAATTAATCTCTTTTTTATTCCATGATTATTCATACTACTATAGCTCACTGACACTTTTATACATTGAAGACAGTAAAAATATTAGTGGGTGACCCTATTAAAAAGAGACTTAAAATAATTGATACAGTGCTGGGTAGTATATATTCTGATAAATATTTGCTATTCTGTGTGTTTAATTATCTGTGGGGCGGGGCACACAAAGAGAATTAACCAATGATGTAAAAGAAAAGCATGAAACAATTAATAATTTAATGAAATAATTTTTTGTCTTGCTATTGTGCCTGTTTTTTGATGGAAAAACAAAAGAAATGAAAAAGGGCTTATTTGGATTTCTTCTTCTGTCGTATGTCAAAATGTGCTTGAGTATGTAGATGAGTGTGTGTATTTTAGTATTTGTGCGTGAGTGTTAAATTTAATCTATTTTTTTCTTTAAAAAAAAGGGATTATTGTCCTTTTTTTTTCAGAGTATACAGACACCGTATCCAAGTGTGTCAGTGATATATGCATTAAATATATTAGATATATTATCCAGCATTTTTTTTCAGGTTATATGTTTTTTGAAAACAAATATATTCTACATAATTACATATTTCCGCCGTGTATTGCATATTTGCATGGTATACTTTTTCTTTTTTTTTGTCATTCTTGGCTTGATATTAGGAGTGAAAATAGACTAGCCATTAGGCTTCAACTAAATAGACTTGAATTTGCAAATGAAATTTAAAAAAAAAATTGAACTTGCATACAGGTTTTTTCTATGTTTAAACTTGAGCCTTCAAAAAGGCCTAACAATGCCCTTGAACCTTTTTATATGCATATTTAAAATGTAAGTCTTTAAATAGGCTTGAAAGCTTATATATTTAAATTTATATATAAACCTTCAAGCTTATTTAAAAACTTGCCTTATGTCTTAAAAATTTAGAATTCATTCTCACCTGAAATGTAAAAAGATTAGTAGGGGGAAAAAAAGGAATACCTAGTAAGTACCAATTGATTGAGTAAATAGGAGTAAGAAAAACTGATGGGGATAATTTTAATTTTAAAATCAACCAAGCATAACAAGTATCACATATATCAAAATTGTATTTTACATCTTTTGTTTTTCCCTCTTAATTTAGGACAAACTTGTCTTACTGAGATTATATGTAATATTTCATTTGGACATCATCAAAATAAACATGCAACAATTATTATGTTTTAGCAAATGATGCAAGAAGTGAGCTAGTATTACTATCTTGAGCGATCAAAGAGAATAGAGATAGATCGAGGTGAATGACTGATGAATGAAAGGGTTGAGCTCTTGTGTGTGAATAATGTGATTTGAAGCCTACGAATGAGATCAAGTACGTAATTTTAGAAATAATTTGTGAAATTAATTTCTATTATATTATATATAATAGTTCAAATTTAAAATAAAAAAAGTCAGGGCTGTAGGTTTGTAGCCTAGTCTACTTCTGTGACCCTGCTTGATATAAAAAGAGTTTACGTACTACTAAAGGGATTGGGTCTAGCAGAAGGGGCTAATCCGTCATAATGTAGCAAATTAAGGTTCGAAGAGAGGCGTTCACATTTAGTGCCTGACAGTGCTTCGAATAGGATTGCTTCCAATAGAAAGATACGTATGCTTTAGCAAGAAAAAAAAAGAGTTTATGTACTTATTGTATTCATGGAAAGCTGAACACGTAATTTTATGTTTAAGCAAAATTTAAGGAGGTATTAGTTGAATCAAATGGCTGGATAAAATGGCTCCGGAAAGAGCAGTTATGGAATGAGAAAGAACAAAGGGTTGAGAAAGGAAGGGAGGGGAGGGGCCAGGGGGAGAGAGTAAATGGGTCGGTGCAGGTGGCGGGGGATGACGAGAAGAGACGTGTGACTACGTGAGTGAAGGAAGGAAGAGAGAGCGCAGAGCACACCGTCGTAAATGCATGAATTAATTAAAAAGCGCAGGGAGGTCACCGCTTTTTGGTTTTCCACATTCACTGCCTTCGTTGACTTCCCTTCTTTTTTTCTCATGTTATTCTCTTCATTAATATAAAAATTAGTTTGATTTTTAATTTAATTTTAAATATAATATTTTTTTTATATTTATCTATTTTTAAGATAGTCTCTATAATAGTTACATTTATAAAATGTTTCATCAAATGACATTTGATTAACAATAGTATTTTAAAAAAAATAATATTTATTTATTACAAATAACTAACTTAACTAATTTTTTTAATCTACTTAAATTAATCAACCAACTCTTATATTAAAGACCGGATGTGATACTATACATCTCTCCTCCCCTTCTACATACCGTACAAAATTTTATTCTAGAGAGGGGGCCATAGGTTTCACCTCCAAAAAAAAAACTAAATATATACTCCTTCCTCCACAAAAACTATCGATATCCCAGTAATCTGCATATGATTATGATACGATCCATAAGGACATACGCGAAGAATATATATGGATGAATGAGGATATGGCATACTTATACTTTTGTAAGGGTTTTCAAATGATGGCGCAAGGAATATACTATGAGAATGAACACACACACGCACGCAACATTATTTAAGAAAAGCATGGGGTTCTAAATACGTAGAACTTTTTAAATCACCCCGCTGGCTACTTGGAAAAACCATCTCTATATATATTTTCTTTGCTTTGTCGTGTTCTCCCATCTCTCGTAACTCGGTTGGCTGCCTACCTATGCCCTCTTGAATTTTTTTGGCCAAGCCTTTCTTAATTAATTGATCATATATACATATATAAAATTTCAAAATAGTTGACTTTAGCTTACACATATATATACCCCCTTTTTTTTTGGCTAGAAGATACAGACATATATACACTCCTCTAATCCTATTTATAGGACAGAGAGAGAAGATTTTTTTATCCTATTTATAGGGTACTAAAAGAAATTTTTTGTATGTATGTACAATCTTGTCCTTTATTTATTATTGTATTGACTTTATTTACATGAGATATGATATATATTAAATACAGATAAAGTTAAAATGTTATTGAATTTTAAATGAAAGATAAAGTTTAAGGTTTTTCTTGATATGAAACATGTTAGAAATGACTCACAAATAAGACTAGAGGAGTATTATTTTAAAAGGATATTATATATAATATCTGATTGCATATGAATTAGTCCCAATTTTTTACACCAATATCTCTCTCTTAAAATTTTTTATCCATGTGTGTTTGTAACAGTAGATCGCTTATTAGATTGATAGGAATACTAACATAATAGTATAGGAATTGATTAAATTTAAAAAATTTATATACATATATTTAAATTTAATTTTACATACGTATAAGGGTCTCATATAAAAATGAAAGATCTGCCAACAAGAATTGGTTCAATTGGTAAAGAACTAATTCATAACACATAAAGTTGTGAGTTTGAATCTCGCCGCCAATATGAGGATTTTATTGGTGAGTGATTTGTAAGTACTTCTGTAAGCATTTTTTAAACTTGAAAACATACCCTAACTTAGGTGAGCCCTTGAGACCAACTCACCTAAACCTTTTTGTAAAAAAAAAAAAAAGGAAAGATCTGTTTGTTGTATTATCAATATCCTCGCCAGCAATTTTTAATTATGTTAGGAGTTAAGAATGAATTAATGTTACTCATTCTGGTACTATATATAAGTTTTACTTTTAAAGAGGAGTCTAGTCCAGAATATAAGTTTTATTTTTTAGTTTGTTTGAGCACTTATTACTTTGTTTTTCCTATTTTGTCCTTAGCTGACTATATTTGGTATTCTATTTCATTAATATTATCTCCATATATTCTCTTTCATCATTTTTTTATTTATTGCCTTTCTCATTTATTCTTTTATAGTAAATAAGGGACTTTTAAAAAGAAATATATTTATGATACATTTATTATTTTTAACTAATTTTAGCTATTAGTTTCTTAAACGTGATTTGATTATTTGAAGTTTATTTATAGAACTGGAGGGAATATATGTTAAGAAATGTGTTCATTAAATACAATCGATGAATTGAAGAAGTACATACACGTGGAATTAAGAGACTTGCAATTAAGCTCAATGATTACAGATTTTGGGTTGCTAAACTCGTTTATATTTTCTTTTTCCTTTTCGAAGTCTAATAGAATTGAACGCCTGATCAACATGTAATATAATGCCTAAATAGACCATCCGTATTTTTACAAATATACTCTATAATCATATCATACATAGATACTATTACTATATCCGTATTGTTTCTTAAGCTAGGATTCTATTCCCGCTTGCCATGTTCTCTCCATCTTATTACTCTCCTATTCTCAAACCCATTAAACGAGCACAACAAAGGTCAACTCCTACCCACGATTCCTTGATCATCTTAGTTCTATTTCAAAATAATTAATTATCATCATAATAATAACAACTGAAGCTCAAATAGTACACATAAATACAATTTCTTTGGAGAAAACATATTTGAGTATCCTATGGATTGAAAATTAGCCAATCTCTTTCAAAGTATGCAGATCACAAAGGGTAGACTTCTTTTACCTAGATTTTCCCTGTATTAAAAAAAAAAAAGGATTGAGAATTGAATTCCAACCATTTATTTAATTTATTTCTGCCATAATTCACACACCTAATTACGTAGCCTTTGTAAAAGGTTTGACTTACAACTTCACGTCTAAGAGGTGTTTGATATCGTTAACCTTAATTGACAATTACTTTTGAATATATATGAGAAATATCATGATCAACTATCGCAAAAGTTAGCTTAATGACATGAATAAAGAATTTTGAGAAATATATAGCATGAAATTCTGATGATGAAACACAATCATTTGATATATAATTGATAATGGCTCCGAGATTTTGAACAAGAAATTAAATAGCGGTGTCTGCCATTTAAATAAAAAATTCCAGTGATGAATATATAAGGAAAAGGAAACAGTTGAGCTCACCTAAGTGGGTGCTATAAATTGAGGAGGCGTTCGATCGCTCACCAAACGCCAGATATAGGAAGGAAGCTTCATGTGGCAAGTGGAATTTGACGTCCAAAACCCAAAATTTTGGTTAACAAGGAAATTCGATTTATGATACTAAAAAAGATTATCATGTTTGGGTGATACCCCATTAACCCTACACTTTTCCTTCTCTGATCTGGGTTTCTTCAATTCTCTCTGGCTCTCCCCCTTCCCACGTTCCTCAACCAATCTCATTTATTTCCCTTCCTTCATTATTAGATCAGCAGTTTAGAGAGAGAGAGTAACCCTACCGCTCTCCTCGTCTCTCTAGGGTTTCTCTTCTTTACCCTTAAAAGTTTCAACAACCCAGGCCAGCCTTCCTTAATGCTGCATTTGACGATTTTAGTATGAGAGAGAACTTGTGGGGGCATCGCCGTGCACCAGTCTGTCCATATTAATGGCTTCACTCTGTCTTTTCACCTATAAAGCTCTATCCTCCATTACACTCTCCAGCTGTACTATTTTTCCGCTCTCCTTCTTCATTCTTTCATTTCATGCTCCTCCTTTTCCTTACATATCTTCCCATGCTTCTGCCCATCTCTCCCTCTCTACCATCATCCACCACCTTTTTCTCAGGAAGATCTCAGCCTGAGTTTGCTTCTGCATTTCTCCGAGAAAATAATAGTTTTGCCCGGGAATGACTCTCGCCCCAGAAGTTATCATTCATTGTAAAGGTACGGTTTTGTTCTCCTTCTCTTTACCCTAGCTATAGTTTGCTCTCCGGGAAAGAAAGAAAACTTCCCCACGAATAGCAGGGAATTTTCCCGGAAAGTTTTGGTGGTTTGATTGTCAGCTTGGTTTACGTCCGCGGCCAATAGAAATGGATACTTGTACGGCCCTTCTGCTTTTGACGGCTATTACGTTTTACCTTCTCTGGTTCACGTTTATCTTACGGTCGCTACGAGGTCCACGTGTGTGGCCCTTATTGGGTAGCTTGCCGGGGTTGATTGAGAACATCGAGCGCATGCATGAGTGGATCTGCGACAACCTTCGCGCGTGTAACGGCACGTATCAGACCTGCATCTGTGCAATTCCCTTCCTTGCTAGGAAGCAAGGTCTCGTGACTGTCACGTGTGACCCGAGGAATCTAGAGCACATCTTGAAGGTCCGGTTCGACAATTATCCCAAGGGCCCGACATGGCACGCCGTCTTCCACGATCTGCTCGGCGATGGCATCTTTAACTCAGACGGTGACACGTGGTTGTTCCAGCGTAAGACTGCCGCCCTGGAATTCACCACCCGGACGCTGCGCCAAGCCATGGCTCGCTGGGTCACTAGAGCCATCAAGGATCGGCTCTGTGTCATTCTCGACTCGGCTCAGAAAGATTCCAAGTCCGTTGATCTGCAAGATTTGATGCTTCGGCTCACTTTTGATAATATCTGCGGCTTGGCTTTCGGGAAAGATCCTCAAACCTGTGCGCCGGGCTTACCCGAGAATGGCTTCGCTACGGCTTTTGACCGAGCCACTGAGGCGTCGCTTCAACGGTTTATATTACCAGAGATATTGTGGAAAATCAAAAAATGGCTTCGGCTTGGGATGGAGGTGAGCTTGAGCCGAAGCATAACCCACGTGGAGGAGTATCTATCCAGTGTGATCGACAAGCGGAAGCTCGAGCTGCTTGGTCAGCAAAAAGATGGGAATCCACATGATGACTTGCTATCAAGGTTCATGAGGAGAAAGGAGTCCTACTCGGACAAATTCTTGCGCCACGTGGCGCTGAATTTTATCCTAGCTGGACGTGACACGTCATCAGTTGCTATGTGCTGGTTCTTCTGGCTGGTTATGCAAAACCCAAGGGTGGAAGAAAAACTACTGCGTGAAATATGCACGGTCCTGATGGAGACACGTGGCGAAGATGTGGAAAATTGGTTAGATGAGCCTCTGGAGTTTGAAGAAGTTGACCGTTTGGTCTACCTGAAAGCAGCCTTGTCTGAGACACTCCGTCTCTACCCTTCAGTGCCGGAGGACTCAAAGCACGTGGTGGCCGACGACGTGCTCCCAGACGGAACATTTGTTCCGGCGGGGTCGTCAGTGACGTATTCCATATACTCGGCCGGAAGAATGAGAACCACCTGGGGAGAGGATTGCCTGGAGTTTCGCCCCGAGAGGTGGTTGTCAACGGATGAGACGAAGTTCACGATGCATGATTCTTTCAGGTTTGTTGCATTCAATGCTGGTCCCAGGATATGTTTAGGGAAAGACTTGGCATACCTACAGATGAAGTCCGTCGCAGCGGCGGTGCTCCTCCGCCACCGGCTCTCATTGGTGCCGGGCCATCGGGTGGAGCAGAAAATGTCACTCACATTGTTTATGAAAAATGGGCTCAAGGTCAATGTGCACCACAGGGATTTAGGAGGAGTTCTGGAGAGTATGAAAAAGGAAAAGAAGGTTGAAGGTCATGGAAAGAGTCTCATGCTATGAGATGCGATATGACTTTGGGGGCGTGTGGTTCTAGTATATAGGAGCAAACAGAATAGATTTCGATTTCTATATTCATGATACCTTATGAATTCTTAATTTATATATTATAATTGCGGGAGGATTTCTTTTTGTCGGAGGGTCCTGCTGGGATTTATGAGTGTTCTTCAATCTATATATATTTTCCTTGTAGAAACCTTGAAAATATTCACATCATTATTTCTCTCTAGTTTATTTGATTGTTTCAAGACAGTTTGCTGCTTACTATAATATTTGTCTCGAGGGTTTGTGCAAGTGTTGACTTCAGAGGTGGTTTGTTAACACAGATGGGGAAATAATAATGTATTACCTATGATCAAAGTTCAATGGTGAAAGTTGACTGTTTCTGTTTTCTGGATGAAATATCTCTCTGATGTTATGTTTGTCGTGTCTTTTAAATGGCTTGCCTGGTAAATTGAAGAAAAATTGCAGAACTGACCTCCACAAATCATCTGTCATTCATCCATCGAAATGCTGCATTTCAGTGAATATGATTCCTAGAATGCTTTATGGTATGGGAATATTTGGTTTTTGCAAATCAAATACCCTTAAAATTCTGAACTTATTTCTTAATGAGTCTAGCGCCTGCGCGCGCGGGCGCGCCTACACACACACATAACAAAGCCAGTTTCAATTTCTGAGTCAACTCCATGAAATTAGATGTGAAAAGTGTCTGCAAGAAAAATCTGGGATTGACGAAGAAGCACGGGAATGTAAGTCAGGTCGTGAGACAGGGCATTTTCAAATGGTGCCGATTTGATCCTGGATTTCTGCAGAAACTAATGTCTTTTCGCCATTTTGTTGGAGACCTGAGTGGCGCCGAGTCAATATTTGATTGTCTGATCAAGATTTCTTTGACTGAAAAAGCAACTTTTTCCTTAGCAATTTTGGTTTAGTCCAGGACTTTCTCCCCAGTTGAGAGGAAATTGCAGACCAATGTGCCAATCAGACGCAATGCTAGGCAACCTTAAAGACATCTTCCCAATCTTCTGCAATGTCAAATGTCAGTTTTTCCGAGATGCGTGCCTTTCAATATGGCAAGCTTACATGTCTGTATATGATTAACCTGGACATCTAGGTCAATTCAAAATCTTAGTTTTTACAACCTCTGAAGGAATGTACTTTATTTTGAAAAGGACAAGATGTAGATTTGTAAAATACAGCAACCAATAATCAGGAAACCGTTTAGAGGCGTAGCTGAAGGAGTTACAGATGGTCAATGAAAGAGACTTTCATGTTTCTTGGCAACTTTACCCTTAAGTTTGTTAGTCTTGGTGATGATGATCAAATTAGTGTCAATTAAAAATAACTCAGGCGACGGGTATGTATCAGTCTTCAGCTTTACCATGGTAAACTGCTTTCGTTTATTGATATCTTATTTTCTCTTTTATCATTCGAACACTTTTAAGCCCCCCTTTTCATTTGCACTAAAAATTTGCTATCTTATGAACGTTTATATCTTTTGGAATTCATATATATGTAAGCATGAACGAAAATAAAAAAGGATTTTGATACCGGATGACGAGGTAAAATCATTGTTTATTCTATTCGTTCTGTAATTTAAGGAGATCTTATCCTCTTTCATCACTAAATCCCAGTTATATGATTAAAAAAAAAGGACATTAATAGCTCACCGCGCAGTGCGGTCCAAGTGTTGGGGGTTGAAACAGACCCGATAGGGGAATGCCTCAGATTCCTGCCAAGAAAACAATAGTTCATGGTTCCAACAAGGTGAATGTATAAACGTGTTTTATAGGAATGAAGTTTCATGATCAGTATGAGAATTATTTACTGTATACAGTCATTCAAAATACAAGAAATCATGACTTGGGAAAATATATATATTTACACAGCAGAAACCTGACTGCATGCCATGTATTATAGTACTGCTAAAGCAGATGTTCTGTTATGGTTCAGTTGTGTAAGAAAGAAAGCCGGTCCCAGAAACACAAGTGATTGTATGATCTGCCGAAGAAGGTAAGATAAGCAGCAGAATTGTAACAGAGATAAGAAATCTTTAGGTGAAGTTTCAATCAGTGAAAGATAGGTAGATCAAGCCAATCATGAAAAGGCATGTGAAGATGTCAGACACACTTATTGATGATAGATACCTTTAACATACTTCCATGTGTCATAATTAGATTTAGACGGTTTACCTATCATTTGTAGGTTAAAAAAAAAAATTGTCCAAGATCTGCCATTGTATGTCAAACGTTTTATTTGAGAGGAATATTCCTTCATCAAGGAAAACATGCGGGGAAAATTTGGCCTTGGAAGAATACTGACACAGGTGTCATTCCTATTGTTTAGTCAAGATGAGTTCCTCATAATAAAGTCTCTTGGCATTGGATTTTGTTGCCAACTCAATTGAAAGAGGAGTATGCTCTGGGGGATAGTTTGTCTTTATTGTCTCGAAATAATGATCCTTTTTCATCACTTTCCCTGATCTATTTTCTGGGAAAAAAATCAATGATGCTAGATAAGTGGAATCAGTCATTCAGCCTGTGTAGTTGAACTGGCAATTGATTCTGCATAACAAAAGGAAAGCTGGGTAAGTGCTTATATGAACTCAGATATTTGTAAGGCTATTATGTTTTGCGCATATCAGTGAAGCGTGAGTAAGCAAATGGCCCAACACAATAAAAGTTTGCAAATAAAAAGTCTTTCAATATTGCAGACATTTAGATTTTGCTTCCTGTCTTGGTCTGTTGATAGAAAAGGAAAGAAAATTCGGTCATTATTATCTCTGATCGATCTACAGTATCTGATTTTGTATTTGAGGTAGCCACTGACTATTGAGTAGTAAGAAAAGGAATATGAAGATACCTATAATGAAAGTGAAATATGGTTAATTAGGAAGGCTGCGGTGTTCTGCTTGGTATGCAAGAGACTTCAAAATATTACCAATACTTCAATAAAGTTGAATTCAGATTTGAGATTTCAGACATCCACTTGGAATCATCTATTGCCGTTCGATTTACAGACAACTTCGATTATCCAGAAGAACATATAAAGAGCTTGGCATTTAATTGACGTTGAATCAAAAGACCAAGGACTGTACCAACATGTTACAGATGCCGACACCAAGAGCATTAGGAGATGAGCGGAAATGACGTGAGGAAAAATTCATATGGACCTTGTGTGTGTGCACGAAAGGTGGCATTAATCATGTGTCTATCTTCAAGTTCGACGAGTATCTCATTTTCAACTGAGATTAATAGACAAAGCTCACCAACCATTAGAATTGAAAAGATATCCCTAACTGTCCCTGTATTTAAAGCTCTGTAATCTGTACAAAAATGGCAGACAGTTGTCATCATTTTTTCCTTACCAGAATGGCTAGGGAAGACAAAGGGACCGGTCTGCTTGGCTGAATGATGACCCATGACATTATGTCATTCACGATTCTTTCAGCTCAATTATATGCAATCAGCAATCTCTTCAAATATGAGAGTAATCTGTTAAGGATAACTTGTTGACTGCGTTATCTATCATGTTTGAATGAGGCTTATTAACATGTTTATGTGTATGTGTGGGTTAAATTGTATAAAATCCAGAAACAAAAAAACAAAAAACAAAAAAAGGTCATCTCTTTTGTGTTCTATTACATTTTAGACTTCTCCTGTTGCCCTTACACAACACAAGTGCTTCACAGCCAAAAAAAAGGTGTTACGCTCACATATTAGGACATTAATGATCCCAAGAATATTCCTTACACGACAATTGCGTAAGAGGATTGTGATTCTCAAACATGCTTCTGTACATATTTAGTTCAATAAGAGTCATAGACATTTGATTTGATATGAAAATAAATTAATTTTTTAATAAGAGATTTTACAGTTCCAACTTCCGGCATCAATTTACATCCCTGAATTTAGAACATATGTGCATCTTTTAACTTGGAGGGATAAACTAGTAAGTGGACAGGTAACTTTGTCATTGTTTTTTATCCAGAGGGATAAACCTGGTTTTGGTAATTCCCAACCAAACACCCATACTTTAATTAAATCAATTATAAAACCCTCAACTAACCACCCATATTTTGGTTAAAATCAATTGAGACTATCCACCATGTTTCTCATAAGCAGTTCCCACCCACGTGTTGTGTACATTTGGATTAGCGTTAGACAAAACATGACTTATAAAATTGATTCATAAACATTAATTAGTGTTCGGATAAATTTTAAGAAAATAAAACTGAAGAGTAGGTACCAATAGCTTATGAGATAACCATGACTTTTTTGGTCATAATTGATAAACCCGAAATCATCTTATAAATTAATTTTACAAACCAATTAAAACCAAATCTATCTATTTTCAAAATCATAATTATAAATAGATTTCATTCAAAATTTATTTTCCCTCGCTAACCCGAACACTCAATCTTGACCTGAATGAGTGTATGCAGTTCCCTGAAAAGTGCCTGAATTTTTGCAGTGTACTCCCACAGACAGCCCTAACTGCAAATTAATTTTCAAATCACAGATTACATCCCAGTTTATGCTCATACAATATGTTGCTCGGAACTAGCTGTTAAATAGTCTATGATTAAGTAATGTGGAAGCCAATGTTAAACAGACCCTATTACTCAATATTGAGATGTAAGCATTAAATTAGTTCAGTGAGCAATCAACCCTTACATTTACAGTAACCATATAACAACTATTTGGCTTATGTAAGCAACTGTTTTGAGTCCAAGGGGGTGCTTCAGTACCATAAAATTCCACAAATCGAGATAAACACATCCATATATTTACTTCGTATATCGCAAAAACACTTTTGTATCTATGGTTTTCATTCCATCCAAATACTACCTGGGGTAGGAGTGCCCTTTTTCCAAACTTCATTTATGGGTGACTGAAGTCCATTTCTGCCACTACCTGCCATGATATTGTTCTGCTTCTTGAACCAATGCTTGCAGACATACTTGTTTGTTGACGATAGCATTACTTTGGCCTCATCAGCATTAAAGCAACTTCAAAAGATGACCAGTAACAAAATATTGTCTCAACATCTAACCTTCATATTACAATTACGTCTCTCTAAACCTCGCTATTGATCCCAAGACCTTGTTATCAAATGATAGCTCAAATTCTTCGGCATTATTATCGCATTGTTAATACGATACACAGTGACAACCACGATTTTACTATAAGATACAATTATTCTCTAAAAGCTGTCAACTACAAAATAATACCTAAGATACAGTTCTACTGGGGGATTAATGGTTCATTTGTTGAGGGTCCTCTTGGACTAGGATGTGTGGGCAGGGCCTTTCTGGTTCCCCTTTTGTCCATAAAATCTTGAGTTCACCTCTCTTCTTTCCCAGCGACAAGAATGTTCCTGTGTTCATTATTATAGGATAAGATTTCAACAGGCATCGGAGCAAACTCAATTATACTCCCCTTAATTAAAGAACTTACAAATAAACCTCCCAAAGCATGAAACTTCAACAAGTCACACTTAAATTACTACAAATAATGAATGCTGCATTTAGATCGAAACTAATATATAGATATCACGCAATACCCTGTATTTTCCGCTCACCTGAACTATCTCATGATAATCATGTGGCTTCTAGTCCTAGATATTAGTTTTAACTTGACGATGCCACGTGGAAAAAAAAAATGAAGACGAAAAGAACCTTCTTTTGGTGATAATTTTGGGAAGATAATGTTACATTTTAAAAGTTCATAGACTAGAAATATAATTCCTTAATCGGGCCATAATTCAATGCAGTTATACGCAGTTTCCTTTGTTGTTGCTGTTGTTATTTTCTGAAGGGGTATTATAAAATGGATCTCAGTCTTTTAAGAATTTTTCCTGCAGAGATATAACAAAAGTTGTGATGCCAGGTTATAAAAAGTATCCACGTATTATGCTTCTATTATGGTAAGCACCTGAAAATCGCAGAGATTTTTTCTTAATTGCAGATGCATTGCTACTAAAATGGCAAAAATTACATAACAGCTTGACATACTGATAGTGCTTACCAAGTGTGAATGGGACTATATAGAGCAAAGCCGGTTGTCCATGCCCATCCATCAAGTTCAAAGCCACGTATGTGATGAGGAGACCTGATGAACCGCATTCAAATAATGATGCCAAAGAACAAGCCAAATAGCCAATGGTCACCTCTTCCATACATAAAGATTATATAAAGAAAGAAGCACCAAATTTTTATTAATTATTATGTCACAGTTTAGCATATCCTAATTTTGTTCTTTCATTGCCATGTAATGAATATATTTATAGAAGAAGGCAGCTACCTAGAAACCAACATAGTCTAATTTCGATGCATAAATTACCAAGTAGTCTTATACATAAATAATATCAAATAACTTGTAATAGGTCAAGACATTTCAAGGACATATGCTCTGATGAATCATTTATATCATACCTAATCCATAAGCACTCATTGCCCACAAGAAGTATCCAGCCCAGAGTCTCTTCCTCGCCAGCCAATCATACCTGAAAAGTTATGGATAGAATAAATAGGTTAACAAGCTAAGTAGATTTTCACATATTTTATCATAAGTAATTCTGAAAATTAAAAGATCAGGGAAGACAGATCAGAGAATGATGAGATTGTAAGATCTGAATATGGCTTCCAATTAAACCTTAATGAAAATGCTACTAGCAAGCCTGGTAAGATTATGTCCCCGAAACCAATGATGCTGTAACCACCCCAAGGATCAAACAAACGTGGTATCTTGAGAAGCATGGGGATACCATCTTCTCCACTCTTATCACCCCGAGCGACCTGTACATATTTAAAGCGTTAAATTTCCTTTTTTTTTTTTTTTTAATGCGCAATGTTTGTGAGGCCAGATTCAAGCATTGCAAAGGCTGATACAGAAGTGAAAGCATTATTTATCACACTCACCACTATCATCACACTCTCGTGGAACCACCATTTAGAAACAAAAACCCATAAGATGTCATAAAGGAAGGCACAACTGAGAAGAACAGTTCCAACCTGATAACATATAGAGCAAAATGTTTATAGTAGATGCCCTAGTCAATAATAAGCAATACCAAAATCGCATAGCCATTTTCACAGTTTCACTGTACATAAAATGCCCACACGGGCTTCCATATTTAATTCAAGAATATCACAAACACCCTGAAGGAGGAGATTAAGCTGTTGACAAATTAATACTGGGAGATGGGGAAAAACAATAGATATAAATAATGACCTTGAGATTTGGTATCCGGACAATCTGAAGAACTGTTATTATCAATGCAATACCCTGAAAGGAGATAGCAAAAAAGAGGAAATTACGTTCTTGATTCACCCTTCAATATCCTAGAAGCATAAGAAGTTGACACTCAGCAAACCAAGTTCTCGATTTTAAAAGCTACAGGTTTAAACAGGGATGTAAGCTCTGTGCAGAACTTTTCAGGGCAAAACAATACCAAAAGGAGACAAATATCATCATCTAAAATAATCAATAAAGAAAAGAACATGGAAAAGAGAAAGGAACCAAAAAACATGAAAATGTAAGCCATACAGTTTGTGCTCCAACCATGTTGCAGTAAGAAGTCAAGTGAACCAGAAAATCCTAGTCTTTGGCCTAATTTCTAATGTAAAATGAAAACCAATCCATATTACAGGATCGTAGGCAGAACCAAATATGTTGTACCAAAACTTCACATGAATCAGAACAGCTAGGCCTATGGTAACAAGCTAGGACTTGTTCACAAACAAATTTTCAGTTGGTCACTGGTCCTCTCTTCAAATCTATTCTAACACTCCGCATCATGGAGATGATACTTATGAGGGGAAAAATTAAAAAAAAAAAAAAAAAAACTCCAGGATTTCAATTTACTTTACCAAACACTACGAAACATAAAGAAACATGCATTGCAAGACAAAGAGTGGGTATAATCATATCATTGCTTAGGGTGTTAATCATAGGATATCAAATTCTGTTCTAATTTAAGAACAGTCCAAGTTGTATAACACAAATGATCTTGTCAAGAGTAATCTGTCACATGCAGCAATAGAAGTGGAAGTAATGGTTCTCACGAGAATGTCTTGGCCAATCCAAGCAAGAGAGCTGTGGCGATAAACTGCCCAAATCACAGCAAATGCTATGCAGAAGGGAGTAACAGCAAGTGTCAAATATGAGACAGCTCCCAGCAAGGGCACTTTAACAAATGTTTGCCCAGCAGGTTGAAACCATCTGAAACTATAACACTTTGATGTCAATTACACATCATAAGAAAGAAATCTAGTGGAATAAACATTTATTTGTCTACAATAAATGGATGAAGTCATCTCAAATATTCAAAAATGACCGTCAAATCATCTTTGACTGATGCCAAGGAGAAAAATGCGTATAGCTGGATCTGGTTTGTAGAATTAACTTTCTTTCCCTTTTCAAAGTTTAGACCTTTGGAGAAAGAAGTGCAAGGAAAAAACTTGACAACTAGATCAAATTATTTCCCTCCGAGTTTACCAGAATTTATACCCACAATAATGATAATAAACAGTCAATAATTTATTTGAATTTTAAGACTGGAAAAATTGAAGCTAGCCAACATAATTTTTTGTCTTCAGAAATTATTCTAGTCTTCTCTTTTAGAATCCTCAAGTATGATAACAATTAACAGCATCATAAGATGCATAGTGTCACAGCTCAACCACAGTTCACTGAACAGAAAAATGTTCAGATAATTGAACCCTCCAATTTGACACGCATGGACTTGTCTCAGAAAAATTATACAATCAAAAACTGCATAGAAAGCAAGCATTAAGGATTTGTACCATGATAACAGTGCCACCAAACAAGTTTGCAATCCCTGAAAGATCATGAAGAGTATAAAGGTTTAGATATCATAGCAACAACAAAATCAGATGCAATCATCTGATTTTAATTATAACTACAAATTTCATGCAAAAGTTATCACAGAACAATTGATGCGAGTCAATGAATAAAAGCGGGCATGCACAAACAAGACTTCATACATCAAAGCACCAATGGGAATCCCTAACCCAGTGTACTGGGAATTACAAAATCAGTCAAGCATATGACTTCAAGCTAGAAGAAATAGTGTCAGCAATTTGAGTGGAAAAGGATTATCCCCAACCAACTTCAGTATTTTTTCTTCTGACACATGTTAAGGCTCACAAATTCTCCAGCCACAAGAAAATAATGGCAGATATTATAATCACATTTATAGAATAAGCATATAATATCACTTCAATTTTGGATTAGTAATTGTCATTTAAAACTTTTAGTTGATCCATAGCCAACCAATATAGTTAGACACTAAAGGAAAAGACCTATGATTTTGCAGCCGTCTCAAAGTATATGAAAAGTTTTGTGCACTTGATCTAGGTTACTTATAATAGAGGTTAGATAAAAGCTAAACAACTCACCTCCATCCCACCAATGGAAAATAGAATCACCAGAACTTCAACAAACCAGAATGACATCAGCTTGTAAAGCATAACCAAGAAACATGAGGCAAAGACAACAAATAAAATTGCCGCTGCAGTACTGATTTCGACATAGCCAGTGGAACCAGGATTCTCCACATTCTCATCTTCTGAGGCATCCTGCATGCATAAAAATTAACCATCTATCAGTGACTAGATAAGTAAAGTTTCATATATTAAAAAGTTAAAGAACAAAACTAGCTCATGTCAAATAAGAATAAAACTTTCTGGGAGGGAGTCTCCCCAATATACATGCAAAGGAACATGGGAGCTTTGTTCTTCGGTGAGTTTATTTTTCTTCTGTCTTTACTAGAAGAACATCATATCCTCATTTTTTCATTTTGATAAACGAAGAAAATTTATTGGAGAAGATTGGAATGAATAACAAGAGCAGGGGATAAGAGCATCAGAGATACAAAAAAGGAAGGGGGGGTCCAGGCAGCAGTAGTCACCAATTTCTCTGCATAACAACCCCTAAAGAAACCCTACTAAATACCCTTAACTGCCTCCACTTTTTTGTATGCTTCTCTTCTAATATCATTTCATATTTCTTTTATAAAAGAATAAAGTAGGCATGGGAATAATCTGGGCAACCTTTAATAGCTTCTCCTGCTCAATTGCGGATTCTCTGGCAGTCCACGCAGACCAATAAGAAGCACAGAGAATGGTACCAACAGCCATGAGCCATAAAAACACTTCGGCAACATCAACCAAAGGACGCAGCGGAGAATACAACTGCACAGACACTTAGGAGCAGGAATTGAACATGCAGCAGCACAAAGGATACCAAGAAATACATAAATCAGTAACAGGAAAAGCATTTCAAAATTAAAATCTTGAGTGCTGACAAAAAGCCATAACCAATTACATAAAAATATGCATATATACATTAATATATACGTAAATCATACCTATGGAGTTGTTTTTTATATGCTCTTCCAAGTTCGCACCAGCATCTTGTGGAAGCATAACAGCAGGTATCTTGATATCAACATCAGTTTCATTCTCTTCACAAACCATCTTAAAAAGTTCTGCCCAACAAGGAAATGCCACAGTCTCTTCAATCAAATAGAATATAAAAAAGTACTACTGGTTGCAAGAATATATTTTAAATAAAATATTTAAAATTCTCTGCTAATTTGACCCCATAATCACCCCCCAAAAATGAAAATCAGTCATGGAAAAATGAAAATAAAGTGAAATAGAGGTCAAAATGTATTTAACAAGCAAAACAGTCAAACACCTGTACGGTAATTTATAATGAGGATGGCTGAAGCTCCAGCATCGTCAGCTATATTTGCCTTGTCTGTGAAGCTACACTGTCCCCGGCGCACCAAAATGACCTCACCAGTGAGCTACCAAAAGTTCGAGGCAGTCCAAATTACAAATTAAAATTTAATATTAATCATTAATAAATATCAGAAACATTCCAGAGCTTCTAACTTGGACATCAATGCCTCACAGGTAGGTGAAGTTGCACTTGGTAAGTTCAGAAGCTTAAAGTTATCATACCTTATTCTTAAGCTTGGTACAACAATCAGGAGGATCAGCAATGGCAACTCTAGTATGGTTGGCACGTTTTTCTTTTGATTCCAGTGTCGGGCCAAATCGTGCGCCAACACCAACATATTCTTTGTTTTCTACACCATCAATCCACGTAGGAACTTTGACCTAGAAAAAGAATTTGCTCAAGCCAATCAAAGATAAACTCCTTCATTCCTTTTTCCTTTTTCTGTAATAACATTGAAGCAACAGACATCATAATAGTTTTCCAAGTGTCTAGGAGGAAGGAAAAATCGAAGATTAGAATATACTTCATCTAGTCTAGTCTTAAATGTAAATCACAATCTATGTCACGATTATTAAGAAAGGCTGTTGAAGGTAGTTTAACTTCCTTAATGTGTCCCAAATTGCAATTATTTTCCAGAATTGACCCTAATAAATGGTCTACCTTCTAGCATAAATTTAGGGTCAATACAATTTTGTCTTTCAAATTTGTCCTTATTTTGGTCTTGGTCTCTCAAGTTTTAAACCATAGATTTTGGTCCTTCAAGTTTTTTTTTTATTTAAAATATTGGTTCCTATAAATCAATAAATACTTGGACCATTTTGCCCCTTGAAAGACTAAAACCTATTGTTTGAAACTTAAGGAACTAAAACCAAAATGAGGACAAACTTGAGGGATGAAAGATTATATGAACCCTAAATTTAATTATCCTTAAGCTCTTCTCTGATCTCTCTCATTTATGATCCAGACATTCTACCATATAACTTATACAGTAACTTATATTTTGGACCATGCGAACTCTCCATTAAGAGATCTATATTGGAAAGCAAAGGCAGTATGGTTTTTCAGAGTTCAATCAAGCATTTCCACACAATCCCATCAATTTTTTTTTTTTTTTTGGGGAACCAATTTCGGTTTAGTTCTAAAAGTCAGTATTCCCCCTTTTCTCCACAGCTAAGTAGAACGTGGAAGAGAGTCAGTGAACAAAAAAGTGAATGGCACTTCAAAACAAGACGAGAGATATGACAATCTCCAAGTAGTACCCAGAAAATAAGCTCACCCTGGATCAATCTCAATTGCAAAAGAAACAAGCTTGCGTGATCGTTTAAAATAATTAGAAGAAAAAAAAATGATAGCGAAATCAATGTTACCATGCAAAAGGTGTTTGCTAAAGAAGGCTGTTCCTGAATCACATAACCTAGATCTCCATAAAAACATTACACCTAGGCATAAAAAGAACAATTCTCCTAAAAATAAATCCTGCGCCGCAGAATTACTCTTTCTCACGATTTTATTAACAGCGTGAAAACTTCTCGAGAACCACATCAGTGAAGGGGAAGCTTATACTGAACAGAGTCTGATGCAACAAGCCGTTAAAAATTACAAGAGCATTTCATATCCCAAACAGAAAAAGAGCATCTTTTTTTTTTCCCGCCGACCAGAAAAAGAGCATCTTAATTGAGAATACACAGAAACAAAAAAAAAAAAAAACCATCAAGGAACACAAAAGACAGCGCTTCAGACAAATCTCCTTCCAAAATTCATTTCGACGCAACTCCCCAATTTACTTACAAAAGAGGAAAACGGGAAGGATCGGATTTTCCCATTCTTTCTTAAAAGCCTCTCTGTGATCCTTCAGTTTCCATGAAAAGAAGCAAGAAGTCCAGGATCATAAAGCACAGAGCTTGGCACTTTATGGCTACCAAATAAAACTAGAAATCGAAGTTCAGTACGAGGACAAAGACACTTTATGGCTACCAAATAAAACTAGAAATCGAAGTTCAGTACCAGAACAAAGTTGTTATCACAACCAGGCCTCCTCGGAGCAACCCGATCAGGATGGACTATATCCCCAGCTATTACCAGAGTCACAGAGAGCAGAAAGACAGATCCTACAGTGTATAGGATAGCTGATAGAGAAGCCATATCGGATTTTTTGGGAGGAAATTTAGGACAAAACTGGTTTAGAGGGTGAGTAAGAAAGATAGAAGGGGAATTTCTGTTATCGTGGGAGAGAGAAGCAGTGAGCAAGACGAGAAGGCAATTGATGCAAGCAGTGGAGGCTGGAGAGAGAAAGCAAGCCAAAAAAAAAAAAAAGGATTTCGTTTTTCCGTAAGTCACTGTAACTGATGAACGATAATTCCTTCACCGTCTTACGTGATGCCCACAAGGTGACACTGCGCCCGACCACCACACGCCATGTGAGGAATGGCCTATCGTTAATTGGTAGGTATAAAAAACCCTTATAAATACGTTTTATATCAATTTAAATAAAACTTTTTTTCGTATATTACCTTCTATTTTTAATATAAGGTATTATTTAATTTTTATTTTGATCAAAAATATAAAATTTCAATCTATTTTATTTTTTATATTTATTTATTTTTTTCAAGATAATCCTTCTAATAATAGTAGTTCTAGTCAATAAATTTAATTAGTAAAGATATTTAAAAAACAAAACCTATTTATTAAAAATAACTAACTTAATATATTTTTTAATCTATTTAAATTAATCAATTAGTTATTATATTTAAAACTGAAAATAGTATTTAATTTGTATTCTGTATTAAAAACGTAGTTAGAAACTGTCCCATGGAGCCTTAACGGAGAAAGCGGGAATGGGAAGCATAGACTGTAGAAGGGGAAATGACATTGATAGACTACGGAAGAAAGTAAATTACAGTCCAGAACCACAAATCATTAAAACGCTACTATGGCTTGATTCAGGCAAAAAAAAAAAAACGCTACTATGGCTTGAATCTTTTTTTGAAAAAATAACAATGAAGGACTCGGATTTTCAACTAAAAATGGTAAAATATGCTAAATCCTCTCTGTGTCAATTTAATTACATAAATCTCAAATTTTAATTATATAAATCTCCTTTTTATTTTCAGAACTTCTATGAAACTTCTGACATTCTTTCTATTTTAAAAATTTTATCTAACATTCACCCAACCTTTAATTCACTATCAAATCACATATTTTGGATCTTCTTTAATATAAATATTGTCCAAAAATAATTTAGATTAAAAAATTAATGCATATACTTTTAACATGTATTGATCATAGTTTAAAATTTTTAAATACGTAAATGTATTATTGATTAATTTTTTTAAAAGTTAAATACATAAGTTTGCCAGGCCAAAAAAATTCATAAGTTGGCTAAAAGCCTAAAACAATATTTCAAACATGTATGTGGAAAAAAATAATGGAATAGGGATTTGATATAAAAAAAAAGGATAAATTAGTCAGTATAATTTAAGTTTATTTTCAAATTTTATTGATTTCAATACAATATTTTTGGAAAACAAATATTTATCGAAATATTACCATAATTAATTATTTAAAGCACTTTGAACCGGAAAAGGAGAGTGCATAATTAGATTGCGAGGGTTAATTGGGCCACTAAATGCATTAAGTCCGGTGATAGCATTAATAGCAGACCAATAAATTAACATAATATTAACATTAATATCAACAAATTTATACAGAAATCAGTTATATTTTTAAAATTTATGAAATAGCTCGTTTGCCTTGCACTATGTTTGGTACGGGGTTTTTGGAGGAGAAGGGAGAGAATTGTTCCCCTCTTCTTGTTTGGCTGGTGCAATTTTTTAGAAAGGGGAAGCAACTCCTCTCCTCTCATTTGGTTAAGATATTTTTTAAAGAGGAGAGGAGCTCTTCTCTCCTCCTCTTCCCTTCTAACCTCCCCTCCAAAAGTGATATTTTTTAAAAGGGAGATGAGAGATAATATTTTAATTCTTCATATATCTTTTCAATTTGTTAAACCCTTATCAATCGAAAACATTTTTATATAAGAGAGTTCTTTTGAGCATCTAGCAAGAGGTTATTGAGATAAATGTCTCCAAAATTAGTGAGCATCTATAAGCCTTTTTTTTTTTTCCTCTTCTTCTAATTCTAAGAGGCCGTTAGTATTTTCTTTCACTTTCAAGGTCTTTTCTCTGATTGAAATCTATCATTCATGACTTTTTATCTTGATATTTTATAAGTGTGTGACTGTGTCTTTTAAATCAAAATTGATAAATTGCATTATATATATATAGTTATATCTTAACAAAATAAAAGAGTGAGAAAATTTATTTAAATTTTATGAGGTTAAAATAGTCAATTTTCTATTAGAACAAAATAAGGTATTATTAAAATTACTTCCCCCCTCCTCTCCCATTAATCCAAACAGGAGATCATTAAAATCCCTCTCCTCCCTTCCCTTTTTCTCCCCTTTCCTTTGTAGCTATCCTCCCTTTTTCTCTCCTTCCCTTCTCTTGATTAAAATTCATCCCTTCCCATTCCTTCCATCAAGCCAAAGACAGCGTTAGACTTTCAGGCCACTTTAATTATTTACATAGAAATTCAAGTATGTAAGGCTGATAAATTTATTATACCAAAGTAAATTCCCCAAAAGGTTCCTATAAAATAGGATGGGAGTGGGGAGTGGTTGAAGAATTAAATATGGTGAATTATATGTTGGCAAAAAAAAAAGTAGTGATATAGGACCCAGACAAGCAAGTGAAAACCATTGATTATAGAAATATACAGAGCATAATGCCTATGTCTAAACACCAACTATCAGAGACCATCTAAACCTAGGTCTCGTTAATATTTCAATATTAATTTTATACAAATACATAACTACTATGAAAAACCTTTAACTTTTTTTTTTTCATTTGGAAAAAATATCACGACAAATTAAACGAGAAAATGATTAAAACGGGAAGATAGATAGTTACCAAACCAAAAAAAATTCTTGGAGAACGCTTACATTGAAATACCATAAATTGCAAAAACTGTTCTCAAATATAGAGGCAATCTATTCTTAATCCAGAAGCATGTAAGTAAAGCCATGCCCTACGGATCTGGCAAAAACGCAAGATATTTATATATTTTAAACTATTAAGTGTTTAGAAGACTTGAGTTGCCCCAGCTGAGACGTAAGAGCTATTATCGCCTTATCTGTCACAGATCTTTCTTCTTCATCTTTCCTCGCTGTATTACTATTGGTATATTCAGTGTAGCAGCATCAAGATGAATATGAAGTTCTGTTATAACCAACAAGAGAGACAGTGAAAATATGAAAAAGGGAAAAAAGAGCAAATCAATCTCATGCACACACAGTTTTAATTTCATCTTTATATACAGCAACAACCATTTCCATATGATCTGTTCCTCCCACAGTACGTTAGCATCCAAATACGCTTAATTATCTTGCTGCATTTCTTGAAAAGCCATATAAGAAAGGTCACTAAGATGTATCCAGCAACAAGTGCAAACAGTGCCTCCCAAATCCGATTCACTATGTTGAGCATTTTACCAGTTGAATCCCAGAGTTTGTCTGGGGTTATCATGAAGAAGGCACTAAAGTAGGCCTGTCCCAGTTGTGAGAGACTGATACACATCCCCATAGATAACATCCAAATCACAATCTTGTTCTTCAAAGGAAGTCCACTTATGAGCAGCAGGTTCACCCCCAGAGACGGAACCAAAGCTACCGTATTGTGAATTATGAAGTAGCGAAATTTATCTGAATCTCTAAAAGCAAGTACGGCTTTTCCAGGGGATGCATAGTCATCCTCCATTTTCAAGCAATCTAAGGGTGAAGAAGTAGTGTTGTTTGAATTAGATAAGCCTTGCTGAATGAAGCTGCCTGGAGGGCTGATGACAGATTGAAAGGTTATGGTTGATATGACAGTTGCCACCAGACTCAGATTCCCTCTCATCTTTTCTAACCATTCTCCATTATGCTTGAACCATTTTCCCATATGCTTCACCATCTTTCTCCAACACTTTTTCTTCCCAGGTTTCACTGCTTCATTAATAGCATCACTAGTTGGTGCTTGTGTAATTATATCTGTTTCTTTCTTGCAACTTTTGAGGCCATTGTTCATCAGTATGACTTGTATTTTAAGACTCTTCAAATCCTCTGGAACCCCCTCACCAATGTCACTACCTGTAAAACCCATCTTATTCTTCAAGATTGATGCTTCCCGTATTTTAGGAATTGACACCAGCTACCTTATAGTCTGGCAAATAAACAAGACGTGTGATGTTGCAAGAAACATATTGAAATAAAGATCACTCATAAAATAATCAGGAAATTTAGATAAGCTACACCGTTTTACAGCTACGGAAGGAAGGATTAAGGTCAGTGGAGAGGTGAACTTTGTTTGAGTTTGGTTCGATCCGAAAATCTAGTCAGCTGGTGGTGCAGAAGTAATTACATGACCAAAAAGAAGGGGGGGAAGGTAAAACTACCTCGACTTGCTTCAACATGATGGCCAGGTGTAGAACGGTGTTGTTGCCATCCCGTTCTCTCCAATTGAGCATCTCATCACAAATCTCAATGCTTGAATCCAACAAAGCTTTGAGGATCTCCAAGTGGTTATATGTGACGCATAAGTGCAAAACAGTTCTGCCGTTGTGAAGGATCTTCAAAGACTCTGGCTTTGCCCTGATGAACTCTGCCACAACCTCTAGTCTGCCTCTGATTACAGCTACGTGCAAGGGAATTCTACCTTCTTGATCAGGAACCAAGCAAGTCTGCTCATAAACCGCCAAAAGCTCCTTCACAATGTGGATGTGGCCTTCTGCAGAAGCTATGTGGAGGGCCGTGCTTCGGAAGGAGTCTAACTCAAGGGCAAGTTTAGGCTTGTGCGCAAGAAGGACTCTTGTGAATTCAAGATAGCCAAGTGAGGCCGATATGTGCAAAGGTGTGTCAATGAAAGTAGTTCTGGAGTTGATTACGTGAAGAACCAGAGGGTGTTGCCGGATCAGTGGCCTCAAAGTTGAAACACACCCGCTGTGCGGTGCTTCATAAAGAACTCTGATCATTTTCTCTTCTTCATGATGATTAGAATTCTCCATTTCCTTGAGCGACTTCAAAGTCGGAGCACACCCTTTGTACGATGCTTCATACATGACTCTGATCGTTTTCTCTTCTCTTACTGGTGATGAGAATTCTCCATCTCCATGAGCTCTGTTTCATGGGAAATGTTCATCACTTCTAATTTGATTTTGCATACGCTTTATATTTTTTTTGGACTGATATATACTTTATATTATACTACCTCCGGTCCTAAATATAAGAGTTAGTTAACTAATCTAAGGAGGTTAAAGAAATAAGTTAAGTTAGTTATTTGTAATAAATAATGTTGTCTTCCTTAAAATATCCCTACTAATCAAGTGTATTGGCTAGAACTACTATTATTAGAAGGACTACCTTGAGAAAAAATGCATAAATATGAGAGACAAAATGGATTGGGGTCTTATATTTAAAACCAAAATAAAAGTCAAATAAGGTTTTATATTAAAAAGAGAAGGTAATATATATTACTATCTCATGTCCTAAATAAATAAAAGAGTTAGGCGATGTTTTAAATGTTGTGTATAATCATCTGTCATTTTCATATTATGCACCAGTGGGTTATGAATTAGACAGCCATGTTACATTTTTGTCCTCCAATCTATTATTGCAATCTCCATGAAATTAATCAATCCTTAAAACGTTGCCCGTGTTTCTCATAAGAGAGTAAAAAATCTTCTCAAGCTTTAGTAATAGAAATTTTGGTATTAATTACTATACTGATACTAATGATTGATTCATTTTCAAAATATAATTAAATATGGATCATAAATAAAATTATCCTGTTTTTCAATTTATATAATAACTAGTATGCTGATCTTCTCAAAATTGATCTTTTTTAAAAAAAAATTGAGACTTTCGTTTTTTTGTGCCCAAAGTGTGAAATCTGCTTGGTAAGAGAAACGGAGAAAAGGCCGTGGAAGCCAAAGCATCCAAAGTATCCTGCAAATGCATAATCACAATACGAAAATCAACCATAATAGCGCAATCCACTTTCAACGCTGCTATACTGATAGTCAAAGGCCAGTGCTTGAATCATCAAGAACTCGTCAAATTTGTTTTATCACCATCTCTACATATGATATTATTTCATGTTTTTATCATAATAAAGTCTATTTTCCACCTTTCCTAACATAAGATCCTTGATCTAAAACATTTCTTTAAAATATTTTTTGCTTTAATTTGACAATCCCAACAAATTAAACAGCACCCTATCTAACAGGACAAACTTATCTATTATAAGAGTTTAATCTTTTGATGCAGTAATAGAAGTATTAGTTCCTTTTATTAGCATTTCCCTCTCCCTATATATACTTTCAAGTTCAAAAATAAATTAAAAAAGTTATTATCAAGATGTTGATGAGAACATAAATACTTTCCAATAGTGATATAAAATTTCTTTACTTCATACTCATCCAAAGTATTAAATTTCTTAAATTCAAATAAAAAATATAAATAGTTTTCTATTCTGAAAATTCTCGAAATATGATCTTAAAAGAAAGAAAAAAATTAGAGTGATCTATCTGATATGCGTAAAAATATTCAATACGAAAAAAGTTAGTTAAATATGTAATAGCATCGCTTAAATGTGCACGGGACACTGGCATTGCTAGCATACACTACAAAGAGGCTCGTTGAGAGGCTTAAGGCAGGCGCCTCACAGGCCTATGCCCACACATCGACATGGCAATACGCTTAATAAACCTGATGAAGTACTTGACAAGCCAAATAAGAAAGGCCAATAGGATATATCCACCAGCCAGTGCAAACAGTGCCACCAAAATCCAACTCGCTCTCTCGAAAGTTTTATCAGTCGACCACTGGACTTCGTCTGAGGTTATCATGGAGAAGGCAGCAAAGTAGGCCTGCGCCAATGCGAAGAGAGTGATACACATCCCCATAGATAGCATCCACATCACCACCTTGTTCTTAAGAGGAAGTCCACTTATGAGCAACAGGATTACTCCCAGAGACGCAACGAAAGCTACCGTATTGGGGATTATGAAGAAGAGGAAGTCATTTCGAGGTCCAAAAGCAAGTACGGCTTGCCCAGGACTTCCATTCCCCGCCCCCGGGGAACTTGAGGGTGAAGCAGCTTTGTTTGAATTAGATATATCTTGTTGAATGAAGCCGCCTGGAGGGTTGATGACACATTGAAAGGTTATGGTTGAGATGACAGTCGCCACCAGACTCAGATTCCCTCTCATCTCTTCTATCCATTCTCTATTATGCTCAAACCAACTTCCAATGCACTTGATCATCTTTGTCCAACACTTCTTCACAGGTTTCACTGCTTCCTCAACAGCATCACTAGTTGTTGATGCTTGTGTAATTATACATGTTTCTGTCTTGTCACTTTGAAAGCCGTTGTTCATCAGTATGACTTGTATTTCAAGACTCCTCAAGTCCCGTGGAACCCCATCAACAATGTCACTGGCTGTAAAACCCATCTTATTCTTCAACGTTGATACCTCTTGTATTTTAGGAATTGACACCAGGTACCTTACAGTCTGACCACCAATAGAAAAGACAATATGTGTAATATTGTAAGCAACATATTATAATCCGGAAATTTAGATTTGTCAAGCATGGAGTTAATTTGATAATTTTGCCTATATATTAATTATATTGATCTTTGACGTTAAGTTTTATTCCTCAGCGGCAATTAATTTTCTTAACTCAATCCTTTCCTCGTTCGCTGATCTACTGCAATATTCCTATGTACTGATCTTAATTAAATGTTATCGCTAATTATATTAACTATGAATACATAGTTGGAGTTAAGGGGGTAAACTCGTAGATATATGTATCTGGTAGGGAGCGGGAAGTGATATTTTAAGCATCTCAAGTGATGTAAATTAAAATTTACTTTGTGTGTTTTTTTGGATCTGAAACACTAACCAGTCACATGATCATTAAAGAAAGCAAAAGTACCTCAACTTGCTTCAGCATGACGGCCAAGTGGAGAACGGTGTTGCCATCCAAATCCCTCCGATTCAATAGCTCAGCAGAAATCTCAAAACGCGAATCCACCAAAGCTTTGAGGATCTCCAAGTGGTTATACGTCACGCACAAGTGCAAAACAGTTTTGCCTTTCTGAAGGATCTTCAAAGACTCCGGCTTTGCCTCAATAAGCTCTGTCACCACTTCTAGTCTGCCTCTTATTACAGCTACGTGCAACGGAATTCTGCCTTCTTGATCAGGAACCAAGCAGGCCTGCTCGCCAGCTGCCAAAAGCTCCTTCACAATGTGGATGTGGCCTTCTGCCGAAGCTATGTGGAGGGCCGTGCTTCGGAACGAGTCTAACTCAAGGGAAAGTTTAGGCTTGTGCTCAAGAAGGACTCTTGTGAATTCAAGATGGCCAAGTGAGGCCGATATGTGCAAAGGTGTGTCAATGAAAGTAGTTCTGGAGTTGATTCTGTGAAGAACCAGAGGGTGTTGCTGGATCAGTGTCCTCAAAGTTGAAACACACCCATTGTGCGATGCTTCATAAAGAACTCTGATCATTTTCTCTTCTTCATGATGATGAGAATTCTCCATTTCCATGAGCCACTTCAAAGTCGGAGCCCACCCTTTTTACGATGCTTCATACATGGCTCTGATCATTTTCTCTTCCCTTAGTGGTGATGAGAATTCTCCATCTCCATGAGCTCTGTTTCTTGGGACAAATGGATGGCGCATTTCCACGATAGATTCGGAATTTTCATCACTTACAATTTGATTTTTTTTGTCATAACTTATAATTTGATTTTGTATATGCTTTATATTATACTACTTCTAGTATTAAATATAAAAATTAGTTGACTAATTTGATGAGATTAAAGAAATAAATTAAATTAGTTATTTGTAATAAATAATGATATCTTTCCTAAAATATCCCTACTAATCAAGACTAGAACTACTATTATTAGAAGAATTACTTTGAGAAAAAATATATAAGTATAAGAGACAAAGTGGATTTAGATCTTATATTTAGAACCAAAATAAAAGTCAAATAAAGTTTTATATTAAGGATTAGAAGTACTATATATTACTATCTCATGTCTTAAATATAAAAGCTTGACGACATTTTAAATGTTGTGTATAATCATTTGTCATTTTCATATTATGCACCAGTGGGCTATGAATTGGACAGCCATGTTACATTTTTGTCCTCCAATCTATTATTACAGTCTCCACCGCATGAAATTAATGAACTCTTAAAACGTTGCCCGTGTTTCTCATAAGAGAGTAGAAAATCTTCTCAAGCTTTAGTAATAGAAATTTTGGTATTAATTACTATGCTAATACTAATGATTGATTCATTTTTAAAATATAATTAAATATGGATCATAAATAAATTATCATGATTTTGAATTTATATAATAACTAGTATGCTCATCTTCTCAAAATCTATCATTTTTTTAAAAAAAAAAATGGAGACTTTTGTCGCCCAAAATGTGAAATCTATTTAGTAAAAGAACCGGAGAGAAGGCCATAGAAGCCAAAGCATCCAAAATATCCTGCAAATGCATAATCACAATACGAAAAGCAACCATAATAGTGCCATCCACTTTCAAAAGTTCTACACGAATAGCCAAAGGCCAGTGCTTGAATCATCAAGACCTCATCAAATTTGTTTTATGACCACTCTACATATGATATTATTTCATGTTTTTATCATAATAAAGTCTATTTTCCACCATTCCTAACATAAGATCCTTGATCTAAAACATTTCTTTAAAATATATTTTGCTTTAATTTGACAATCCCAACAAATTAAACAACATCCTATCTAACAGGACAAACTTATCCATTATGAGAGTTTAATATTTTGATGTATTAATTTCCTTTATCAGCATTTCCCTCTCTCTATATATACTTTCAATTGCAAAAATAAATAAAAACATTATTATCAAGATGTTGATGAGAACATAAATTCTTTCCAATAGTAATATAAAATTTCTTTACTTCATACTCATCCAAAGTATTAAATTTCTTAAATTCAAATAAAAAAATATAAATAGCTTTTCTATTCTAAAAAATCTTCATATATGATCTTGAAAGAAAATTTTTTTTTGATCTGTCTGATATGCATGAAAATATTCAATACGAAAAAAGTTAGTTACATGACACATGTGATAGCATCGCTCGTATTTGCACTGAGACAGCGGCATTGCCAGCATACACTACAAAGAGGCTGGTTGAGAGGCCCAAGGCAGGCGCCTCACATGCCTATGCACATGGATCGCCATGGCAATGCGCTTAATAAACTTGAAGAAGTACTTGACAAGCCAAATAAGAAAGGCCAATAGGATATATCCACCAACCAGTGCAAACAGTGCCATCCAAGTCCAATCCACTACGTTGAGCATTTTATCAGTTGAATTCCAGAGTTCCTCTGAGGTTATCATGAGGAAGGCAATAAAGTAGGCCCGCACCAATGCTGAGAGTGTGATACACATTCCCATAGACAGCATCCACATCACAACCTTGTTCTTAAGAGGAAGGCCACTTATGAGCAACAGGGTTACTCCCAGAGACGCAACGAAAGCTACTGTACTGTGAATTATGAAGTAGCGAAAGCTAGCTGGATCTGCAGAAGCAAGTACGGCTTCCCCAGGACATGCATAATCATCCTTCATCTCCAAGCAATCGAAGGGTGAAGTGGTGTTGTTTGGATTAGATATATTTTGTTGAATGAAGCCGCCTGGAGGGTTGATGACAGATTGAAAGGTCATGGTTGAGATGACAATTGCCGCCAGACTCAGATTCCCTCTCATATCTTCTAACCATTCTCCATTATGCTCAAACCAACTTTCTATATGCTTGGTCATCTTTCTCCAACACTTCTTCTTCCCAGGTTTCACTGCTTCCTCAACAGCATCACCAGTTGTTGATGCTTGTGTAATTATATCTGTTTCTGTCTTGTCACTTTTAAAGCCATTGTTCATCAGTATGACTTGTATTTCAAGACTCCTCATGTCCTTTGGAACCCCGGCAACAATGTCACTGGCTGTAAAACCCATCTTATTCCTCAACGTTGATGCCTCTTGTATTTTAGGAATTGACACCAGGTACCTTACAGTCTGACCACCAATATACAAGACAATATGTTTAATATTGCAAGAAACATATTATAATCCGGAAATTTAGATCTGTTAAGCATGGAGTTAATTTCATAATGTTGCCAAAATATTAATTATATTGATCTTTGGCCTTAATTTTTATTCCTCAGCGGCAATTAATTTTCTTAACCCAATCCTTCCCTCGTTCACTGATCTATTGCAGTATCCCTATGTACTGATCTTAATTAAATGTTATGGCCAATTATATTAACTACGGATACATAGTTGGAGTTAAGGGGGTAAACTCGTAGATGTATGCATTTGGTAGGGAGCAGGAAGTGATATTTTAAGCATCTCAAGTGATGTAAATTAAAATTTACTTAGTGTGTTTTGTTGGATCTGAAACACTAACTAGTCACATGATCACTAAAGAAAGCCAAAATACCTCAACTTGCTTCAACATGATGGCCAAGTGGAGAACGGTGTTGCCATCCAAGTCCCTCCAATTAAGCATCTCATCACAAATTTCAAAGCTTGAATCCACCAAAGCTTTGAGGATCCCCAAGTGGTTATATGTCACGCACAACGGCACAAGTACAAAACAGTTCTGCCTTTGTGAAGGATCTTCAAAGACTCTGGCTTTGCCCTGATAAGCTCTGCCACAACCTCTAACCTGCCTCTTATTATAGCTACGTGCAATGGAATTCTACCTTCTTGATCAGACACCAAGCAAGCCTGCTCGTAAGCTGCCAAAAGCTCCTTCACAATGTGGATGTGGCCTTCTGCAGAAGCTATGTGGAGGGCCGTGCTTCGGAAGGAGTCTAACTCAAGGGCCAGTTTAGGCTTGTGAGCAAGAAGGGCTCTTGTGAATTCAAGATGGCCAAGTGAGGCTGATATGTGCAAAGGTGTGTCAATGAAAGTAGTTCTGGGGTTGATTCTGTGAAGAACCAGAGGGTGTTGCTGGATCAGTGTCCTCAAAGTTGAAACACACCCGTTATGGGATGCTTCACAAAGAACTCTGATCATTTTCTCTTCTTCATGGTGATGAGAATTCTCCATTTCCATGAGCTCTGTTTCTCGTGCCAATTGATGGCGCATTTGCTTCCTAACTACACACCATGTCATTAAGAAGTCATGAGATGTCACTGTGTTAAAAGAAACACAAAACCCGAATGAAGAGTGGCCGACGACTGTTTCAATCAAATCATGAGACAATGCCCAAGACAACGTATAAAGTTTGGCTATGGGGACAGATGCTCTAGAAATGTCTGGTTATTATAACTTTATATCTTGAGACTACGTATTTTGAAGAGATCCCTGATTGCATTAGAGCTCTGTGGACTCATCATGCTTGGGATATTACTTGCATGAGAAGGTAAAAATGTTAGAGCGAGCCGCCTCATTGTTCACGGCAAATTACGTTCAACATGTCAAAGGATCGTATAGGCTTCATTTGCCAGGATATATGAGATAGATTGGGTTGGAACTTGACTGTAAAGTCTAAATGAATGCGCTTCAAAGGGCCAGGGACTAGCAAGCCACCGTACTTCCTATGTCATTTTCAGATTAAAGAAGCCTATTTTTTCCCCTGCCGAGACAAATCCTTTGGAAAAGAAGGATAAAGAAGTATATCTTACTTTAACAAAAGTGTAAAGGATGCCACAAGCAATATCATGCAGTGCAAAGGAGCTTTCGACGCGGACATAACGTCTGGTGTTGGATTGAACGGAGGAGGATCAAGATCTACTTAACTGAAGAAAATTGATTGGATTCAAATACTTGACCAATTATGACCGAAACTCTTTGATTAAGCCGCGAATTGACTCCATTTTAGACAGGATGTGATTAATATAGCAGATGCAAAGAGAATAGATTTCATATGTACGTACAATAATTATCTTATATTAGCTCCGGTCAGAGCTAATTAACTAATTTGAGTAAATTAAGAATATAAGTTAAGTTATTTATTTGTAATAAATAGATGTTATCTTTTTTAAAATTTCTTTACTAATCAAGTGTATTGGCTAGAACTATTATCATTAGAAGGATTATTTTGAAGAAAAAACGTATAAATAGAAGAGATAAAGTAGATCAAGATTTTACATTTAGAATCAAAATAAAAGTCAAATAAGATTTTATACTAAGAACCAGAGGTGGTATTACATAAACACATAAGTTGAGAATTTTATTTTGATCTAAGATGACGCAACAACCATTTCATATCCGTTCCTCCGACACATTGGCATGCAACATGCTTAATAGTGTTGATGCAATTCTTGAGCACTTCAAGTGGAATCCCAAAGTTTTTTTAGGGCTTACAATGTGGAAGGCCCTATAGTAGGGTCGAGCCGATGCTGTGATCTTAGATTAAAGCAACAAACTTTCTACACTTATTTATCCGGATGATTAAGAATGCCTCAAGAATGATGAAAAAATTTTCCCAATGGAATTCGTTCTTTCTGACATTTTTGTTGGGTGAAAAAATACGTCGAAGAGATGTTTTCCCCGGATTTTCGAGTTTTCTTATTAATGTTTATCCATGTTAAGCTTGCAGTTTCGGTGTTGGTCACAGCATTCCGGAACTAAAAGGATGGAAAGATCATGATTGGGAAATCGAGGAAAAGGAGAAAGAGGAGAGCTAAGAAACAGTTGAAAAGGTCGTTACATGGGGCATTATCAGTTGGTAAAACCACACTGGTTTAAGGATACCAGGATAGCATGTACTGTGCCAATTTTAAAAATTACGTGACGGTCTTTATATTTACGGAGCATGACGGTGTTTTCCTTTCTTTTCATCCTTTAAATCATCTTCTTTCCCTTTTTTCATTCAGGTTGTAATACAATTAAGAATTAAGCTGTCGCTAAGAAGACACAATCCTATATGCTATATGGTATACACCTTTGGCATGTGTTTGGTTACAGGAAGAAGCGGTTCAATGAAATCATGGCTTCATTACTATCATTATATCATTTGAAGGAAATATGAGGTGCTGATCTGACAAAAACTAACCTAAACTTCACGGGGGATAAATCTGTATAAGCAGCATGCAAATTTACAGAAGAAAGGAGAATTTATGAGTATAAACAACAATCAGCGGTTTTGAAGCCAATCGTGGATTGCAGAGCGAAGGGCAAGGTTAGGGACAAGATTGCAGTGTGCAAGTTTATCATTTGTCATTGGAGAGGCCTCATGACCACTGTCCAGCCATCCTCGTATTGCCTCTGCTTCGTAAGTAAATCCATCCGCAGCAACATGCGGATCTTGCATGACTTCCTGCCACGTTGCAATACAGATAGCACAATGCTTATTACAAACTGAGACATAGTAACTTAGCTATAGGACTAAAATTGGATGCTGGATTTTTCACAGATGACTGATTTCCTATCGAAGCTGTATTTTTCATACATCCGTGGACTGGATATCATACTGCGTGCAGAGATAAGATAGCTGGAGAGTGTATTGATGAAAAATGAAGGGCAAAAAGGGCCAAAAAACAGTCAGGCCGAATGCACAAAGTATACCAATTAATGTAGGGTAACCATTATGACTCACCCAGCAGCGTTTTGACCTACTCTGCTATTAAAAATAAGAATTCAGATGCATTTAATTTGCCAAAAGATGCGTCTATTGGTTATGAGATCCGTAACGATAAGGGGAAATGAATGGCTAGTTAATAGTTTCCCTTCATCTTGTTTTGATATCCCCTCTCTAAATCTACCAAATTGAAAATCCTTTATTATCCCTCCCTTCAATTGACTCCAGAAACGAGGAAAGGTTTCAATGGGACCTTCCTCCTTCTTGTTTTTTATGGTATGAACCTCCTCCGCTTTTTTTCACTTCTCCATTATCTCAGATACAATTAAAGAGAAATGGAATCTAATGGAATCTATTTTTTTGAAATTCCTTGATTTCAATCTAAATATATACATGTTATACTCTAAGCTATGTTGTTTAGATTGAGGAGCATGTTGCGACGAGAAGAAAAACGTTCAGTGAAAACCATTAGCTAAATCAAATGTCTAAATTATAATTTCACTTCTCTTCTCCTTTTTCCCTAATTGAGACATACCAAGATCTGAGTGACAGAAAAATGAAGATGGATGAAAGAGAGTATACCTGGAAGATTGGACAAATGAAATACGAAGGGGTTTGGTAAAGCCCTCCAGAACCAACTCTGAAGACATTTGTGCCTCCAGAAGAAGCGCTCATTGGTTCCAGAATCCTCCAGACATCTGAATAGAGGTCTGGCCGGCTCTTTCGGTTCATCTCACAGCATCTCAATGCCAAGTGACACAACTGTTCAGCCTGCACAAATGGCCAGTCGCCAGCCAAAGGATCCAAGAGGGATTTCAACTTTCCAGCATCCAATGCACTTTTCACTTCCTGCCTTATTCCCAAGGCTGGTCTCCCGGTCAACAATCTTAATAATATGATTCCAAGTGAATATATATCTGACTTTGGAGTAAGTTCCCCTGAAGCAAGGAATTCAGGATCCATGTAGACAAAAGTGCCCTTTGGGTCAGTTCTCCAGCACTCTGTAGTATTGTTACTTGAACTCCCGTGACGAGATAATAGACGACTGATTCCAAAGTCACTAAGCTTGCTAACAAGGTTTGCATCAAGGAGAATATTGGAGGGTTTTAAGTCACCATGCACAATGCTGTGAGGTTTACTAGAATGAAGAAAGATGAGAGCAGAGCACTGCTCTGCAGCAATGTGAATTCGAGTTTGCCATGATAATGGGGGTGTGTTATCCTTGCAGCTGAGCCTATCCTCCAGGCTTCCATTGGGTAAATACTCATAGACAAGAGCCCAGGACTCCGGACAGGCTCCAATGAATGTAATAACATTGGGATGCCTTAACTTACTCAGTATGTCAACCTGATACAAACCAAGAGAGGTCAGACAGCTCTATTTCATTACATCTCGGGATAGTCTTTGCCTAAGTTCATGGAGTTTAAGAAATGGGGCCAATTATAAATTACGACAAGACACAATATAACGACAACAACAATAACAAACTTTGTCCCACTAGGTGGGATCAGTTACATGGATTGCACGTTATTGTGCAATAAATGAGAAATTAAAAAAGCAGGTGAGAAATGAAAACTTGTCTCTAAGAAGAAATTGACATCAAATAATGTACTGCCCATTCTTGTCACAGTTTTATTCATATTTTTATCATCTACATCGTCAAATCTTCATACCATTTTATTCCTCAATTTCACACTAGAAAAGTCAAGGACAGTTCACTTCGCCATTGCATCTACATCAACTCGCAAATTGCAATCAGTTCAATGGTATTTTAGATTGTTAATGAAACAGGCCAAATTATCAAAGGAAAAAAAATGATGACATGCTCAAGAGGCCTGGGGTCAACTAACGCCACCCCTAGATTTGAGTGCACAGTTCCCTCTCCAACTCCCCTTTCTTTCCCCACCCCTTATGCCTCCTTTATAACCAAAAAAAAAAAACAAAGGGAAAGAGAAACAGTGGTCTTGAAAATGCAACACACAAATTAAACCATTGTACCTCCTTTTGAAACTCTGAAGGCCCTTGCAAACTGTTAAGGTTCAACATTTTGATAGCCACCTCAGTGTGACGCAGCACACCTTTATATATACTGCCATATCCACCTTCTCCAATCCTTCGGGATGGATTAAAATTATTCGTTGCTTCTTCAATCTCTGGAAAAGAGAATTCTAAGAAAAACTGAGGCACATGTATACCAGGGGCCTCAGCTGGTTTTTCCCTCAATTCTTCAGCCTCCCTCAATGCATTATCACGCTGCATCTCCAATTCATCACGTTCTTTCTTGTAACTTTGCAGCAGACCCACAGCAGAGATAATCTTCTGCTCCAACTCCTTTGCCATTAGTTCTGAAGATGAAATTTGACTCTCTAGTGATGATTTCTGATCTAAGGCAAGCCGAAGTTCTTCATGTACTTTATCTCTTTGGATCTTCATCGGTCCAAGTTCTTCCCTTGTTTTTGCCAGTGCTTCCTCTACCTCTTTCCTCAGTTTCAACTCCTCTTTATATGAGATTTCAGAGGCTTTGGCCTGTTAAACGGGGCCATTTAGGAGATTAGAGGGTTTAGAAAGTTTCAATAACGTAAAACAAATAAAACTCAAAAAATGATGACCGAATGTTCAAATCATCTTTAGCATAAATTAGGTTGGATCACATATTTCCCACCTTTATTTTCAGGGAAAAATATATAAACTAAAGCATGGGGTACAAAGAATGCACAGTTAATTATTCTCAAGATCATTTGCACATTTCAGAAGTAATAAGCAGCACCCAACAATAGAAAATTACCCTGCGTATAGCATCAAGGGCATCTTTTTCAGCTTTCCCACGTCTAATAGTTTCTTGGCATGCATCCTGCCTAGCATCATCAGCCTCACCCGTGGCCTGTTCAAGTTTATCATACAGAGTATAGTCCATTCCTCCATCCTACAATTGTTCAGTAGATCAGTAAAACAAGGCATAAGTATGCAGACTCTATCAACGCAAAGAAAAAAAAATTCGACATTAATTACAAAAAATCGACTCACAATAGCATCCACATGCTCCATAGTAGACACAAAAGTTATATAAAAGATTTAAAAAATAATCATAATTATGAGTACCAGCACACTAGGAGGAGATGAATGAGAAAGATCCCCCTTAACTGAAGAATGTCCATTCAAGTTTAATACATTCTCAAACCGTGCAGTGATCAAATCTGAGGTTGACCCTGCTTCAACTGCACCACTATCAGAGAATGTTGAGAAAACTGAAGAACTTCTTCCAAACAGTCCTTCCGACTCATCAGAACTCACTTCTGTACCCAGCCTGATATGTGGAGTTGACAATCCTTCAGTGTCATCTGGAGAAGAAACAGTTGCCATGCTCCCTTCATCTCTAGCATTGCCAGACCTCACTCTTCGGAATAGATCTTGAGCTGGATTTGTGAGTCTTGCCCATTGATTCCGCCCAAGTTCAATAGATTGAGATCTCAAGAAGTGTACCCGTCCAGCATTAGGTTGTGACTTTCGCAGACAGACAGGAGATGCAGCCTCTCCTTTACTTTTGTCCAAACTACTGTACCTACATAAATATGGCAATTTATATAGGTGCTCAAATTAATAAAAACATTTTGGGCTGCTTTTTGCCCCTCGATTCACCAAAAATGGTTAACAATTAAATTTAAGTGCGATAAAATATCTATTCACAGAGAGGGAGATTATACAAAAAACTTAAGTAGATCACCAGGAAGCAAGCTTTTTAGTAATTACAATTGAGCTTTGTCATTATTGGCAACTAAAGCTTCCTTTTTCACTTCATATAAATCTTTATGTGATGCTATACACCACGTATATCAGACGGCATCAGTATTTAGAATGCAACAGACCTTGTGTATATATGATGCCCTTTGCAGATAAATTGTATATGACAAGAAGCTGAAGCTTGTTCTCGTACATAGATGGCTTTCTTAGATCCCAAGTCCATCATTTTCCTGCAAATCCAGGTAATTGCAGAAAAGTTCACTGAAATGATGCAACCAAGAAGATAAAGCAGAGCAACTTGCATGGTGCATAGTGTGCATTCTCAGATTAGCGATCTATTCTACTGTTGCATTTGAAATACTATCATCTCATCTTCAACACTTGTGTTTTTGTCATTGAATTTTCTAGCAAAAATTAAGAATATATTTCTACCTAAAATAGGACTTATCAGATGCTGCTCCCATAACAAGCTTCCGAATGTCATACTCCGACACAAGTTCCACGATTCCTTTCTCAATGCAATCCCGTTCAATATGCAGTTTCTCTGCTCGCACCTACATCAAAAGTTATTTGTCTTAAATAACTTCAAGATAAACCCTGCCTCTACTTGGACGTATGATTGATGGTCATTACCCCCATCCGCTGACAAATTAGAAGATACTCATTCAGAATTTTATGCATGTTTTGCCTCTCTGTTTCCCTATATGCTTCAACTTCCTGGTCTTTCAGTGCACTTGCTGGAAACTTTGTACCCACTAAAGCATTAAAAGGAAAAAATCAACAAATAAATAGTGAAGAACAACATACATAGTGTGATTGTATAAATGAGAATGATAACACAACAAAATAAGCAATCTCAAGAGTTACTATATTTTACAGCAAAAGCTGGTGATTGAAAATAATTGTTCAACTGATAACCTAAATCCCATAGTATCAAATTAACATAAGCAGCCAAACAAAGTTCATTAAGCAGTCCAGTAAATCCTTAAGTACAGAACTTAAATGTAACCAAAAAAGAAATGGAATTGTTCTTCTAGGTAGTCTGAAATTGGACTAGTTGGGGTTTATGCATTTCAAATTCAAATAACCAAAAGCACATGGAAGTTTCAATAACAGTGGCGATCAAAGAAGCTTATTCCAAGCATTGACTTTGAAGCTATAATGATTTAGCTATTGCAATTACGTCGCAAACTTACTCAGGGGGATCATTGTTGCAGGCTCATGGACGTGGAGGATGCAAATCTTCTTTCCCCCGGAATTTTGTATCGCCCATATCAGATTTAATTTGCACCCTTTTACATCTTTAGACACAGCAACATAGATTTTCTCTTCAACCGCCTCTGGGTTAGGCTCCCCTACAAATTCCCCCATTCCACCACAGCGATTCTAAGATATCAAGGATTATCCAATCACTAAAAACCCGATACTCTTCCCGAAAGATACGTAACCTTGAAGCAATATTCCACTCAAATCAGGAGCCACTACAATCGGAAACTCACACTACCCACATCAACTTTTTCTCGGCCTACATTTAATATAAAATTGATAATTCTCTCTATAAACGAAATCATCAAAACAGCTCAAACACAACAAAGAATTTAAAAGTCTCTCGCTGCAAAAACCAAAATTTTCCTCTCAAAGGCACAGCAAGAAAACGAAATAAGAAATCCAGCTTTCTCTATGCACCATTAACAAATATCTTCTTAGAAAGAGGGGGATTCGCCAGGACGATGAGCCGGAGAGTAGTAGTGCAAGCGGCGTGACAGGGCGTTTCCGACGAGCGTCTCCTATGCAGGTATGAGTGTACGACTAGAGAACAAGAGTGTCTTTGGGCTCTGAGCTCCAATCGTCAGAACGAAGGATCAAAAAAGGCTCGTAACTATTAATAGATTATTTGACAAGACAAAAACATATATCAGAACTCGCACTAACAGTCCTATGGTGGGGTCTCCATTTGCTCTATTTTCGCTACATCCACATTCTCTCCACCCTGTCTCAGTCCGAGAGGCTAAGCCTGCTTCAAGGGGAAGCATGTGGGAAACTTGCGTGGGACCCACTGGTTTATTAGTTGCAGAAATGACAGGAAACGCAGGTGGGTAGGACTTCCATCTCGATGGTCAATGATCAGCGTATTGTTTAAATTTAATTTAGATTATATACTGTTCTTGATCATTAATTATTTGGTCTGAGAAATGATCCCCCAAAAAATTAATGTGGTGAAATAATATTAAGAAATTCTGCATTGTATGAATCATTACCAATCTATTTACCGGTCTACTGCCGCGCCACCAAACAAGCGCAAATCTCACCGGCAGCAACAACCGCCACCGCCATTAATATAACAAATACTCCTATATAATTTGACTGAACAATTGTACAATTATATTTTAATTAAGAAAATTAGTAATAATATAAATATTAAAAAGGATAAGATATAAATAACTGCCCCTTAACTTTGAGCTAATTGCATCAAACTTCATGATATTTCAAAGTTGATTAACTCTCTTAAAATTGTTTTACTAAAATCACCCTGTTGTTATCCTTACCGTTATCTCTCCAATAAAATTGCCGCATCATATTAATAAACAACACGTGGCATCTTCGGAATTAAGAAAAGGACAAAAATGTAATTCTGTCACCGGTCTTAACGCAACTTTGTACGCGATTATATGATGATTCGGCAAGCGGCCCGAGAATTGTCGTTGACCCCATTCTCTTTGCATCCTACTGAAGCTGAAGCACAGCATAAAATAGAAGATTTATTTTATTTTATTTATCGGTTTTCATGGTCTTCTAGAACGTGAAAGATCCAAATAAACCCTTAATAGTCAATTCTGCTTATGCTGGTCTCTGATTGCCTTGGGACGAGGGTAGGAAAGCGAGATGAAGACTAATGCGCATTCATGTTAGCTATTTTAAATAAAAATTTTACATGCTTATATGAGACAAATTTTATCTCATCAGATGTAAAAGAGTTTTTTTAAAAATAACTATTATGGTTTGCCAAATAAGCAAAATTTATACACAGAAAACTATATGATTATATGAATGTCAGATATTCCATATATAAGATGCCATGTGGTCTTAATTAATCTATCATGGCCTTTTTCACCGGTGAGATAACTTCATAACAGAGATATTAACAGCACCATAATTTTGGTCAAAGAATTAAAAAATTAAGGGAGTTGATGATCGTCTTTGAAATGTTGGGGGGTAATTAATATGCAATTAGTTTAAAGTTAAAGAGAGTTGTGCATATTTTCATTATATTAAAAATTAAAAATCATCTGTCATCAATATAGCAAATAAAAAGAGAAAATTAGTAAAAAAAAATTTTGTTTGAAAATTTAATTTGCTGAAAAGACTTGAATTTAAGCGAATGTAACTATAATCTGTGCATGCAACATATCATTAATGATATGCGACAATCATCAATACGGAAGTCATTTGTACATAACAGAAAATATGTTACATACAGTGGAAAATATGTTGCACTCATATATTATATTTGTACACGTTCAAATTCATATTCTTTTAACTAATTAAATTTTCAAACAGAAATTTTTTTATCAATTTTCTTAAATAAAAATGTGGGGATCAACGGGATGTAATATATATTTTTCACTTTGACCTTCTCTCTCCTTACAACTTTCAAATATCCATTTTTTTATAATTATAGTAAGATGATGTTTTTAATTTTAAATAATTCATTTTGAGGTCTGAACTGAACCAAACGACCACATATGTAAACTTTAACGTGACAAAACTAACATTGCATTGTTAATTCATTACAATTCATGAGGTTCAATTCTATCATTGTGAGAGAATTTATAATGCCTTTATTACGCATCGAAAAGAAAATCCGTTTGATGTGCCAATATTATCATGTAAATTTCAGATATTTTCGTGTTATTATGATTAGCAGAAATGAATTCATGCCTTTCTATATTGATCTATAAATACAATAGTCGCAGCCCATCCTATAGCCAGTCATTAATTAAATTAAAAGAATGATATGTATATAAAGAAATTTTGACAGCCATAAAGCTCTTCAAAAGTCGAATGTCAAAGTATATTATGAAACAGAAACCCCCGCACACACGCATATTTATGTTGCCCATAAAGCAGTGACTAAAGACAAATGTATATGTGTTTTAAAAAGCATTGTATTGATTGATGTCTATTATAATGTTTTACACTGTTATTTTTGGTCTTAAATATAAAAACTAGTTGAAGGTATTAAATATAAGACTTAAATCTATTTTGTCTTTCATATTCATAACATGTTCTTAAAAATATCCCATTGATTGTAAAATATTTCTATTTAAGTGTAATTCTAATGTACATAATGAATAAGAATAATTTAAAAAATCAATGCATATTTGTTACAAATAACTAATTTAACTATTTTTTTAATTTTTTCAAATTAGTTATCTAGTTCTTATATTAAGGATTGGAGGTAATACTATTTCTTAATGGAAGAATTTGATCTTAATTATATTAATCCAAAGAAATTTTCATGCAACTATTATTTATTCTTTTATGTAATTATCTAAGTAGATGGTAATATCAAATCATCATTATCAAACATAATAGAGTGACCCTCTAAGAAAACTTTCATTTTTCTCATACACATAATTTTAAACCTCAACCCCACATGAATGGAATTGAGTTCATTTTATTCCATCTAATTGCTACTGAACAAGCAACTACCGTTTGCTTTTTCCATGAAGTGAAAATGACAGAAAAATCAATGCACAAATACCGTTTTTGGTGACAATTACATAATAACTAGTCTACAAAAATTAATAAATTTAGGTAAAGTTAGGTTTTCTAATATCAAAATTATATGCTTAATAAAAATTATTAGTTAGAAGAATTTACCCAATTAATTATGAAGTTTTATGATTAACAAGGAATATTATGTAGAAATAATTAATGTTTTAAATAAAAGATGTTATATTATAAAATATACTGGAGGTCTTTATAATAAAGACCAGATAGAGTAATAATTTAGCACATAGACCAATAGATGTGGGAAATATTTTCACTTCGACACATTCTAATTAAATAGGCATGTTATATATAAGAACATCATAAATCAAATATATAAATTAAAACGTTAAAATATATTTATAATTATTTCATTTATAGATTTGTTCCAGAATAATACTACGGTGCTCCCATGCCGCATACTATATATATCATGTGCTTAAACTTGAAAGTCATTAGTCAACCATGAGTCGGTGTCGGGCAAGCTGTTGGGTTGGGACTTGCCGACTTGGGGGCTGGGAGTGGGACTTTGCAGTTTGGACTTCCCGGACAGATGAGGCGTTCATTTTGACGCCACGTGGATTCAGCCAGGGCAGATACCAATGACGTGGCCACATCTGACTCGCTGTCCCTACGGTTACACCTACCGATCATGTATGGCTGAATGATTGCATATAAATATTTACTATTATAACTATTATCTACCAGAATAAATGTGAGTCATTTAGCGTCCAGCTATACTCTTGCATTATTCTCTTTAATATCTACTACTACTAAACAACCGTCTTATAACATATTTAAATGACATCATTTTCAAGGTTTTTTTTTATGCTACATATAATATTATTTCCGGTCTTAATATAAGAGATAATGATTAGTTTGATAGATTAAAAAATTTGTTAAGTTAGTTATTTGTAATAATTAGGTATTGTCTTTTATAAAATACCCTTACTGGTTTTGTATATTAGCTATAACTGTCACTTGATGGAATCTTTAATATATGCACCTATTACAAGGACTACCTTAAAAAAATAAATAAATATGAGAAATAAAATAAACTGAAATCTTATATTTATATGACTAAATTAAAAATTAAACCAACTGTTATGTTAAGGATTGGAGGTAGTATCAATGAATGAGGTGTTTAATTTTGCTGGGCAAAGAGGCAACAAAAAATATCAACTGCATCCAAATAATTTAAGCTATTTTTTATTTGCTGGAAATGTGATGATTCTCTATGCTCCGTCCCTAATCCCTTGAAAGTTGAAATAAAACATGGTTTTTCCTTTTCATGTTTCCAACCGCGTTAGGAGTAATGCTTCAATGAAATCACTTTCATATTTCCAACACGCCATCTAATACTAGTAGGCATTTTAATGTCTAATGATGTGGCTTCTATTTATTATTAATTCATATTTGTAAGATCCAAAACATCCTTTTCTGTTGTGAAAGATAACGAAGTCCTTTGGTTTTTACCAAAGCAACAATATATATGTCTGAATTTGTCACCCATTCTAAGCATGACTCGCTATCATAATTCAATTAATTAATGACGTGGCTTTATTTTTATTTATAGAAATTATATCTAACAAAATTATCAACAAAAGATATTTTTATAACCTTAAGACTGAAAATTATTTCTTGGATGAAAAATAACGTTACTTTGACAGGGACTTAAGGATTAGAACAGTACATTTCCTACTACCCCCGGTTTTATTTATAAAATTTCATTGACAGACTATAAACGAGATCTTATAATTAAAACAAAAAGTAGTATCTCTTATTATGACAAACAATGCAGGAGAATGTTGTGGGGTCATGCATTATGTTAATTATTATCAATGGCCTAAACCATCAAGCTAGCAAACTAGTAACCGATCGCAACTTCTCGTAGCATTATTTGTTCTCATTTCATTAGGGATTTTTGAGAGACGAGTGGGAACTGGGCATGCTAGTGGGAGGAAGTGTGATCGCTACTCGCTGGTGTTACTGAGAATAAAATTACTAATTGTGTGGTTTCTTTTTGTTTTGGGCTTCCGCCCCATTGCGTACCACAAAATAAAAACATTGTCTGAACTGAACTCCAAAAACCGTAAAAAAACAAAAGAAAAAATTACAAATAAAAACCTCCTAATATGTAAAATTATGATTTGGGATCCTAAATTTAAAAAATAACAAATAAGGACCCAGTTCTACTTTTG